ATGTCGAAAATCAACCGGCCCCCAGTTTCGCTCTCCCGGATCGCTTCGAACGTAACCGACGCACACAAGGGCAAGACCGTTGTTGTTATCGGCACGGTCACTGATGATAACCGCCTTCTCAATGTCCCCAAGGTGTCTGTGGCTGCCCTGCGCTTCACTGCCACTGCCCGGGCCCGGATCGAGAAGGCTGGAGGCGAGACGTTGACTCTGGATCAGCTTGCCTTGCGGGCCCCTACTGGAGCGAACACATTGTTGCTGCGTGGCCCCAAGAACGCCCGGGAGGCCGTCAAGCACTTCGGCTTCGGTCCTCACAGCCACAAGGTAAATTATCCATTTCTTCGTTGGCGGTAACATGCTTGCTAATTTTCGCCAAGAAACCCTACGTGCGCAGCAAGGGACGGAAGTTCGAGAGAGCCCGTGGACGGAGAAGGTCCAAGGGTTTCAAGGTCTAAGGGTGTCTGTTATTTGCCTGCCTTGTACCAATGGCGAAATGCAATGTGATGGAAAGTTTTACGCGGAACACCTATAAAATCATGGCGCTTTGAATTGCAAGAACGGTTAGCTACTCATTTCCCGTAGCTGGTGAACCATTAACATCTGATACGACTGGGCTGCCAAGTTTAAACATATCTGGTGTCATGCAAGACGTAATGTAGTGCTATATCCTTTTTTGATAACTCGTTACAGCGGTATGTTCTTGTGTTTCCATATTCTGCCTCCACCTTCGGAATAGTCACAAGCTCGGTGACCGGCACCCCGCACAAGGTATTTATAGATAGTCAACCCATCTAATCCGACCGGGCCCCTAGAGTGAATTTTGTTCGTGCTGATCCCAACCTCGGTACCAAATCCATACCTCATACCATCGGCAAATCTGGAAGATGCATTCCAAAAAACCCCGGCACTGTCCACACTATGCATAAACGCTTGAGCAACATCCCTTGACTCTGTGACAATCACATCAGTATGTCCCGAAGAATGCGAGTTTATATGAGCTATGGCACTTTCAAGAGCAGAATCCTCGGGTGACGGGATGATTGTCCTAACTGCTAACACAAGATCCAAGAATTCAGTGTCATAATCCGCATCGACCGCACTCTGAAGTAACGACAAAGGGGGACTTTTCAGAGTTTTGAGCAATGCGTCTCGGCTTGGCGCGTCGCAGCGAAGTGACACCCCCTTAGCGAAGAGGGCCTCCGCAACAGAAGGAAAAATGCTCTCAAGGATATCTTGATGGACAAGCAGAGTTTCTAGAGAGTTGCACGCTGCAGGGTAATCGGTTTTCGAATCCACAACGACCCTCAGCGCAATGTCTTGTTCTGCATCGGAATGAAGATAGGCAGAGCACAGCCCGTCGGCGTGACCAAGTACAGCGATCTTTGTATTGTCCTTCACGAATCGAACTAGATCGTTGGAGCCTCGGGGGATCACAAGGTCAATAAGCGAGTCTTGTTCTAGCAAGGACGAAACAATGTCTCGAGTAGTAACGAGCTGTATGGATGACTGAGGAACATTGGTACCAGCGATAGTCTCCGAAATAACGTTTGAGATAGCAACAAACGATTCAGTTGATTCCTTGCCACCTTCAGCCGTATTAGATTCAAGCACTTGACCCTGGCAGATAGCACACCTACCTTTGAGAATTGCTGCATTTCCCGATTTAATGGCAAGGGCAGCTATGTTCGCAATAACCTCGGGTCGAGCCTCAAAGATTATAAGCAGAACCCCAATCGGGCAGCTCACTTTTTCAAGAATGAGGTCATCATCAAGAAGGGTTTTGAGTGTCACTTTCCCGACTTTTACCAGAGTCAGCTGCAGGCTAAGAAGATTTGATACGGGGCGTACGTACTGGGGTCCTCCAAGTCTCGTACACCCAAGATCCCGTTGAGCATATCGTCATACTTTCCGGGCTTGGATAGATCCAGTCTTCTGAGAACGCTTTGACTGAGGTCACCGTTTTCAGCGGCTTGAGTTGCCACCTCAAGATCTCTTGCATTTGCCTCAAGGATTTTGTTCTTGTTCTTTGATAGTGCATCGTGTAGCGCCGTTAGTGCATCTTTGCGATCAGCGTCTGCCAAGGTAGCGAGGCGACGAGCAGCTAGTGATGCAGTTTTCGCAATCTCATGTGCCGGGCAGTTGGTGAGCGACATTTCTGCGGACTCTGCGAAAATCCTGATAGGCAGTGTGCGTACACCTCCAGATACGGCCTGGAGGGACTTGGTGGGAGGGAATGAGGGGAGTTTATCATCATCACGTGACATGGTCCCGAAGAAGTATGCATTACAACACAAGTACTGCGCAGGTATCGTGTGGTACACGAGGGATTCATAAATATCACGGTGCAATACATATGAACGATATGCAGATGATTCAAACTAATAGCGCAATCGATACAGAATAGACACATGAAGTTATAATTTGGTGCTTTCCAATAAGCGAGCTGGAACACTGTGCTGCTACCTATGCACAGTGGTGATACCACCAGTACAACTCTGTGCAGATTACCCGGTTAAAGCGGAACATTACGGCAGAATCTGCCAAATTTTACCTGAGCTGTTTTCAACCCATCCTCTGTTGTACTACTCTATTCGGTGTATGTTGTATCTAATGTTGGTAACTGTAAATTCTCAAGTGGTCTAATTGGCGCTGTAAGAAAATCATTGTTATGGAGTGGTCAGCACGGGCTAAGAGGGCTGATGCGTGGATTTTACCACCAAAGGTTCGAGAAAGTTCGGTTATGGTATTTGCCGCTAGCTGTACCTCAGCTACCTCACTCACCTTACTTACTCCTTCCTCCTAATTCTTACTTACAACTCTCTCCTGGATTTGGCACCAACCACCTAATCTTGACATCAACGCCAGTCTTTGTGGCCAAAACATAACCTAACCACTCGGGGTCTATCTACGACAATCAAGAAGAACACGATGTCTCGCCCTGGCACTACCCTGTATGTCACCGGTTTTGGGCACGGAACTAGAGCTCGCGACCTTGCCTACGAATTCGAACGGTACGTGCCGCTCGTCGATTGCTACGCGCTACTATGACCCGACGATCCGTCTCCCTCCTCGCAATCTACACCTCGGTTGAATATCGCAAACATCGACGCCGGAGTCCTATCCATAGTGTTATCAGAATGACCTATTCGCTCCGCAGCTTATAACCTCATCCCTGAGCCTTCCCAACCCCAAGGACCAGTCTATTTATTGCGCGCCCATTTCATTATCTTACGTCGTTAAATTATTTGGCTTTTGTCTCCTTGTATGATATTTTCTTGCTAACAATGCCCTAGATATGGCCGTCTTGTTCGGTGTGATATCCCAGCGCCGCGTACCCCATCTAGCAGGCTGTGCGTTTGGAAACCCCCGTAGCTCACCAAGCCTTGATTCTAATATTTCTCAAGGTTCGCCTTCGTGGAGTACGAGAGCCGTCGTGACGCAGATGATGCTTACCATGAAATGCACAATAAACGAATTGGCCGCGATGACCTGCTGAAGATCGAAGTAAGTGCTGCTGCAATCTTTTGTGGGGACTGCTTTGCTTTCCAAGCCGAAGTCCAAGTACATACATTAATCTGGCACTCAGTGGGCTCGAACGCCTCCTTCCGCTTCTTGGCGATTTGACTCTGGCCGTGACCGCCGCCGTGACCGTACTCCTCCACGCCGTGGCCGCTCGCCGTCCCCTCGGCGTGCTCGTGGTGAATATTCCCCTCGACGAGACGATAGATACGACCGGGATTACGAGCGCCACGACCGCGAATACGACCGTCGCGACCGAGATTATGACCGCCGAGACCGCGACTATGACCGTCGTGATCGCGACCGTGAACGCTCCCGTGATCGTTCTCGCAGTCCTGATGAGAGGGACCGTGACATCAAGGATGACCGTGAGCGCCGAGATGATGCTCGTGAGCGCCGGGATGATGAAAATGAAAATGTACCAAACGGAGATGATCGAAAGGGTGTGTTTATCCGACTATTCTTTACGACTGACTTTAGTCACTCATTATCGCAGTTCCTTTAGATCCCATGACTTCGGCTCACGATGAGCTTGATACTGCCGAGTAGGTTTAACTCAAGTTTATCAAGCTGGATTCGACTTTGTACGCCTTTACCATGCTTGTACGAGGGAAAGGGAGAGTAAGGTTGTGAGATGCAAAGTGTGAAAGGTCTATTCCTCTTGATGCCTATGCTGAGGCTACAAGTGCTAATAGCCCACGCGCAAGATTGTACGCCGGTATTTCATCGTTCCTGTTCTTTTGTTTAACCCTTTGTTCTTTTGTTCTTTTTTCCTTCATCTTTGCACCGGATCGGACTTTTCCTTTCCTTATTCCCTTCTTCTCTCCCGCACCCCCCTCTTAGAAAAGTTGCGTTTGTGATGGTTTTTAGAGGTTCGGACTTGGTTTCATTTGGACACTGGTATTCATCGTGGTCAGCAGCTCGAGCCATTACCGATCGAACATCGAGCGACCGTTTTCATCTCACGCCGCGTTTTGTCGTCCCTTTCCTCGTCCCGATTCCCAATCGTCCGTCGTCCGTCTAAAGCACAGTTTAATATAAGACGATTCCATTTCCCCGCTCTCCACACCCGGTGGTTGTGAGCTTAACAATGTCGTCTCGGGTCGGACCAAATCCATATAAAGCTCAGCGTAGTGTACAAGGACTTCCTAAAACTGTATTATTGGACCTCGTAGGTGACAGTCAATTTACACATTTTTAAAGAACGCCCTGTGCTTCAGACTCATTTCTTGCACTTGCAGTCGGTAATATGCCCTCTATATGGCAGCCTGATGGCTGCGTCGTCTTGTGTGCGCGATGCCTGGCATCTAAACCCCCCTTTTTTTCTAAAAAAGGAATGCTCGTGTACATGTGAATAGCCAGAGCTAGACCCTCACTCTCTAGACACGAAGGTGTAATAAGAAAGGACAAGGTTGGTTTTGTAGAAGTCATGTCCATTGCTAGATACTTGAAAGGAATAAGAGCATGGGTGGGCAATTTCCGAATTACTGCGTTTTCTCATGTGTGGCCATAAGAGAACCTGTTTTTTGTTATCAGTAAGACTGTATGCCCACGTTTCAAAGAATTGTCTTTCGAACTCACCGATGAATGTGGTAATCAAGCGAGACCGCACCTGGCAGATATCCTCTGGAACCAACCAGATTGTGGCACCCAATTTTCTCGCTATGCTGATGCTCAATTTAGCATTTCCATAGGCCTCCTCGTCAGTTCGGCCAGCGGTCACCAGTTCGTAGTCCACATAACTACTTTTCAGCCCACTGAGCACATCAAGAAGGAATATACCAGTTCCAATTGACTGGTCTTTAAAGCTGCGAATGGACGAAGTTTTGCCTCCCTTACGAGACATATCGTTAGCCCACCGAATCATTTCAGAATCGGTAATTTCACGCTTGCCCATTCGCTGAGCCAAGCTTGAGAGTGTGTTTGTGATATCCTTCCGCATCAATTGCCACACCAGTCCTAGTGTGAGAGTGCGCTGGCCATCGGTAATATCGGCCCCTTGTACACCTACAAGAGAAAAGCCAATATGCTTGCCAAGTTCGGTTGCATAATTCGTATTCTCCACGGCCTTGAACCGCATCATCTCGTTTCCAGAAGCTGGTGCCTTGTTAACATGTCTCCAATTGACACTGCCTGGGATGACCTTATCGTAGGCTTGCAGCAGCACAGTGCCATCCCTAAGGTCGTCGAATAATGAGTTAACTGCAGGCTGGACATCCAAGGAATTCAGCCATAGGGTGAACACTCTGGCTTCTCGTTCCCCTTCGGCATCGAAATCCTCGACCTCTAGTTTATCCTCTTCGGTTATCGGCTCGAGCCCAGGAATGGTGTTGAACAAGTTGGCCACAAACGCGAGGTTGAGTTTTGGGTTTCCAGCAACGAGTGAAGTAGGTGTCAAAAACTTCCGGCAACCCAGTCTATCCGCATTCCCCAAAACTTGTTCCGCTCGCTGGAGCAAATCATGAGTTTGTAAGGGCCCACGTGAGCAGGTATCGGGAGCAAGTTGGTTCAGAAGAACAGTGTAGTTTTCACCATCCTTTACATCCGTAGAGAAGTTCGTGACTCTGCCATGGTAACATATCAGAAATCCAGAACATTCATGCCTGACGTCATCGTTCGGAGGTAGGGTGGTATTTAAAGAGTTCGATGAAACGAATGCGGGGATATAGCTGAAATGTTACATACCTTCTATCCCACTTCGCGTTCTTCAGGTGGTAATTGAACCAGCGTAGCAGAATTTGCTCTGGGGGTAGACGAAGAAACTGCTCCAAAGTCTCGTCGTCCTCCAGGAGCCGATATAGCTCGGGATGAAGTTTTATATCAATCTTGCCCAGAAGACCTCGACGAATGATTTGCCAGATCAACCCTAGAATAAGATGTTCGCGGACTTCTATAATATCACCGCTTCCAATGTTCACAACAGAGCAACCAATACCCTTGGCTGAGTTGATCACGATGTTATTGTTCTCCGTCATGTGAAATGCATTGAGCTCCTTGATCTTCTTTCCCGATTTGTTCAGAACTCGTTCATCAATGGTATCCGGTACACTGTCGTTAATCAACTTCGCCAAAACTAACCCGTCTTTACATTTGTCGAACATTTCAAAGGTGTCAGTTGGGAATGGGAGGGAGTTTCCAATGTCCGGGTCGCCGGCAAGGACGGCATTGATATGCCTTGTGAATTCCGTTCTCTCGTCCTCGTTAATGGTATGAGTGACATTCGCCGAGGATCCTTGAACGTGGATCTTGCCCCCAATACTGTTTCGAGGGACATGTCGAGAGCCCGTAACATTTCCCTGTAGTCCAGCTGGGGCGGCGCTATCAGCAGGCTTGCTCTGAGCCGGAGCAGCGCGAAGCTTGGAAATAAGCTATGTTTGATTTAGCAGAAGCACCGGCTGGCGGTTTAAGAGATATTAGACTAACATCAACATAGTCTTCGAGCTCCACACGACGAGAACTGTCGAGTTCAACTTCCTTCAGCGCCTGGCGTACAACATCATATGGTTGGCGCTCCGATTGTTGGGTAGACTTGATCACGGTTGCTTCATCCAAGTAGCCCTTTTCATCAATGTCTAATTTCCTGAACGCATCCTGAAGGGTGAAGATTTCGCCTTGGTCAAACTGAGGAAACTTCCTGTGTGGTCAAGATCAGTTAGGGGCGCATCCATATAGCCATGTGTAAATGGCAAAGAATGAAATAGTAGAGAAAGAGCATACCGCTGAAGTTTGATCACATTCATTTTCCCTCCCTTTGGTGGCCTTTCTGCAGCCGGCGATGTCGGAACGCGGGGGGGGGGTTAGCTAGCGGAAATGCGCGAAAAAGAACTGAAGGTCTGTATGATACACTGAAAGCTTTCAGACCAGGAAGATAGACTGATTAGACAGTGGTGGTTGATACAGCCAGTTTGTTTCTTTCAGTTGCCAGCCTTTTCGGTGTTGAGTAGGTAGAAGAGAAGCGAAGTAGGTCGAAGCCAGCACTGCCCACTCGGAGTAGGTATTATTTAGGCAGCCTGGGTAAGACCCGCCTCCCGTCGGAAAGGAGGGGTGATGGAACCTACAGGTAGGTTACCGTACGTCGTGTTTACCCTTTACAATACCTAGGAACGGTTTCTAGGTAGGTATCCTTCCTGCACAGTGTACTTACAGTACCAGGTACATACCCCGTACAGACTACCTAGGTAATACCTGGTACCATCTCGCTTTCCAGGTATCTTACCTGGTGTAGTACCTAACCACCCCGACTCTTTGTAATAAAGACTAGGATATAATTACAATTAACCTATCTCCCTAATCTTGGCTGGCTCCTCGTGAGAGAACGCCAATCCGTCAATGGGATATTTTCTACAGTAATTTGGGTGCTTGCTCAAACTTTTACCTGGCAGTGCCTAGCACCTGAAGTAGTTTTGGTCTCAGTTCGCGGCTAGCTTCAACAAGGTGACATAATTACATCGGAGTAACGTTTTCAACCACCGAGCCGCGCCTACCACCGAGCCGCGCCCTTTCCACCAAAACTCCTACTTCCTAGGGCTTTTCAACCACCAACGCCATTAAATCTAACTAATTAAATATATGACATTATAGCCATCTACTAGGACAATTCCGAATTGTATGTCCGACTGTCCCACATCCACTACAACACTGCGAAGCTCGTCGACAAGACACTGAAATAGATTCTGCAAACTGTTCATTAAGCTGTATATCAAGCTACTGAACGCGATTTTCATCTTTCTGTACATTAAGAAAACGATCATTATCTATCTCAGCACGTCTTTTTGTCTTTTTTTGACATTGTCATTCATTTTCAACGCATACGGCCCTAATTTCTTGCTGCAAAAGAAGGATAGTTTGCATCGCCATTTGCGCTGCTTTCTCAAAATATTGAATATGCGCAATAAGATTGCTAGAAAGTTGCCGCTTTCTATTAAAATTGCTCTGCAAATTTTGAATCTTTCGATCTAGCTGGCGAGTATTTTGCGGAATTTGAAAAGCAGAAGAAATTGAGCCTTCAATTAGTGATGATGTAAATATACATAATTGAAAGATAAACATAGAGAGAATATATTCTAGATCAAACGATTTAAACTCTGCTTTTTTAAAACCGTTGCAAATATTGATTGCATTAAAGATTTGTTTATATGCATTCGGATATAACGATAGAAAGTTTTCTTTATCAATGTGATTATTATTAACAATCATACAATTTTCAAAAAACTTTCCGTACGCCTTTTTAAACGGGTTAAAAACATTCACATCAAGCGGTTGAAAAAGATATAAAACGTGAGCAGACATACAAAAACATATTATTGCATTCTGTTTGCAAAAATTATCGAATTCAGCAATCAAATAATTACTATAATCGTCAAAAATAAGCAAACGTTTTGTAACACTTAAAAAGCGATTCAAAGATATTTTTCAGTCAAAAAAGATCTATTTCATCAATCGTTCAGTCATTCTGACTAGTAAAAATTCATCAGTCGCGAGACAACTTAAATTCTTGAAATTAAGCAGTTTGTTGAATGCTTGTTTTCAATATAATAATTAACAATAGATGTACGCCTTTTGATCCGATTGTTTCGATAATTGTAATTCATTCATGATTGCTTTAAATGACTTTGCATGATTATTCGCTTCGTTCAACTACAATAATCACTTTTGAAATAGAACAAATTCTCATTGCAAAACCAATTTCATCAAAATTCCAGATGTTGTCTTCATATATGTCGTGTTTTTGAATAATCGCTCGTACAGTTTCAAACCATGGGTCTATAATCTTTAAATCTTCCTGCTTTGCGTGCTGATAAATAATACGTCTATTATATCGCGTACAAAATTCAAAATGACGTTTAACGAATTTATAGAACCAATTAATTCCGATAGCTGCAATAAAATCTTTTAACCGATTGCAAAGCAGTACTTGGGCCATTTCACACAGAAATTCGAACCAAATTGGAAATCCTCGTGTATCTGTATTTAATAATCGCTTTAAAAATAATTGCTTTTCAAATTCAGTCAGTTTATAGCCGTTGGCGCGTGTTTCCAATCATGATTTAACTCCATGAAGTCGATCGCGTAAGATATTTTCAAAAACAGCGAAAAAGGCCACAGCGCGTTTAATTGATTTAATCTGACCTTTCTAATATACTGAAATAGTCATCTGAATGCGCGATTCTTTAGAAAGAGGCATATTGAATTGTGGTGATGAGAAAAGACGCGTTAAATGAAGAAAGTAGGAATTTTGAGGGAAAGGGCGCGGCTCGGTGGTAGGCGCGGCTCGGTGGTTGAAAACGTTAGTTAGTTAAACGATTTCCCCGATGACGTCAGAGCTGATTCCCTACAGGACACCGTACATCAGTACTAACGGCTTGAATCCTGCTTATTGTGGATGCCACACCTTACGGACACACCTACTATCTGCACTGACAATTACCTGGCCCTGTCATAAGCCACCATCCCATGTGTCGCGGAACTACGGATCTGGTTGGGGGCGGCTACATACCTACTGTAAGGTACTCCGTACTAAGGTACCACCTGTTCGGAATATGCGGTGTACCTTAGGTAGGTAGCCATCTGGTACTCCGCTGTTCGTACCCCTGCTACCTATCCGTACCCAGCAGTTTGCGCAAATCTATTCTACCTCCGAAAAGCAAGAGAACCTTCAGCTTCCTGCTTATTTTGAATTCATAATTAGGCTCGTCGCATATGTCGTATGTCAATGTAACAAGAGATTGGTTAGCTCTCAGACTAATCAGCGATATGTTCCGACGGCGGCTTCGTCATATAACATCATCCGGTCGACGTACTTTACCGAGTACTGTAGTGAACTAATTGCATTCTCACTGCCTGCACGAGAAGCATATCCCAACCTGCACATACCATATCAACCTGTGCTTAAATTTTTCGGTTCCCACCTCCCCGCCCCCTATCCCAAGGCTCGATGTCCCAGGAACAGCATGGCGCCCGGGAATTATTTTTGGAGGCAACATCACAGAATGTTACCACAACCGCAACTTCTCACCCCAACATTGCCCACCAACACAACCAAGACGTGCTACAGCAATCCAAAGGTGAAGATCACACAGTTACACACACACATCGACTAAGCCTTCGTCGCTATCCTAGGGATTGCCCTCCCTTGCGAGTAAGATGGTTCTATGCTGTGGACTCTCCTAAATGGAAACCTCTGTTATGGGATCAAAAGAAGGACGCCTCGAAACCCCCGCCGCCACCCAAAAAATTCGTCCCTTTTTCATCCAAAGACTCTCACGCCATAGAGACCGCCTTCCAGAGGCTTTCCGATATCGAGGCCGCTCGCGAACAGTCCAGGCACGCCGAAACCAGTGGAAGGCCGCAAGACAGCACTACCAAAGTTGCCGTCAATGAAGACTATCTTTTTGACGTGGATGTGGAACGAAGGGAGCTTTCCCCGGCTTATTGGGTAGGACCTGTTTACGAAGTTCGTCGTGGAACATGGTTCTTCCAGGATGGGTCTTCAATCAAGCCATGCGAGGAGAACCTAGCCACACAACTCGAAGAGGGGTACCTCAAAGTGAAACCATGGCGCTACAACGGTGCCCATGACACCGCTGTACAAGACTCGGCGTACTCAAAGATATCTGGTACGGGTAAACCTAGCATCAGGAAAAATGCGGCTGCTCATATGGCTAATTCGATCAAGCAGCGCCTGGGACTTTGCCCAATTCGGTCGAGAATGACGGGCCTGCGGCGCCTGCCTCGGCCGGTGGATCCCGGAACTATCGTCTCTTTGGTGCTTATATGAAAAGTATCGTAACCTACCAGGATCACACGGCAGCATTGATTACGAATGATGATTTCATGTCTCGGGTGAGCACAACCGTGTACCAGAAGCTAGGTGGAGTGCCCGGCACAAAACTAGTTCGTGGCTTCATGGAGACCGGGAAAGAAAAGGTACCCTCGAGCACGCGGAGATCTGCAGAAGAACTGTTGCCTGGGGCACCCATGAAAGGACTGGGGCCTCACGAGACAGGCACTAATGGCTCATCGGATGCTGAGGTAGCTCATAGTCAATCTCCGGAAGGCAGCTCCGCAAACGGTTTATCGAAATCAACACTGGAGCAGCAGATGTCCTCTCTAACATGCGAAACTCAAGACGAGGCCCAGCTTGATGAACAAGCGCGCAGACAGGAGGAAAAGGAGATGGAGGATTCACGAGAAGTTGACAATGACGACAGAGAGCGACAGATTGATCATCTGGTCCTCGTCACACATGGCATTGGCCAGCGACTTGGGTTACGATTAGAGAGCATAAATTTCATACACGATGTGAATGTTTTACGCAAAACCATGAAAAGCGTCTATAAAGCCTCACCTGACCTCCAGGCTCTCAACTCTGTTTTCGCAGATAGCCTGACAAACTGTCGTGTTCAAGTACTACCTGTGTAAGTCATCCCTACTGAACTCTAGCACGGCTAATGATACAACATTTCCAATGCACACAACTGTGGAGCCGTGCTGATCGCTTCTAGGTGCTGGAGGCATCTACTTGACTTCCCATATCGAGGAGCAAGACACAATCGCAAAGAGCTTGATCTTGCTGATGCAGATTTCCCCGAAGATGACCCGTTCCCTAGCTTAGCTGATATCACTTTGGAAAGTGTACCGGCGGTTCGAAATCTAATATCTGACTTGGCAATGGATGTCCTCCTATATCAGAGCGCCTACCGTGCGCATATATCCAACATCGTCAGTCAGGAAAGTAATCGAATCCTGAAACTCTTCAAGGAACGAAATCCGTCTTTCAGCGGATCGGTTAGTCTCTGCGGACACTCACTTGGCAGTGCCATTCTCTTCGACATTCTTTGTCGCGAGCCGCTTGCTCGAGAGTCAGAGCAGAAAATACCCGTAGAAAGAACAAGTGCACCAACAACCAAATCACGGAATCAGCAACTGCATTTTGAGTGCGAGGAACTTTTTTGCCTTGGTTCTCCCATCGCCCTTTTCCAAATGCTCAAGGGAAAGACGATTGCAGGGAGGTCAGCACCAGACACTAGCAAAGCCGGAATGCCGCTTTACCCAGGTGGAAAAAACGATGGTAATCAACCTCGTCTTATCCTTCTCTAATCAACCTTTACTCATCCTGCCACCTGCCACAGAAATCAGATCTACCGATAGCCAAGATCTAGTGTCTTCCCCGAAATGCCGTCGATTGTACAATATTTTCCACCCCTCGGACCCAGTGAGCTATCGTATCGAGCCTCTCATTTCACCGGCGATGTCATCGTTGAGGCCACAGCCTTTACCTTCTGTGAAGAAGAGTTTATGGGCTACATCTGGTCAAAGCCTTTCAATAATAGGTAGTCGTGTGGGGCAAAGTGTTGGATCTCTTTGGAACAATTTCACCTCTGGTGTTGCAAGTAGTCTGCTAAACCGCAGTCTTGGTCTCAACTCTGATGAAGACACATCTCAAATTTCCTCAGGCGAGGGCTATCAAATGCAACAATCAATATTGTCCTCCGGCACTGATACCACAGATTCTCATAACGACCGGCATCCTACGCTCATAGACTCGGGCTTGGAAACGCTCTATGAAGGTTTCCAGAGGACCAGGCAAGATGAAAGATCAGAGTCTTCGAGCTTTGCTGGTCATTCATCCATCCAAAATGAAGTACCAGATGATCGTTTGAAGAAGATACGGAACGAAGATGCCAAAGTGAGAGCACTTAACAGTAATGGACGGGTTGATTACAGTATTCAAGAGCAAGTGTACCCTTTTCCTGTAAGAACTTCTATCGACCAGGCACTGACCAAACCGATCACTCTTTGAACAGGGGGGCTTTTGATATTTCTTTGATTGCGAGCATCGCTAGTCACTTGACTTATTGGGCAGATGAGGATGTTAGTCATTTTTTACTTTCCCAAATGCTATCTAAGAAACGACCCCATTAAGGCGACTTGAAACCTCGATTAGATCTACAGATCTACTTCAGCCAGGTGTCTTTTTGCAACTGGGGAACAGGTGTTCTAATAGCGGCGAGCGTTCGCATGTATCTAGGGTAGTGTCGTCGGGTCAAATAACTAGGGAATAAAGCATTTGACATGAGGAGTACTCACGCTGGTCTTACGTTGAGAAAGCAATACAAGATCTACATTACCGTGGGAAGATGCCGTAACGTAGGTAATCAAGAAGTAGCATTGAGGGGACTATTATCAGTAGCCAGTAACCAATTTCTCATTTTCAGGTGAATCGATTGCTCTTTGTCAAGCTTCTATGGGTATAATTGTATAACTATCTACCTGAGTGGTGTTACTACTCTGTTCATCAACTATTTGTAGGTGTACGGTGTGCACATGGTACCTAGGTTCACTGCACACTGTATGCACTGTTCGTACTCCGTACCTGGGTAGGTATCTACTCACTCAGTACCCTTCATGGATACCTTATTACACAATTTTCAGTACATACTCTGTCTGTACTACTCCGTAAGCAAACTACCTTACACTGTGTTAACAACATCTTTTACCGTGTATTCCATACCTATCAATAGTTAGGGTACCGGACCTACGGAGTACATAAGCCAACCTGGAATCTTCCGATGGAGTTTCGGATTACCACTTTCTCCGTTCCGGTAAGCGATGGGAATTTCTACCCCCTAGAGAAAAAAAAAATTTCAGGCTTTGTCTCTTCTTTCTTCTATACTGACAGAGAAATAAATCGCCAGAAATGTTTTATTATTGAGTGAAACTTCAGGCTCTCCACTGGTGCCTGATGTATTAATATGACTTCACCCTCATTGTCTTGTCTATAACCAGTGATGTTACCAACAATCTGATTATGTGTGAAAATTGGGTTTCTTACTGTCTGGGATTCTCGCTATGAGATGGCTCCATTGGTGCCATAACCATCCATCTACACATTCATCACGTCAATAATTCTCCAGGCTTATGTGCCTGACCCCACGACATCAATCTCCCGATGCCAGATTTAGGGATTGGGTGTTGCTGCTCATCTTTGACAGTATCAGCAGTTGCTGGCAATCACACATACCATTGTTGCTGGGTCCATAAAAAAGACTTTCCTTGCTAATGGCCCATGATTCATAGGTAAATGGTGTATCCCCTGCGACGAGTATTGTTAAGCAATCATGTTGGGACGATCATGAATATCCTGGAGAATTAGAGTTTCATTGTCTGGCATATCATTGCCTCATGACATCTTCTATACCGCTATCTTCTTTGCATCTGGCATGGAAAACATGTACTTTGAGTGTCCGGATTCACTCGGATAGCGGAGAAAAATTCCATTCTTTTAGCTTTAGATGCCGTGTCTTCTTCATAAGACAGGGTAATTGTGAATGGGCATATGCTACCTCAGTTATCTTTCATATATCACGGATCAACAAGTACTAGTAACTATAGTTGGCCAATTGATGTCCTATGGGAAGGTGAGGGAAATGCTGTTCTCACTATAACATGTAAATTGTACCAGATCAGGGCGAACTATGCCTTCAGAATTTCTCTAGCAATGATAGGATAAAATTGCTACCTATCTGGTTGGTGCTACTCAGACCTATTCCTTTTTTTTTATTGAACGGTTGCTTAAGGCTGTTCATCAACCTCACTGATTGCCTACTCCTATCCTAGGCCTACACGGAGTAGTTGGCCCTATGCTAAGAATATCGGATATAGTGTTGATAAGCAACATATCCTGCTTAAGACTAATCCACTGTATTTCAGGGAATATGATCTTAATAGGTACCTCTAAATGTCTAGCACAGTATAAACCTATTTACTGCTTCCGATGGATATCCTCCTGTATATTATCATCCCAGCAGGTATATATGTACAACTCCTAAATCCCCCAGGGAAACAATTGATTTTGTAGCGTAGGTGCCAGGTACATCCCAAATCCCGTAACAAGCCAGGGATTTCCCACCTATCATCTTATATGGGTATAATTTGACTGCAGGTATTTCATGATCATCTATTGAAAATCTAGCTAGTAACTAACTATGGCCGGTGTGAAGGTAGGTAAACTTGCTGGGCTTGGCCACCTTGGTTATCTCATAGGTAATGTACCTAGGGGGTATATAAATAGGACCTAGCTGAATTAGCTGTTTACAAGAGAGGTAACGTATCTACTCTGTACTTAAGTATATGATTAATGCAGAGGAGAGTGTTTTAATGGGTTACAGAAAAGAGAGGATAAACAAGCATTCGTGACACCTCCTTGGCCTTTAGGCCCAAGTTGGTAACTAATTGTAATCGCGGAACCGGATCTTTCCTTCATCCGCCACAGTACGGAGCAGTACCTCCGGGTGTCACCCAACAACTTGATCAACCCTACGCCGTACACGCTATTTCTAGCCAGACAAGCAATCTGACGTTTTATCTGTCTAGGTATTACCAGTTCATGTTAGCTTATTTGATCTATTGAGATTCTAACCATGAACCTTACAAGCATGCTGTGACTGATGTCTATCTACAAAGTCATTAACCATGAATGGCCCCCATGAGATATCTAGCTCACCAGAATCGCATGAGTTTGATCGCGATACAAAGTCACTCCAAGAACATCATGCACATTTAAACAGTGTCAGCGAAAGCAACAATGGTGATCAAGCACCGGCTCAACCTAAGGAAATTTCCAACCTCATCATCCAATTCCTTTCAACATCCAGCAACGAAGCTCTCATTTGTGTCTTTATATGCATGGTGGGCGCGACATATGTGGTGCTCGGAAGACTTGGCTTGATTCTGATTGGATTCATCAGCGGTGTTATCCTACATTCATCATGGGAGGAAACGAATCTCACTGACCTACCGAATCCCATGAAGCGAAGAGAACTTTCGTTGAATGTCGCCAATAGACTACTCGATTGGCCTGGGCGCAAGTCTGCTCATGCTGAGCCTAGTCTCGATAGCATTCAGCCAGGTCTCACCCAGGACACGTCGGAGGTGCCTGCTGATTATTCTTCTTTCCGTCCTAAAACAGCAGCTGCGTTGGATTCATTGACCGACGCCATTATCAGAGACTACGTGAAGTAAGCAGTTTACCCCAAATATGAGATTTGTGCTTACCAGCTTCGATAGCCACTGGTATGAACCGATTCTACCCTCCGAAACAGCGTTTCCTCGTTCTTGTCGCAGGATTTTGACCGGTTTTGTCAAGTCAATGGCCTCACATCTCGCACGCAAACAAACAACAGACACTTTCCTTGAGTTTCTGACCAATTCATCTTCTATAATAATTGTGTTTTTGAACGAACTCTCGAATGCTTTCCAGAATGTCGGGTCCTCTACAAAACCAGAGGAAACCGTTCGGCGATACCTCGAACAATATCCAGACAGCAGCTTAGCAAACGTGTTGGCCGATCCACAACAACGGAAAAAACTCAACATCATTGCCGATGATATCCTGTCTAGCTTTATGGACACGACGGCTTATGGCTGTGCCCCTCTTAGAACCTTCTGTCGAGAAATCTTATGCGGCGTCGTCCTAGAGTCGACCATTTCCAGTCTTTCACGACCAGAGTGTATCAATAGCTGGATAATACATCTTTTTAGTGAAGGAGAGTCTGAGATAATGAATGCAATCGATGCTGGTGTTGAAGGGGCCAGGAACCAGGGCGCAACTGCTGCCAAACGCCCCGGAGATGCGGCGGATGCACCTCGGCCAACGTCATCCGGTAGCTTTGATACGAACTCGAGGTCCCCCGGTCGGACTTTTAAGGAAAAGCACGAGTACGCAGATAAAGCAACAGAGGATGCCATTACCGAAGCCAAACGTTTAAGCGCCTTGATTGCCGCTCAAGACTTACAGAGCGGGTCCACAGACAGCAACATCTGGAGAGCCCCTGTTTCTTTGCACGACGAGGATCCCACTTTGGCTTCTACAACGAGAAAGGGAGAAGGCGAACCTGAACTAGCGAAGGGACAGGAAAACCCCGGAGTTTTCCCCGATGCGCTCGACGCTTACACGAAGGATGAATCTAGACCAGAACCAGAATCTACGTTGTCATCGCGGATGCAAGGGAACCGTTCATCTCATCAGAACTTGGAGCCGCATTTATCATGGCCGCCTTTGACTCTTCACCGTGCTTATATATCAGTGGACGACGGTTCCGAGTCCAGCGACGCCTTGGTTCGATCGAAGCCAACGTTCAATTACATGCTTCAGGTGGAACCTACGTCTTCACAGCGAACCGGGTGGATGGTTTTTAGAACTTATAAAGACTTTGAATTGCTCCATGACACCCTAGGCACCATCGCAAGACTGAACAAGTTACAAGGATTCACAGACAACTACTCTTTATTGCCAAATTGGAAAGGGTTGACAAACAGAGCCTTAGCAAACTCATTGGAGCAATACCTGCAGACTGCGCTTCAACACGATTCGCTTGCAGAGTGTGAAAGAATGAGACGGTTCCTCGGAAAGGAAGGCCCTGTCGACCCCGGAATGAAGACTGCGTCCACAAAGCCTGGCTTTTTCCCTACCCAAGCGGCGTTAGAGAATGTTGGAAGAGGAGTCCTGGATGCTTTAACTAATGCCCCCAGAGGCGTCTCTAGCGGCAGCAAAACCGTTTTCAGTGGGATGACAGGTGTTTTTGGAACAACCCAAAACAAGAAACCCAGCCCGACTCCATATGCCGATAGCGCACCTCTTAATGACTCTGCTCAGCCAAGAGACATATTCGACAATACATCGCGGGATCATCAGAATCAAGGGGCAGAGAATGCGTCGGCATCTGGGAAATCTAGAAGCGGCGCACCGATTTCCGCTACTCGGTCTTCTTTGAATGAGGTCTCTCACGACAGTTCACCGACTACGGGGGACAGCCTCGTCGACTTACAAGCGAAACCAACACACGACAACTCAGCTTATGCTCTGGGCAATGATGTTGTCGAAAATTTGGGAACCAGAGCCCATGGCCTTGCAGAGGATGTGCCATGCTTGGATGAAACACCCGAGAAACCCGCGCAAAATGGACTCAATGCGGACCAAGCATCTCCTACCAAACACAGCATTCAGGGTAACCATACGAATACAATAACACACGAAGAGACTCAGGTGGCAGTTGAACTCATCTTTGCTGTCATAAATGAATTGTATACCTTGTCCTCCGCTTGGAATATACGTCGGACTCTTTTAAATGCGGCCAAATCCTACATTCTACGCCCTGGGAACCCGAATCTAGAGACAATACGTGACCTTCTGCAGAACTCGATGATTGACGCTAATACATCTGATGAGGCAATTGGGCTTTACCTCATGAAACTGCGCGAGAATGCCCTACCAACCAAATCAGAATTGGATTCCTGGCCAGCGTCGCCTAGCGAAACTGAAAAAGAGCGTCTGAGAGAAAAAGCCCGAAGAGTTTTGGTACAGAGAGGGCTACCACAGGCGCTAACGAGTGTTATGGGGGCAGCTGCTAGCCGTGAGGCCCTCGAAAAAGTTTTCGACTGTCTTCAAGTTCAAAGTGTCGCTAGGGGCTTTGTTTTCTCTATCTTACTGCAGGCCCTGAGAGCTATTATACTTTAGAGCACATGTACATAACAGTCTTGTCAAGATGGTGCAAGTTCTAGATGAATAAACGACCTTGCTTATGGGTATTTTTGAAGCAATGCCCTCAATATATGTATTTGCCAGCTTTGTTTATGATACTCCATACTGCCTATGGATTGGCTCAGTAGCTTTGCGCTGGAAGAAAACCCGGCAGCCGTGAAGAGCCTATAAAAGAATATGGAATTTCCGTCGATGCCTAATGCTTATCTTCGATTCATTTTGCGCAAGTGACATGTCAGAACTAGCCGGATACCCATTGACTGCACCCAATGATGTCAATAGAGATGGCAGGGTAGGCGCGTATTCCGCCTTCCAAAAGAAGCTTAGTATGGAGGCTGCTCGGTTTTATGTATTGTCTATCCACTCCTCTCGTAGGTACTAAGAAGCCATCTACGGGTTTGTGGTGGCCTCCAGCACTTATAGTTACTCCATTTGTGTCACCCTATCCAACCAGCTCATATTCCCACCGGGAATGCAATACAGGACATAATGGTTTCTGAAGTCAGAAAGCGCCCGTCGGGTGCTGATCACAGCCCTGTCCATGATGAACATCCTCAACCCAAGAGAACAAAGACGGGATCAGCGCAAAGTGCTGCCCCATATGCCAGGTCCCATGCAGGCGCGACAGGGAAGATTGATTCAAATGGGGATAAGTATTGGGAAATTTCCAAGATGCGCAGAGTCACGATATCGACTTTTCGCGGCAAAACCATGGTCAACATCAGAGAATACTACGAAAAGGATGGTCAGGAGCTTCCTGGGAAGAAAGTAAGCTCTCTTTCACCTGTGGTTTTTACTCTCGAGAGGGTTTACTCAATTAATCCAAGGGTATTTCTTTGCCGCTTGATCAATTTGCCTCGCTAGTGACTTTGCTACCTGAGATCGAAGTTGTGCTCAAGGAGCAAGGGCAGTCGGTTCCTCGGCCTGAGTACACGAGCTCGGATAGCCGCCGAACGGAGGGTTATGGTTTGGCGGACGACGAAGAATCCGCGGATTTGCCGAAAAAGAACATTGAGGCAACCAGTGACGAAGACGAGGATGAAGACTAGATTGATCACATGAAGAGGTTTGCTTGTTGGGGGTTGACCACATCTTGTCACATGGTGAGAACGGCGCGGTTTCTAACGATACTACGGAGTATTCGCCTAGAGATCTTTCTTAGGCATTGGTTTTTCTCGCAGGACTGGACGCGAAACTGGCACTGTTGGTGGGTGCTATCGATAGGCAGTCTACTCCCTCCCTCGAGCCAGGAATCCATAGGAGCAAGTATGTTCAATCAAATGGCTACCGCAAGCATCATAGTTACCGGTTTCCTCGCATTCATTTCTTCTTTCTCTATTTCTAGGGTGGGATTTGTTACTGGCATAGAACATTCAGATCTAACAGCACGTACATGTATGTACATACGTACAGTATCACCATCTACAGTGAGTACGGCTGTACGATCCACGACGCTAGGTTGGCATTATCGGGTAGAGTGTACCTCTACACTGCCCTTGGGTAGGCAATAGTCAATTTTGGTGTGTTCATGCTACGTACTTGCTATTCGTGGTCTTTTCACCAACGAGTTAGGTATACTGGGTCTATATATATATAAATTCAGAGTTGTGTAACGACATACAAATGGTGTAAGGATGCTGTCTAAGTTCCAACTATATTACTAGGGATGAAAGGGATGAAAGTCAGTCCCATTGACTTGTCAAGGCACATACTCAGGTGATATAACATCCATACTCGGTGTAGTTACCTACAGTACCGGTGGCTTCAAGCTTGCGTGATAGCCTCCTGTTTAGGTACTCAAAGGTGGGAACTAGTGTCTTGGGTGCGGTAGCTAGCGCACTAGCCAAGGGCAACAACCCAGGGGATAGCACTCCGTGGGTACCGGAGGCCTCATGAGTATACCTGGAATGCACAAACAGATTCTAGACAATGAACGTAAAATCAAAGTCCCAAGGTCCCTACAACCTGTACTGCATGTCAATTGCTGTCTATAAAGGTAGGTGTACCTTATGTAGATGTACAGTAGTAGGTAATTCCATACTTGTATGGGTTCCTCCGGACGTAGTTACAGGGTAGGTAACAACATTAGGTAAGACATGTTCCCCCCCCTTTTCTTCCCGCTTTCTAGTACTGAAGGCTTCCTTCCAAGCCATCGACTGACTTGCTGCCTGGGATTTCACTCTCTAGCGCGTGCAACCATTGCCCTCTTTCTCTGAACTCCAGTCTAATTCCTGCCCCAAATTGGCCGCTGTCGTCACCTGAACAGTGAATTCTGTCTATCATTCCACGAGCGGGATGCTTCCGAGACTGACGACTGGATCATAACCGACCCCGCATGGTTTCTTCACCGCCAGCTTAACTATACTCAACTACTAAGTATTAATACTCGGTCAGTGCTTGTCTCTCCAGACTAATTCCCCGGCCAAACCGCATTAACCTGAATCTTGACTGACCCTCATCTACAAAGCAGTAACTGGTTCAGAAAGCGCTCCAAACATACCCGATTGCCCCCCTTTTCGTTACCACCCCTGATCCTCTCTTACCGTCGTCCCTCCTCTACAAAGCAATTGCGGAAAAAGCGGGACCCAGCGAAGGAGAAACTTCACAGGAAAGGCGAGCCTTTTGTCTTCGACGGTCGTGGTTAACAACTATAGATAACGCCTTGGTCATGATGTGCAACTACCACTGAATGAACAAGTGCTGTCTTGGCTTCCAGGAAAGAATAACTTCATTGAAGACCGATCGAACATCACCTCATGTCAAACCTGAATGTGGTATAATGCGCTCGGAGCCAGCAGGCACTAACGGCAAAACCCCAAGATCCGACATACAACCTTCCATGCAACACCCCGTGACGGGCGCAAAACGACGATCTTTCTAGCAATCGGGCAGGAAGAGTAGGATGAATTCCAAAGCTTAGGTTCCCAGAAACTGTGGCACCTATAATTATTGTAAAGCGGCAGGCGCGTTCAACAACTCCGGCACAAACCCGTTGACAACATCGGGGCTGTAATCGGGATCAAACTTACAGGGTGGTCGATTTGCCCCAGAAGGTGCCATTTACCGACCGCCGTCAACCCAAGGCGTAAAGAGACAAGCTGGTAAGACTTAGACGTCTACCCTACAGCCCACATTATATCTGTCTCTACCATGATGATGCGCGGCATTTCGATGCCAGAAAGCGCGGCTGCAACCCCCCATCAAACAACCTCGTCGGGGCCAAGAGCCGACCAGATAGTTGGTCTTCCGGCCAATGGCTCTAAATATGAGCCGACGGCGTCCGCCATTTCGGGTTCCGTCATAACGCCGGCGACAGAGTCTCCCCCAACCAGCCCAGGTGATAACAACATCCGAGAAGGTTTGGGAAGCTTGAACCGTTGGTCCCAATCCACAGCGTCAAGCAAAATTTCAACTGACCACCTTGGTCACTACGTGGGAAACCATTCTAGGGTGCTTAGCACCACTGATCGCGGCCACGCCGAAGAGGCACAAGCAAGCGCGAATGTGGGGTTATCAAGTATCCCACCTCGCGCTATCAATCTACCGACAGACGGTGAAGTCTACCACGGATCTATGCCGGACCAGGGCCCAACTGATGTAAATCCGACTACATCAATACTAGAACTCCGAGGAATCGATACGTCGCCAAAGTTTTCAGCTGGCCTTGTGGGCGCGACCCCTGCGGAGGTTGATGTCTCGTCCGAGCCGACGATCATTCCGAATTTGTTCCAAAATCCCTGGTCCACGAAGGGCGGAGAAACGAAAGATTTCCAGCAAATGCCTCCCCACAACGCTATCCAGCGCCTGCATGATAACGAACTTCCCATTGACGATGAATCACACATGTCTACTGAACGGCGACGACGGGGTCATTCGCAGAAAGCGATGCTTTCAAAAGCTCTACAGAAAGCGAACACTGCCGTTCTTCTAGATAATGCAGCTAATTTCGAAGGTGCCATGGAGGCCTACAGTGATGCCTGCCAACTTTTGCAACTGGTGATGGTTCGGAGTAATGGTGGCAAAGATGAAAAGCTCAAACTTCAAGAGATTGTAAGTTTCTCGTAATTTCCGCTCAGTACCTGGTTGAGAGGCTAAGTTGTATAGCGTGACACGTATATGATTCGTGTCACCGAACTGCAACGCATGGATCTTTCTTTTCGAGAACCCGAAAGCAAAGCTCTCCCCGAACGCCCACTCAGCCAAGAGTCTTACGGGGGTCTTTCTCAATCAGTAGAGGAGGACGAGGCCGGCGTGTTACCTAGGGATCACGCTCGACATTCACTTCGTTTCTCTGGTCCTCGTCTTTCATTGACGGAGGAATCAAGGCCACTGGTTCTCGACCAAATCCCACCGAGACGCCAGTCGCTTTTGCCTTCCGTCCTGGATGACCCGCGGAATACAGACGCTTTGGCGGCTCTTGATAGGCATGCTGATGGGTCCCATTTCGAGTCGTTCCCCAGAGCGTCGGGACCGGGACATTCAGAAATGGTAGCTCCACCTGCCGCAGAAGACATTGCAGAACTGTTCACCCCCCATCAAACTTCAATCGACAATTTACAATACTCTAATCTACCAGCGGTCAACACACACGGTAGGGATATCTACGAGTCAACATCTTGGCTTGATACTATCGATGAATCCGGCGCATCCTCTCCCGCTTCTATGGGATCAAAAGCATCGTCAGTATATCTTCGCCATAGGGGAAGTCGTCTTTTCGGCCACACAACAGAGGCTGAATTTGATGCGGCCCTTGATGCCGCTGTTGAGGCTGCCTACGATGAAGGCCTAGAGCCGGCAATAGAATCAGGTGGTAAGCTCCACGGTGATGACATTGTAGCAAATGCCCGCAGAAATGTTGAGTTGGCAAAACAAAAAGTCCGAGAAGCCGAGCGAGAGGCTGAGGTGGCAATGACGCGTGGCCGAGATGCGTATCTGGAGCAAACGCCAGTTGAACAATCTCTGGGCATTGACTCAAGCTACCTTGATGAGGAGGCCGAGGAAGAGGAACGGTTGCTGGAAGAGATGACTAGAGAATATGTGATGGATGAATTTGAATTTGATCTTCAATCTAAGTCTGCTCTTCCTCGGCAGTCAGACTCGGGCAATCTATCCGGAAGAACTTGGGATAGCTCAGCGACATCTCACGCGACAATGGCTGGCGCAGCCTTGTCTCCGCTTGCAGAGGATACTCTTACCGAAGAGCAAAATCCACAGCCGAGCAGAACCGAATCAAAAACTCCAGCTAGTGCTTCCCCGACCTTTACCAAGCCGGCCCTCCCTACGGTGCTGGGTCCGAGTGTACGAGAACGAAGAATGTCGCGCCAAAAGACCGCTGAACTGAAGATCGAAACTCGGCTCAAAAGTGGCTCTGACCTATCTGGACCGAGCAAACCTTCGGCACCCCCCAATACTCGGCCACCGTCTCCCCCGCTTAAAGATGAGCCCAAGACCGGCTTTCCAATGAACATGGCCAAATCTGTCGACCGTCCCACCTCAAAGTCTGCAGGACATTCGAGCAAGCGAAATGCATCTGTGGGTTCCTTCATTGGAGAGATCCCCGCAAAGACAAGCCTCGGCCGGGCTGCAGATGACGAGGATCCTACGGAGCCCGCGGTACGTCCAGTTGGGAAAATCCCATCGGCACCGGATATTTTGGACAAGCCTCACCTGGGACCGAAAATGTTTCGAGCCAGAAATGTATCGATTGCGGGTCTCGATTCGACTTATGAATCACCACGCACCCCATCAAATATTGCCTTCCCACCTCTAGATTATCAGAGGGGAACGGCCGTCACTGCAGCGTCAGTTCTACCCACGCCCACCGGGGCGAATTTTGCTCCCAACGGTCTTCCTAGTGGTGGACTGTACCTATTTGATAACCATATCCATTCACCAACCAGCCTTGGCTCCCCCAACTTGATGGCTACTAATGCGCCTTTGCCCCTGGAGCCCTGCCCGGAATCTTTTCTCCTTCGCCCTTTCTGGCTCATGCGGTGTATCTTCCAAACGATTACCCATCCTCGTGGTGGCTATCTGACGACGAAGTTGTTCGTTCCTCGCGATGTATGGAGAGTAAAGAATGTGAAGATCAAGGCAGTCGAAGAAAAAGTCTCAAATTGTGATCTACTGACAGCAGCACTACTTAAATTAGCCAAAGTGGATACCTATGATGCCGATGCCGTACTAGAGGAGATGCAATCCCTCGAAAGTATTCTCGACCAGGTGCAAATATCGCTGTCTAAAAAAGTCGGTAGCGAGGTTGGTGTCCAAGGTGCCATGCCACTTTTCAAATCATCTCAATCTACCGAGGACCCAACACACGTCGACACCCTACCTCCAAAATCATCAACTGGAACGGGAAAGTCGTATTTGAGCTCCTGGCGCAAATTACGGTCTAAAAACTCCGGATTTGGTGCTGCAACGTCGATCTCCAATTCTAAGGATGGCAGCAAAGACAATCTCACAATAAGCTCGCTTCCCATGACTCTGATGCCCAGCTCTCAGCTCATCAAGCATACTGTAACTCAGCACCAATTCAGTGGACCCAACGCGAACTACATGGGTGCTTTGGCTCGACTTTGTGACGCAGCTCAAGTGTTAGGTAGGTGAAACCTGCCCACCGAACCGTTTGTAACTGGATAATAATATTGTCTTTCGGACAGATCAAATTGCCCAGCAAGTTGAAGATCCAGGTCTCAAGCACTCTTCCCAGACCCTTGTTGGTCTCGAACTGAGCACGCGTCATGCTGCAGAATTTTTTGGGTTCTATATATGTCGTTTTGCTTTGAATGACATCGGCGTGATGCTTGACAAGTTTATAAAACGAGGTAGTGAATGGGTTTTAGTATAGACGACTGTACTCCCTTCTACAGTATTCGGGTCTTTCATGTTGGCTTATTGCTGGTCCCGGCTTTCCCACCATGAGAATTCTGTATCAAATAATACGACATTAGACGACATGAGACTTATTACCACTCTTTGATTATCTATGTATATAGTGCTTCAAGTGCAATGCGGCAATCATGTATCTCCATGATCCCTTTGACGTATAGAATACCTAGGAAGGTGACCAGGGCGTAACCCGATCAATCTTTCACGGTAATTTTCGCCAGTTATCAATCATTAGGGCTCGCAAAAGAGATCCCACTAGTAAATAGTTGCTGCGTGATGCTACTATCTCGTATCGTGCCCGGCCAATACTCCGGCAAACCCTACGAAATCAAGATATCAACGGGTTGCTACTTCCAGAGAAAAACACGCACATATATACATGTGTCCATCAAGATGGAAGCAAGCATACTTGGGATGGGCTCCATTCTCTCTAGATTTCGGCCGAATTGATCACTGAGGTAGAACCCAATTCAATGATGGATCCATCATACTCGCTGCCCTATCGACATGAGACAGATTTGTCGGCGTCTCTCTGCATCCCGGATGATCTCTGCAGATAGTTTTAAACTTGGAGCAAGATGTGCATATCTATCGACCTCCGCCATAACACTGGAAATCACTCGGTCCACCTGACTTGTCGGAGGCAATAGCATCGAAAGAGCTGGGGACATCGTTGCACCCATAATCAATAAAGTCTGTGATACCATCGACAGTGCGCCCTGCCAGAGATACGGGAGATGACCTTCACGGTGGCTTGTGATATTCTCCAGCTGGCGTAGGGTAGCCTCCAAGCATCGTCGGCAGCACTCCCTCACACCAGGATCAGAACATGCCTGCTCGTTTTCGAAAACAGCCAGTATATATGGTCGGTAAATGATTGTACGGCATGCAAAATACCGTAGCCTGAGGACAGTTTGAACCGGATTGGAAGCGGGTGTGTGAGAAAGTGGGAACTGGAGTGGTTGAGGAAGATTTTCATACCACTGCGAGAGCTGGAAGTCTAGCTCCGAGACTATTGGTCCAAGGGAGCTCAGGGTTAGAGAATTGTCTTTCTGATAAATCATATGGCTCACTCGGTTGAGCAAGCGTCTCAAAGCAATCTCCGCTAGGAAGTACCAGAGCTCGTCACGGCCCATGAACCGATTGACAGCCTCACTTTCTCGACGCTCGCTGTCTATTCCCTCTTCCTCCTCTTCCTCCTCGTCCTCGTCTTCATCCTCGTCCTCGTCCTCAAATCGACCCGGAAGGTCGACGAGCTCCTCAAAGTGTACTATGCCCGAGTGCGGCAAGTCCAGTTCTGCTAGCAGGTCACTCTCGTATAAGAGAGCATTCCAATACACCCTCACACTTAGCTCTCTCCATTGCGAAGGAACGCGCGAGGGGTTGCCAAATAGCAACTGTAATTTCATACTAGCATTTGACAGCAGAGTCCAGGCTTCCAGGGGCCGGACCAAGTAGAATAGATAGGCGGACGTGAGAATTATGCACTGGGCAGCAAGTACTGAATTCCGCATCATGACGGATGGAAGAAGACTCCATGCCGCTGCAAAATATGGAAGGCCTGGGGCATCTTCGTTTTGAGAGACACACGAGATACTTCCACATTGCGCGGCACAACCGAGAGCTAATACCAGGAGAGCAACACAACTTTCAGGGCCTTCTCGGAACCTGACTGAGGCAGCCGTATTGTAGTACTGAGTCCACGTGTGGGGGTTGACACAGGCATACCAGACATTGACTCGTTCGAAGAATGCCTGGATATAAAGGTCTGCGTTGGACAAGTCAAACTCCATGGGTGAGGCCGTTCGGAGCGGCTCGCGAGCCATTTCAAGCTGTAGCAAGGTATGAGGATCATAAGGACCAGCGACTAGGTCTCGGATCAGCGGCCACTGTAGAAGGTGTAATGCAGGCGTAGTATGTACTTTGGGCATCGTAGATATGCTTGTGGGTGGATTCGCCCATGAACCGAGACCAACTACAGATGTTCTTCCAGGCATGGCAACGAAATTTGACGTCTTTCCCATAACATCGTCGCTGTGGGTATCATTGCTGGTCGTAGGCGACTGTGTAGACAATGGCAACGAAACCGGCTGGCCGATTAGATTAGATTGCAATAATCCTTCGATTCTGTTTAATCTTTCAATAATCAGCTTATCGCCCGCATCGAGTTTAATGCCGGGTTCTCTGTAGATGCAGTCTACGTCGAGGTCGGTGCATAGCTGACATCTTGGCCGTGCGCCATTGCATCTTGTTTTTCGAAGGCGACATATCTGGCACTGTCATCCCCCTCCCCCCATAGTCGGCGATCAATATAAAGCAATACCGGCAAGTAGTATCGGCAGGAGAAAGGGACTTGAGGAAGCGGGCGCATGATAGGATGCGCCACAGGAAAGAAGGATGATGACTTACCGCTATTGTAGCACGTCGCCGAGGATACTCTGTCACCTCCGAGTTTGAACGCTTTTTCTTGCTCGACTGAAAGCCATTGGAGGGAATTGCAGTAGCTGCGCTGAAAGGTGCATCCCCGTCTTGTTCTGGAGAGGGAGACATGGTGTTGTTGATGCTGGGCTGTTTCGAATAGATATAAGCGGGTCGGATTGGGTCTTTCACTGGAGGAGAGGTAGCAGCGTATGCACAAGTCAGGACAATTCAAGCGGCCAGTCCAGTAATCCACTCATTGTAGGGTGGACATTATATCCAGGGCCCATGGCATTTTGACGGTTAGGAGCAGATCGTTCGCTTTTGGGGTAAATCCCACGCGGTTAGCAGACAAGGGAATCAGATCAGCTACCTATGACTATGAAGGGGGGGAGAGGGATTCAGTCAGATTCCCTCCGTATTATGAGGACGAATTAGGTACTAGGTAGCGACATTTCCATCATTTCCACCAACCATCCAGCCCAACAGAAAGCGGGGCGGATGCTAGCATCAATCGCAGAGGCTCTAATATATTAGTATAACTGGTTAGCCGAGGATGAACCAACCCCAGAGTCGGTCATCAGATGATCGGGCAGCGCAAAGCACGGACGATGGTCAAGACCAGGTCATGAGTGAATGTTTGATTGCCTAGAGTAAGGGGAAATAAGAAAATAAAAATAACAAGATAGGACGGGGAAGCGTCACAGCTGCAACTACCGTGATACAATCAGTCTAGATCCATGTACTCAGTATGTATATTACTGTACATGATAAGTAAAGTACTGGTACGTGGATACCTGGCGGGTACGGAGTAGTACTTCCCTCTCCTAGTGGGACAGATGGATGACCACGTGCTGACCCGACGCGTTCTGTCGCCAAAAACAAAAGAAACGCGACAAGGCCCTCTGGTATAGCCCAAGTAGCTTGTCTACCCAATAATTCTTGGTCGATCATATTCAACTGCTACACTCGACCGCCTACACCCGTATGCGTGTCTGACTCCTCCCATTCTCTCTATCATCTCCTGAATTTAACTTTGGAAACAGAAAACACCTGCCGCAAATATTATCATCGACGGCTCGATCAAGAAACGGAGACCGGTGGTTTATTAACTCTACACCGTAGTCATCTTTGTTTCACAACCCTATCAACTACGAGAAACGCAAGAGCCATCTTCTCCGTTGATACATTCCTCCAAACCCAGTCAACATGCCTCGCCCCCCCTCAAAACGAACTCGCCCGGTCACCAAAACCTTGACAGCCTCAAATGAAGGACCCCCCCAGCGCAGTCCTAGACGAGAGAATGCCAACTCGGCTCAAACCTTGGGATCACCGTCGAAACGCAATCCAGCTGTGGACAGCGCTACACAACCCAGACTGAACACCCAGGTGTCAGGCATCTCACGGCAGGTGAGGGACCAGACTCCCACATCCGATGCTCAAGAACAAGCGATCGAGTCGTCGCCGATGGGGGAGCGCGGAGCAACAGGGAGCCGACCACCAACCCGATCTCGTGGTTATTCATCTACCCTTTCTGTGGCCGGACGCAAAGGAGAGACTAGCTCAAAAATTCCCGGTACGCCTGCATTTGAAAGTTCCATATTGAGTAATTTCAGACGACGTCCGCGGCAACCGAGCATCCTGCAGATGATGCAAGCAGAGGATGGCTCCTCAGATTTCGACGATGATGATTTTCTCGGTGGCTTCAGCCCAGAAGACGAGTCCACCCCACTGAACCTTTCCAGAGGAAAATCACTCGTGATGCAGGGTGCCGTGACTTCCTCTCCGTCCCAGATATCATTGCCCTCTAGCGGTGGATCGCGCAAGCGCAGACGATCACCAAACGAAATTGCAAATCCCGAAGCACCCCTGGCTGAAATAGGATCCAGCCCTGTCAACTCGGCCACTTCACCAAATCATGATCGTGAACGAGAACTGCGTGCCTTCGTGGAATCACCTCAAACCTCAGCATCTTTTGCATTTTCGACACAAGCAACGGTACCCCCCTTAAGCAGCAGCTTGCCTCCAAGCCCCGCATCCACTGCGACGTTAGAAGGTCCTCGGAAACTCGCAACTGGGAATGCCGATGGGAGGTCTGGCAACAAGATTAGTCTTCCGACTACCGCGCTTCAAGACAAGCTCCTTCCCAGACGACGTCAAAGACGGCGCAGACCTCGTCACGTGCCTAACGCTGGGGACTCAGACAATTCGAGCGAGGATGATGAGTCTGTCGGTGAGCACGACGAGGATGAACTAAGTTATCTCCCTGACCAAACAATACCATGGCCGCAACGAAAGCGACTAGCTAAGCCCAAAAATTTCCCCAATCTTCGAAATACACATGGGGCTCAAGGGACCAAGGCATATGGAAATCAAACCAATTCAACGGCCCCGCGCCCAAAACAAAATGAAGGAAACAGGTTGGAGATGGACAAAGAAAACAACGAAATAGATTCCTCATCCCCTATATCGTCCCCCCCTGCCTCGGAGACACTCGAAGCAGAACCACTGCAAGAAAAAATGTCAGTTAACTTCATCAGCGAGGAGCTGAGAGAACAGGCACGAAAGTTTGCAGAAGTTGATAATTGGGAAATGGAATTCGAGGACGTCCCTGCTAGCCAGAACAGCCTTGGATGACCTACCCTGTACGTTAGATAACAATGCATCGCTGGCTCAGCTAGAGTATACGGAGCCTGTAAAGAAACGATATGACTTAGGTCCATGGATGCTTCGCACGATAAGTTCTTGTATTACCATTCTGTAATGCCACTTCCCCCACACAACTTCATACTCCGTAGGACTGCGGGACAGAGGCCCCGATGTTAGCCGATGGTTGGCAGGTGTTGAGCCCCGCAATCAACCCCTCTCAGTTCCCAGCTGATTTTGCAAACATTGCCTTATTCCGCCAGGATCCGTGCTCAAATTCGAACGGAGTGGACTTCGAGCTTAGTTACACTGTCTTGAGATCCTACAACTTCTCGTTATCAGAAGCGGACGACGATGGCTACCTTGGAAGCCGTTCTAGCAGGCAAATATCCGGCCAAATCCCATGCGCGTCGGGTTGCTGAACACCTGAGAGCGAATGGCCATGATGGTCCTGGTATCATTTATTTGGAGGCGCAGAAAACGCGTCTAATTGAAGACAATGACGAGGCTATGCCTTTCAGGTACATGTTGGCGCTTCCCTCAAACAGAAGATGGTTACTGATCGCAGGCTTTCAGGCAACGCCGTCCCTTTTTCTACTTATCGGGATGCTTGCTTCCTGATTCTTATTTGATGTACGACACAAGTGCCGACAAATTGACTCTTTTCATCCCCCCGGTTGACCCCGAGGAAGTAATCTGGTCAGGCCTCCCTCTTTCCCCGGCCGAGGCCCTGGAGCGCTATGACGTCGACAGTGTGCTTGCGACAACCGATGTCAATAAGACCCTCGCTTCTACCGCCTCGGCCCACCAGGGAAATGCTGTTGCTTTTGCAATTGCAGACCAAGTTTCGAGTGACACCAAATTCCAAGGTTTCCTTGAGACCAACTACTCCGTACTGAAGGGCGCAATTGAAAGAACGCGTGTCGTTAAGGACAGTTACGAGATTGCCCTCCTGAGAAAGGCAAACGATATCTCCGCAAAGGCGCACATTGCAGCCATACAGGCGTCGAAGTCTGCAACGAATGAACGTGAAATCGAGGGTGCCTTCATTGCAACATGCATTGCGAACGGCGCGCGGGAGCAATCCTATCACCCAATCGTTGCTTGTGGCGAGAACGGAGCCACCCTTCATTATGGTAGAAACGACGATCCTCTGAGAGACCCGGCGACTCAGCAAAGAAAGGGAAGTGTCCTTATCGATGCTGGAGGAGAGTATCGTGCGTATTGCTCCGATGTGACTCGTGTTTTCCCTCTAGGCGGCAAATTCGCTACGGAGACTCGGCAGATCTATGAGATAGTCCTGCGAATGCAGATTGAATGCATTGCGATGCTCAAAGATGATGTCCAGTGGGAGGACGTACATGCTCACGCGCATCGAGTCGCAATTGATGGGCTGGTAGATCTGGGGATCCTCCGCGGTTCGAAGGATGAGCTGTTCGACAAAAGAATAAGTGTGGCGTTTTTCCCCCACGGTCTGGGGCACTACCTGGGAATGGACACTCATGACACCGGAGGTAACCCGAACTATGGGGACAAGGATTCCATGTTTAGGTATCTTCGAGTGAGAGGTCGTCTGCCGGCGGGATCAGTGATTACAGTTGAACCAGGGGTAAGATCACACCTCGGCCCTCACGACTTGTTTCTGGTTGCTAACAATCTTTCCTGTGGCTTTGTCCTTTAGATCTACTTCTGTCGCTTTATCATTGACCCTTTCTTGAAATCCCAAGAATTGAGCCAATATATTGATGCCAATGTCCTGGAGCGCTATTGGAGCGTGGGCGGGGTTCGCATCGAAGACAACATTCATATTACGAAGGAGGGATACGAGAACCTGACCACAGCCCCCAAAGCCATCGAGGAGGTAGAAGGACTGGCACAGTGAACGGAGTACGCACATATCCAAACAACAAAGTAGTGGCCAATTGAGTGATACTGTATTCCATCTTGTACATCATTACAAGCCCTCGAACGGCTTCTGAGTATTGTTGTACATACCAACTTACAGGCCGCTCCGCAGCCGTTTCCTTCCACTTCCTTTGACACCTGATTCGGCTTCCGCTCTATCCTGCGAGCGTTTTTCCTTCTGATCAAGAACGAGATTGAGCACGTCAAAACAGAACTGCGGAACTTCAAGGCACAGCTTCTTGAATTCTCCCTCTGCTTCGTGACGCAAGACATGACTTCTCATTGCCCAAAATGAAGCCACTGGCTTCCTGATCGTGACATCGGTTATAGGCGTATGAGTGTATACATACCGGGCGTAGGCGATCTCACCTTGAGAGGTGCTGTTGATGCGGTGAATCTTGGAATGAGCGAGGGTCTTCAGAGGCGCGATACCAAGCTTCTCCGCCAACGTGTAGACCCGTGCATGTTTTAACAACTGCTCGCCACTGTCGTCAATTTCCCCTACGACAGCTTCTTCTGTAGTGGCCCCGGTAGGAGAAGCCGAGTAGTCGCGCGTGTATTGGAATTGTAAGAAGTATCCAAAAGCTTCCACGTTTTCGTCGGGAAGTTCGATGCGACGCTGCCAGATTTAGCAATTATTCCCATTTAAATCGGGACTGTGTTGTTTCCCTACCGAGCTCGAGTCCTTGAAGGCCGCGACTGCCTCCGCAAGGAGCGGAGACTCCAAAAGCAGGCTTTGATGTGCGGTCAAGACTGTTTGATCTTCTCTCGACCCGACAGCAAGTTCCACGATAGGCGATGTCAGAAAACTGACGCAAGGTAAGCTAGAAAGGCCTCCCGAAGGCCAATGACTAGTCGGAGTACGTAGTGTGGGCGGCCTATATTAAATTGGCGCAAAGAAGAGGCTTCTTACTCGAGAAATTGAAGACCAGGCTTCTTCTTCACCGGAGCTGGTTCCTCGATCCGCTTTGGATCTCCTTCTGCCTCTCCATCTGGTAGAGGGGCGCCCTGAGTCGGTTTTGTGTGGTCTTCATTCGCGACATCTGCATTCTCGGTCGAGCCCATGATCACATCGGGAGCTTCAGTATTTGAAGGTGCCTGGGCATTGTCTCCGGCCTGAGCGGGTTCAGGACCGCTGACCTCTACCTGAGGCCTGTCCATTGGATGAGATGGACTGCAACGATCGCGTGTACGGCAATGGGGGGAGGTCGGCGCGTAGGTCCAAAAGGATGAGCAATGCAGGAGAAATTGGAGTCGAAGGGTAGCAATTGCTGGCTAGCGACGGGACCAAATAGTAATGCAAATTGATCGGAATGTTGTAAGGTGGATAGGACCAACCCCAATGGACGGATTGACGTTGACGTTGACAGGGGACAAGATGAGCTCAAGCTGTTTTGACGCCCCGGATCACCAGGTACCGTACGGGACGGGAGACCGGGGGTCAAGGCGGCTGATAGGCTAAGTAAAGGGTTCCTGAGGCTCCCTTTCCTGGATTGTCTATTGACAGGCACCTTGAAGGTTTTGTATATGGCATATGATTTGAAATTACATTGAAGTCAATATGTTTATAGTTATAGTATTATCGATGAGAACTCTTGTTTCTTTGCCTAGGAGGTAAACCGTCTGGAGCATGTATCTGGTACTTGACTTACCATACTGAGTAGGTAGGCAGGTAGGTAATCTAGTACCGTACTGATACAGAATGCATGCCGAACAGACGCACGTGACCGTGGTCGCCCTCCCGGTTGTAGCCGCCATGTCCCCCCACCTTGCCAGTTTTGTCAGGTGGTGAAATGATTAGGTAGAATTCAAGAGCGGAGTCAAATCATAGATAGAAATTGCTGCTGCTCGTTATTGCCATCTTGATGGTCCCTATCTGGCAACCTTGTACCACCTCAGTTTTCACTCCCACTTAAAATGGCGACCGTCAGCCACCCACGCAGAGACCCCAATACGCTGAGTAATTATGATAGCTGGTTGTCTACGCATATCACAGCCAACTTTGCGATCCTATTCGATGAGAAGAAGCTTGCCGGAAATGTCGTCCACAAGCTCAAATCGAGAACCGATTCGGACTCTACCGAGATCATCCTTGACACCAGCAATGTGAAAGTTGGGGGCGTGCATATCGATGGCAAACCTTCCTCGAACTGGGAGCTTCTTGCTCCACAGGAACCTTATGGATCTGCCTTGAGGATAGTCCTTGATCACGGTGTTAGTCGAAATGAGATCGTGACAATCGACGTATGTGTTGCTTTTGAGCTTCCCGCTACCTAGTTATAGCCCATTCGTCTAACACGCAATTCAAATCAGATCGCGGTCGAGACAACTGAACGATGCACTGCGCTCCAATGGCTAACACCGGCCCAAACGTCGAATAAGAAACATCCCTACATGTGTACGCCGATACCCCTCTGGAAGCGAGACAAGGAAAAAGCACACCCGATGGATTGCTAACACGCCATGCCTAGTCTCTCAATGTCAGGCTATTCATGCACGGTCCATTTTCCCGTGCCAAGATACGCCTGATGTTAAATGTACTTTTGATTTCAACATCGAATCCCCACTTCCTGTGATTGCTAGTGGCCTGCCGATTGACAAGGAAGAGCCGCAGTCCGGTAACGCAACGTACCGTTTCCACCAACGTGTGCCGATCCCTACTTATTTGTTCGCCCTTGCTAGTGGGTAAGTGATCTCAATGCCCGTTCAATTAAATAGATAATAACCTACGCTTACTCAATCGATGACAGTGACATCTCAGAGGCCACTATCGGACCCCGGAGCGCTGTTGCGACAAGCCCCGACAAACTCCAGGAATGCCAATGGGAGCTTGAAGCGGATACAGAGAAGTTTATTCATGCAATCGAGGTTTGCGCGCTAGTCAAGGGAACCCAACGGTGTCATCTTTCTAATACACGTGTTTTAGGCAATTGTCTACCCCTATGTTTGGGGTAGATATAACGTGCTGATTCTACCACCGAGCTTTCCGTACGGTGGCATGGAGAATCCAATCTTCACATTTGCCACTCCTAGCATCATCTCCAAGGTTACTGGACCCGCTTCAAGAAATCGCGCCTAGGTACTAACCTAGAACACAGGATAGGGAAAATGTTGATGTTATTGCGCACGAGCTCGCGCATAGCTGGAGCGGTAACCTGGTTACCAATGCCTCTTGGGAACACTTCTGGTTGAACGAGGGCTGGACAACCTATTTGGAGAGACGGGTATGTTCCTGGTTCATGATGTCTTCCCCATGCACGCTTCTCACGAAAGCAATACCGCTAACTGCTGGTTGCATATCAGATTTTGGCTGCCGTGTAAGTCCTTCGTGCGCTTTACCTTGTCAAGCCTAGCAATACTGATCGGTCATAGCCATGGCGAACCGTATAGACATTTCTCGGCCATCATAGGCTGGAAGTCGCTTGCTGATTCTGTGGAGCATTTTGGGCATGACCACGAGTTCACCAAACTAATCACTGACCTCAAGGGGAAGGACCCTGATGATGCATTTTCAAGCATTCCGTATGAAAAGGGATTCAACTTTCTCTATCATCTAGAAACGTTGGTGGGAAAGAACAAGTTTGATCAGTTCATTCCTCATGTGAGCTTGCGATCAAATTTACAGACCGAAGAGTCACTGACTGATATGTCTCTCTTCTCTCTTCTAGTACTTCATGACCTTCAAGGAAAAATCCCTTGATTCATTCCAATTCAAATCGACAATCTTGGACTTCTTCCAATCCGATGCGGAAGCCTCCAGATTGCTAAATGAACTCGACTGGGATACCTGGTTTTACGCGCCTGGATTGCCACCCAAGCCCCACTTTGATACCTCTCTTGTGGATGTTGTATACGAGCTATCCAACAAGTGGAAGTCACTTCCTCAATCATCGTTCAAGCCCCAGCCGAGTGATATCAAGGATTTGACTGCGAACCAAGTTGTCGTATTTTTGGAACAGATCTTGCTTGGAAACCCCCTCACACCTGAGCTGTCTGGGCTCATGGGTCAGGTATATGGATTTGCCTCAAGTGAAAACATTGAGGTCTCAAATCTCTATCTTCAGGTGGGCCTGAAGGCCCGGGATGAAAGCGTGGTTGAGCCGACCGCAGAATTACTAGGCAGGATTGGGAGAATGAAATTCGTTCGACCGCTGTAAGTACTTTCCGTGTTTGATTGGGTACAACGGAATTCTTGCTGACCGGCTATAACAGCTACCGAAACCTCCAGAAATTCAGCCGAACCCTTGCAGTTGACACTTTTGAGAAACACAAGGAGTTCTATCATCCTATCTGTCGAGCCATGGTTGAGAAAGACCTATTCGGCAAAGGAGGAATGTAAATTGGCAGAGAAAACCGCGTCAGTTGTCGTATCTTGACTGGTTGAGGAACGTGTTCAATCAGGGCCTTTCTCCTGGAACAAGGGGGAGAAACCTGAATGTTCAATAATCAACTGATTCTAATGCAAGTCTTAATTCGAGCCCCTACGCAAGGAAGTGTCGGATTTCTGCTCGTAGTGATTTGATCAATATGGACTTTATAAATTCGCTCTGCTATGAATTGCAAGGTGTGATATTGACTGCCTCGTTTATTAAGATATTGTCCTGCAAGAGAATAAGACATAGTAAGACAATGAGAAAAGAAAAGTCCTAGATGGGGAGGCCAATAGAGATGAAGGGGACTAGAGTACAGGCTCTATCCAGACCCAAAGTTCTTGTTTATTCGTGCCTCTGGTTGTCGTCGATGGAAAACTATCGTTTCGCATCCACCATAGATTCGTCAGAGACAGATTTGCCAAATATGGCGGGCTTTCCTTTACTCGGGTGATTTAGCTGGAAGATCAAGTCGGCTTCGGTCACCTGCGAAAGCTCCGAGGTTACTCGTCGCATATACGAGACAACACGAGCAACCTTCGCCCAATCCAACTCGCTCCCATCTGACTCTGTGTAGCTTGCTTTCCAAAGGTTTCTCCAAACTGCCGCCCCTAAGACAGCATCTCCTTTCACAAGGCCCTCGTCATAGGCCGCGAGGACACCCCGCCACTGGATGAACAGATCTTTCAGAAACTTATTTCGAATAGCACGACTGGTCAAACCATGAAGAACGTCCATTCTGTGTTCAGCATTGTGAGAAAAGTGATCGATTAAGTGCCTCGAATATGTCTGGAAGCTCTCGTGAGATGGCAAAGCTCGCAACCGGACTGTTAGGAGGTACATGTGGAGAAAGGTGACTTGCGACCAGGACGAGAATGTTGGAAGGAGGCCCAGATCTGTCCTCGAATAGTTAGCTCTATCACTTGGGAAACCATCTTGCCGGGCAACACACCTTCGTACCACCACCCTGCTCCAACACCGAGATCTTCACCAGCTGCAGTCTTGGGTACTTGAGCCCCCCTTTGTGATACTTGAGGAATACTGTAATCCGCCTGCATAGAACAGGCCTCAAAGAGCTTCTGTGTCATTCCATAAGCCACATATGTCTCCGCTGCTGTACCCTGGCGCGGCATAACTGCTTGCGCTAGTCGTGAGGAGTTTCTGTGTAGAACAAAGCCGGGACGTGATAGTTTCAACGGCTGGAACGGTTGGCTTGCACGACGCGAGGAGCACAAAGACGTGGAGAGGGATTTCCGATCGACATCTGATGAGGTGGCATGATGGCCGAGGGCTCTGGATGAACTCGAGGATTTGTAGATGGCATGCGCCTGGAGCTCATGTTAGCGATCCATTGAGTACAGTTACTTGTGTCGATGCATTGGCATACCTGGGGTCTCGAGCATTGAGGACTACAAAGCCCTCGTGTTCCTGAATTGATTGCCAGTTTCCGGGGTAGCATTTTGCAACTCATTATTCGGAATCTTGTGACTTGACATACTGCGGCAAACCCACCGGAGGAGAATGGTTAAATTGGTTTTGGTGGTCGATCCCATGTTTGCACTGTTTGACACCGAGTTACGCCGGATACACTACACAGGCACCTGGACAGTTTTCACCGCATAACTCCCTATTTGGTGTAGTAGACAGTTCTTTAGAATTTAGTGGTGTCCTCATATTGTTATCCTATCTTCCGAATCAACATAGTAGAGTTGTATTGTTGAGTACTAACACTAAATCCTTCATGAACGGACTTGTTGAAATGGCCGATAACACATGACAAGAGATAATAATCCCAGCTAAGAGTTAGGCAGTCAAGAATGGTATTGATTTATAGATATGATTGGTCTTCTTTCCATGGAACGACTGAGTCTCTGTAAGCATCGCCGATTAGAATGGGCTAAATATGGGTACATGCTGGGGGTTAGGTAACAACCAAATAGAACATAAGACATGACCCCCATATTTTGGCGCTGATATGATCAGATTGAATTGCTCTCAGCTTGCGCTTGAGTGATCGATAACCCTGCAGCTGAGCAACATTCTCAGTCCCATCCACCTGAGAAGAGCGCTTGTTTAAGTCTGCCAAGGCTTCGGCATTGAGCGTTGCGAAGTGTTCTGTTGTGCGATCAAGAGGGAGATGACAGCCAAAACGGCTCTAGGCCAAACAGGCCTAACCTCCTCCACGGAAATTCCCCATTTACCAGAATTTGTAAAGAGGAGTTGACCATGAGATACACATGAAAACCCGCCGCTCATCCATGCAGGCGCCCGAACGAAAATGCACTTGTAATATGCAGTGTTCAGTGGTTGGGACATGGGTAATTCAAGATTGAGGTGCCCAGATTTAGACGACTGCGTCTGGAGGTTAATGTCAAGGGTAGCAGACTCAAAGCCGAGAAGAATAGTGCAGTAGTGTCTTCGTTCGCTGGCATAGCCTTGACCTAGCAGGTTCCGGACTGATATACTAGGGCATGTGCTCATCTGTATCGAAGTGATAGTAGAGCCCTCATCTTTGGGAACAAGAAGTGACTGGTAGGAGTTTCATCTTGATCAACTCTTCTGTTTCCCTCTCACTTTCATGCGTCTCAACGTGAGAGGCTAATTGGCTGCGGTACTCTCATCTGCAACCGTTTTCTAATTTCTCAAGCTGACCCGCTCTAAGCGTTTCTCAAGGAGAGGTAAAGCTTCTGACAGTCTATTTGGGTCTCTCATCACGGCTGGAACGTCATCTCTAGTAGCTGCTAACACCTGGTGTAATCAGTTAGCTTGAAGTCTTCAATTTGGGTGTCCCTGTATAATGGAGGACATACCCGTCGAACGGTCGCGTAGTCGCTTTCTTTGGACTGGTATTCTCGAATCACCTCCATATCCTCAAAATCAATGTACACCCTCGTATCTCTGAGGCGAACCAGGACATTGTCAAGCCTCATAAAGAACCTCGACAACAGAAGCAATCGCTTGGGCATCACACGAATCTTGCACGACAGCGTCGTGATGCCATTATCAGCGAGTTCGTCTTCGTATAATATGACCTCATCAAAGAACAAAATAGGGTCGGGACGTTTGAGTAATTCGACGGGAATCGGCTTCTCGGTTGCTTCAAATGGTAGGCTTCGAGGGTGAATAGTGCCCAGATAATCCGTGCTATAAGACCAGTCGAAAGGTTTGACAACTTCCTTGATACCCTCATGCGTTTTCTCCCTAATTCTCTGGTTAGAGATAACTGGAAGAAGGAGCTGCAAGGCTCGCGATCGGCTTTACCTGCTTCTCTGCCACTCGTTCGAATAAGCAACCTTCAACATCGACGCACCCGTTTTGTCTACACGATCTAGAGCATCAAATGCGTTGAATGTGATTCCCCAGTCCCCACCATCTTGCTCAATCGTAACGTAGTTATCTCCAAAGATCATCTCCGGCGGTGCAATGCCTAGCCTTTGGGTCATGTCTTCGATCGGATCGGCTTTTAGTATGGGTCGTTTTTGGGTGGTGATTTTGAACCCCATGACGGAGATAGTATTGGGAGTTGGGTCCGTGAGAGACATTGCGACCGGATGTATTGCTTTTCGCCTTCCCTGCTGAGTTCGTGAAATCACCGGTTGCACCTGGAGCTTGAGTTATTATTATCACCGTACCCCCGAACGTGGACCTGGACATGCATCTGATGTGAATGCCGTACCCCGCGGCTTCGGAGAAAAAGGCGGACCGGTTGGTTACCCCGGTGATGGCTTTAGCAACTGGCCCCGATAAACAGCGGATCAGCTGGAGCTTCAAGTCCCCTTCCTTCCCCGTTCGTTCTATTCTTCTCTTACATCCAAACACCTAATTCACTTCCTCATCTGGCGAGTACAGAGCAGGCTATGTTATAAGAAATCGCTCAACTTCTCAATTGATTCATTAATTCTCTCGCCCTTCCCCTTGTGTGGTCTCATCCCCTCAACGCACCACAATGTCTACGAAGACGCTGGAGGCTCGTCTCGAGCACCTCTCCGTTAAAGACGAAAATGAGTCCGGGAGTCATGTGGGAGGCTATACAAAGCACAAGGTAATACGGCACACTTGAATTACGGTCGCGTGGCCAGCTAATGATGTGCTTCAGAGCTCTTTATCAACGGCGACCTCCCTTGCAGGCCTCGGGACTTCCGCGCAGTTGAATAATGGTTCGAACAGATCCAACCTGCTCAAATTGGCTCTGCAAAACACCAATGACAATAAAGTCAATTCGATGAATGTCGGATCTTCCCCTAAAAAAGCCAATTTGCCGAGTCGCAATGTCGACGAGAACGGAGATCAACGTCATGCACTTTACGAGCAGCCATCGCCCAAGAACTTACACCTGGGAATGTTTGAGATTGGCAAGCCATTGGGCAAGGGAAAGTTTGGCCGAGTATATTTAGCCAAGGAGCGATCGTCGGGATTCGTGTGTGCACTCAAGGTATTGCACAAGTCCGAACTGCAGCAGGGTGGAGTGCAAAAACAAGTCAGGCGCGAGATTGAAATCCAAAGCAATCTGCGCCACCCTAACGTGCTTCGACTCTATGGGCATTTTCACGACAGCAAGCGCATATTTCTCATTCTGGAATTTGCCGGACGAGGCGAGCTATATAAACATCTTCGCAAGGAGCATCGTTTCCCCGAGTGGAAGGCTGCCCAGTACATCGCCCAAATGGCCGCAGCCCTGAAGTACCTGCACAAAAAGCACGTTATGCATCGAGATATCAAGCCTGAGAATATTCTGGTCGGAATTCATGGCGAAATCAAAATCAGTGATTTTGGTTGGAGTGTCCATGCGCCCAACAACAGGAGACAGACGATGTGTGGTACATTGGACTATCTGCCCCCAGAGATGCTGAAGCCTGGCTCTCAGGACAACTTCTACAGCGAGAAAGTTGACCTATGGAGCTTGGGTGTTTTGACGTACGAATTTTTGGTTGGAGAAGCGCCTTTCGAAGATACTCCTGTCATGACACAGCGAAGGATAGCACGGGCAGATATGTCGGTCCCTTCATTCGTCAGCCCAGAAGCGAAGGACCTGATCAAAAGAGTATGTCCAACCATGATTCTAATAGACATGTGCTTACATTTCTTAGCTCCTCGTGCTTGAGCCGGAAAAACGCATATCCCTGGATGAGATCCAACGGCATCCCTGGATCCTCAAACACTGCGTCAAGGAGGAGAAAACCATGAAAAGAAGCTCTGGATTGTCCAAAGACGGCAAAGCCTGAAGCGTTCATGCATCTGCCGGGGTTCTGGTGTTAGGATGTCGATTTCGAAGCGGTCATGCCACACACTGCATGGGATTTTTCTGTTTATCTTCTGCCTCACATGGAGTTTTTATTCGTTTTGGGACGGAGTTTGGAGCCTGGTCTTGCGCATTTCTCAGCCCCGATATAGGCGTTATAAGGTTATTCCAAGTGAGAATATTGAATTATAATACAATGTCTTCTTCAAACAAAGAGAAATGAGAAGAGAGGTGCATGATGGAAGGGTATATATATGGTATCATCGATAAATCTCATCGAAAGGTCGCGTGTCCCGGAAACAACTGTCCCAGACCTCATTGACGACTTTGGTCGCATGCGCCTCGTCTTTACACGTGGGTCTTGCTCGTACTGACAGAATGGCCCTTCTTCGCACACATTCCTGATGTTGTTGCGTGAACTTCCATTGGCCTCGACGAAAGAACTCCCGCGCCCATCTACATTCACCGCTGAGCGAACTGGCGCGAATCTGTTAAGAAAGTTAATTCACTGGCATATAGCTGCAAAGAGGCTGAACCTATGCTCACCTCTGTGCAGGCAGCATGCCGAAGATTTTCCGTCCAGTTGACTTTGAACCTGAGATGGTCAAAAGCATGAACCATTTCATGGGCCATTGTGTCCTCAAGGTGTCCTTGATCTTTCATTTCGTTTGCACAGAGAAGTATTCCGTACTCCGGGTCAAATCCTCCCGCTTTTCTATTCGTGCATCGACGACAGTAGATATTGTGGCTGGAAAGGTCACCTCCGAGTTGTCGAATGCCATCGCTCAAATAGCGGATGACAGGGCCTACAATCAATCCCTTTAGCCGCTGAACTCAACATAGACGAAAATTGATGACCCACTCCATTGTAATAGGTAATCTCGCTGGTCCTCGCAGCGTTTGCAATCCGCAGCCTCATTCCGAATATCTCTTGCCACGCGGAATTCTTCCTTTCCTTTGTCCGTCATTTTCCCCGACAGGATAGCGAAAACGTTGCGCCATTGGGTCCATGTGTCGTCTCCCGGTATGAATCCCGTATCCTGGGAGCCATTTGAGGAGGTTGTCGTGTTCGGAGACTCGGACTCTGGCATGGTGAGAATGAAATTGGAGCTTCGAGCTGATGTCGAGGTGAATCGGTCCAGCAAGACTGGCGAGCTCCGCGGACAAGGAAGCAGAATTTCGCCGCGCTTCTCCGCATTGGCGGTGATAATCGGCAGAAAAGCGCTGATGCCAATGAAACAGTTCAATTGAATCATTGAAATGGCCTCCATAGTGGGGGTCCACGAAGTAAGCAGCCTTGCCTACCCAGAGGCTATGCCATGGACATCAATGTAACTTCTTGTTGAATCAAGTAAGGTTAATAACACAATGGCCTCTTCACGATTGACTATTGTCATCAAGCTAGGTGAAGCCTGATGCCCTTGGAAGCCGCACATGAATGACGCTGACTCTTCACAGGGACAAGTTCTATTGTGGATGAGAATACGCATGAACCTATCCTCTCAATTCTCACCCTCATAGTCGAGACTGTTGCTAAGCTTCACCGGGATGGCCACAATGTCGTTCTTGTTTCTTCTGGTGCTGTAGGCGTGGGACTGAGGAGAATGGATGTGGATCAGAGACCAACCAATCTACCCCGCATTCAGGTATAGACGATGTGCTCCTATCCATAAGGTGGATTTTGTCAGGCTAACCCTACCATCAGGCGCTCGCGGCTGTGGGACAGTGCAGGCTTATGAGCCTTTGGGACGGGTTATTCTCGCACCTTCGGGTTCCAGTGGCCCAGATTCTTTTGACCAGGAATGACATCGCAGATGTAAGGCACTTGGTGGTTGTTGATACAAGGAGACATGAAATCTAATATATGAACAGAGAACACAATATGGGAATGCCCAGAATACTTTCGGGCAGTTGTTTGACATGGGTGTAATTCCTATTGTCAATGAAAACGACACTCTTGCCGTTTCAGTACGTTGCAGTTCACCTCCTATATCCCTTGGAGGTATGGCTAACGCGAAATCTGCCTAGGAAATCAAATTTGGTGACAACGATACATTGTCTGCCATCACAGCCGCAATGGTCAAAGCTGATTACCTTTTCCTGATGACGGACGTTGACTGCCTTTACACCGCCAACCCACGTCACAATCCCGATGCGCGCCCAATCGAAGTTGTCACCGATATATCTTCGTTGGAGGCGGACGTCTCCTCGGCTGGCTCATCCTTAGGTACTGGAGGCATGAGTACCAAGATTGTGGCGGCCAAGCTAGGCACAAGTGCTGGCGTGACGACAGTCATTACCCGGAGCTCAAAACCCGGAAATGTTCATGAAATTGTCAAATATCTCCAGCGAATTCAAAACGTCTCTCATACTCAGTCTGCAGCCGCGGACGAAGAAGGGAACACAATCCCGGCGCCTCCTCTCCACACGCGGTTCTTGCCCTCTGAGGATCCAATACAATCCCGATCATTCTGGCTACTTCATGGGCTAAAGCCACGAGGCACAATATTCATCGATCAGGGCGCATATATCGCCCTTCAGAATAAGGCCAACCTCCTTCCAGCCGGAGTTTCGGATGTGGATGGTACTTTTGCGCAGCAGGAAGCGGTCCGGATCGTCGTGATCCAAAAAGTATCCCCAGATTCACTCAACGGCGACTTCCTACATCATGGCCAGGAACCCAAGGAGGTCGGTCGCGCATTGGTCAATTACAGCAGCCATGAAATCGCGCGCATCAAAGGTCACAGGAGCACTCAAATACAATCGTTGCTGGGATACGCAGACAGCGAGTACGTTGCCTTCCGAGAAAACATCTCTTTTTGGTAGATGATTTTCCTTCGGCGAAGCAAAAAGTTGTCAGCTGCCGTGTGCAGATGAGACAAATCCGACCGACCGACTCATCGCGTCGAGCCAGACCGGACCTTAGTTTCTTTTGGTGTTGGTACAGGTTTAGGATAATCCGCCAGCGGATTGATTCTTGCATATATACATGATATTCTACTTATCTGACAACTTGGCATGCTCGAGACACGATTGCAACAGCAATTACAAGATAGACGAAAGATTACATTATTATGAGACACGACCCCAATTTCTATCAAGTATCTAAGAGTCACAGATACCCCAAATGTTATGGGGACGAAGCGAATCATAGTTCAGCCTTTGCAACCCAATACATATCCATAATCTACACATATCGTCAAGCCTAATCTTTCCACCTCGCTAAGAACTTTTTCATTTCCGCGTCCTCAGGATGAGGTGCCGGCGACGCCTATGACACATTTTAAGTGTTGTTAGATGCTTAGAAACCAACGAGACCAACACGGCAGGCAAGGTTCATGCTTCACATACCGTATTCTCAATGCTGACCACAGAATATGTTCGATCAGCCGACATTGTGGCTTGGACTGTGGGCGCAGGAAGGTATGTTGTTGCAACGCTATAGGCGCTGGTTGGGAACTGGGGAGTGGGCGACTTTGCAGGGATTGTGCTACCGGGCTTCTTCGCCATAGGCGCATATCTTGTTGGGCCAGTTTGCAAATGGTATGGGATAGTATAAGCCCCTACAGCCTGTCTTTTACGCAGGTCTTGGAACGCGCCATTGTCGCGCCCCGTTATCCCAGTGAGTGTAAACTGAGGTGAATGACTGACGACCGAGACGTCTGGTCCCGAGGCGATCATTTTCAAGAAACTGCGAGGCGATGACGAAAGCATTGTGGTTAGTCGAGAAGATCCCCACGTCCTCCTGATATTATATATGGCAAGGTTGCTCGTACTATGCTTCAGGCTCTTCGCCGCCAACATCTGGATTGATTTGGAAAGACACCGAATTGCCGCGCGCAAAGACGCCTCCTTCTATCAAGAGGGCGACTTCTTCCTGTATAACCATGTTTCGATCAATTGGTGATCCCAAACCAGTAGTGCATGGTAATCCAACACGGAACCTACATCTGCACCGGGTGTATCCCAGAGAGCACAAAGATAGAGATCGTATTGTACGAGTTCCGAGATGCGAGGGGAAGCCCCGGAGTCTTTCCAATGCGCCGTTACGACATGCCCTGCTTCTAAGACTGTGCCGGGCGCTGGTTCGGTGAATTCGATATCTGCCAAAGCAGTTTGAAGGACAGTACAGGCCAAGAATAGTAAACGAGTGGCTTTCATGATAACAGAGCTAGGTGGGTTGGCTATCGAGGTTGATAAAGGATGAGTCCCCTCAAGAGACAGGCGTAGGAGCAGAGAAAGAAACACATGCGTAATCATAACAAGGTCAATCAATCCCTAGTGGAAGGGAAAAGGTTGACACCCTACCAACCACCCCTTGCGAGCCATTGGCATGCAGACTGGTATGGTCCTACTGCCAATTTGCTTGCCCCCTCAGGCGTGTCGATTCCTTGCTCCAGACAGACTGAACTTGCAGCCAGATTGCCTGGCCGTTTGACAAGAAGTTGGCCACATGATACGGAGTACAAAAGATGCACTCACGAAGCCGAATAGAATGAGTGGAGCTCGTTGTTCATGGCAGGTCGGTCGGGTCTGTCAGTCTCCGGGCGGAGCTGCGGCGCACTGCCGGGATCCAGGCTCCAAGGCAGCCAAAGGGTGGCATGATCATTGCGTCCATCAACTAGCGAGACTTTGCCGAATTTCCCAAACATCCAACGGGCCAACGTTTGGCTTGACGATGATTACAACCCGGTTCCTGGCGAATACCCAGTTCTAGACCGCACTCGATCTTCTCACCTCGTGTCCTTTCTGTTCTCCTGCTCTCGTCGCCCCAATCGATCAACATGGGCAGCCACACGGATTGGACGTCCGTCAGTGGCATTGCTACAAGTTTACTCGACGGAAGTCCAATTGCTATTGCCGTTACCATTTTCATAGCTTTTGGACTACCGATCTTGCTGCATCTGATCTTCTACCAAACTGTCGCGACTCCACCGTCGAGCAATTTCCTGCTCCTTGGACCGAGTGGAGCAGGTAAGACAGCTCTCTTGTCTCTGGTAAGTCGGCCTGTCCTTAGTAACATATCCAACTAAGCCTTTCAAGCTTTTCTGAAGGATGAACATGCTGACATGATACTGGGACTAGCTCGAAGCGAAATCATCGCCCCGTACGAAGAAATCTCCGGCTACGCATACGTCCCAGACCTCTACCTTTGCCACGGTCAACCTTCCTGCTTCCGTCCCCACCGCTTCGAATCGGTACCGGTCCGTGAATGATCCCTCCTTGAAAGATGTGTCTCGGAACCCTCTCAAGTACCGCGTGAAGGACACCCCCGGTCATGGCAAACTCCGCGAGTCGCAGGGACTTTCGGAGCTTCGCTCGATGTCGTCATCCAAGGACAACAAGTCCAAGGTGCGGGGCGTCTTGTTTCTAGTCGACACGGCGGCCATGTCTGAAGCTGACGCACTACGCGATACGGCTTCCTATCTGTACGATGTGCTCCTGATCCTCCAGAAGCGTGCTCTGAAGAAGGGACGGTCGTCGATGAAGGCGGCCTCCGAGATCCCCGTTCTTGTCGCGGCCAACAAGCAGGATCTCTTTACTGCCTTGCCCCCGAGATCCGTGGAAGAGAAGCTGGAGGATGAGATTGACAGAATCCGGAAATCCAAGAGCAAGGGCATCATGGATGCGAACGCTGACCAGGGCGTCGATGAGGATGAGGACGATATTCTGGGCAGTAGCGATGTCCGAACTGCGTTCAGCTTTAAACTTCTGCACGACGAGGTGGGCTTGAAGGTCGATGTTGTCGGGGGAGCTGTCAGGGGTGACGAGGAGGGCGATAACCTTGGAGCTGGTGCCAGGGGATGGGAGAACTGGATCGGTCAGTGTTTGTGATTAGTCGCAGACGGTTATGGATGTTGCTGTGTGCTCGCGTGGAGAGTATAGTATATGTGGATAAGTGGAACGAATAAATAAAATGCTAATGAATTTAAAATCCTTGCAAGGCGAATGCTTTTTCATGTTCATTCATATGTCAGTGACTCCATGAACACCGGTTATTCCCTACCCTCTTAGGCTTGTCCAGCCCAAGACAATGCATAATCGAGCTTCTATTGAATGCAAATCAAACTGCTATTAACAATTGCCAATTAAACCCCTGCCAAAAATTTTCTCGAGTAACCATGAAGAATTTGCCTTCCGTTTCTGCTTCAGGAGGCTTGCTTATTGTGGTGGAGCATCCAGCTGAGCAGGTCAACCTTCGTGGCGACGGCAACTGGCTTCATTGCGCCCTGTTCATCTTGCTCGGTGACAATGGCTGCGCTGTTCCATTCGAAGAATCGGTTGAGGACGCTCAACGGGGTGTCCATGGTTATCTCCACGAACTTGCGGTTGCGGACCTTCGAGCTTCGAGCTGCACCGGATTCACTGCCGCCGGTGGCCAGTCCCATGTCTCTGGGGTCAGTAACAACCTCTGGGATCTTGCTGAAGTTGAACATGACGTCGGCGACGGGGCTCTTCCCCGTAGCCCGTCCATGTGTCAACCGGCTGAGAACGTTTCCAAGAGTGACCAGACCGACAAGCTTCTTTCCAGAAGGTGCCAGAACAGGGAGTTGATCAAAACCTCTGTCTCGCATGACTTCGATGGCGTTCTCACAGGGAGTATCGGACCGGACGGTGGTGATCGGCTTCAGCCTCAGAGAGTTGACCTTGGATTCAGCAAGCTCATCGCGTTGTTCCTGCGGCGCGGGGGTAGGAGCGTTAAGGATGGGCGACGTCAGAAGTCCATTCGCAGCGAGCCAGTCGTCATCAGCGAACTAGTAACAACGGGTTAGAAGCCGTGAATCGAGGTAATGTACTGAGAAAGGTGGGAGGGAGGGGGGGATTTTGGTGGTTTACCTTGGTGAGATAACTTCTGATGCTGTCGGGCAGAACCACAACGACCACATCATCCTTCCCAAAGTTGTTGTCTTTGGCGGCCTGCACAAGGGCCGAAATAGCGCTTCCACTGCTTCCACCAACAAGAAGACCCTCCTCGGCGATCAAACGTCTGGCGTACTGGAAAGACTCCTTATCTTCTGTCTTGTACCACTTGTCGACAGCCTCGCGGTCGAGAACTTCGGGAATGAAATCGTATCCGATACCCTCGACCTTGTAAGGCTCATTGACATGCTCCTCGTTGAGAGAAGCCGGGAGAGCCAAGATCGAACCCTGCGGATCCGCCCCAATCACTTGGACATTAAAGTTGTGCTTCTTGAGACCCCGAGCCAGCCCGGTGATTGTGCCACCAGTTCCAGCACCGGCGACAATGGCCTTGATCTGCCCGTTCGTCTGGGTCCAGATCTCCTCAGCCGTGCCGAGCTCGTGAGCCAACGGGTTGTTTACGTTGCCATATTGGTCCAAAATGTGGGCATTCGGCAGCTCCTTTTCGAGGCGCTTAGCGACACCGATGTGAGATTCGGGCGAGTCATAGGCGGCCTCGTTAGGCGTACGGATGATAGTAGCGTTCAGCGCACGCAAAACGGCCACTTTCTCGGCGGACATCTTTTCGGGAAGCGTGATGATTGTCTTGTAGCCTAGTGGACAGACATAGAAGAGTCAGCGAATCATGCCGGCGAAGCACAGGAAAGAAAAGATATGACTGACCTTTAACGGCCGCGACAAGCGCGAGACCAATACCACTTAATGAGACCATGTTAGCTTCGCAGAGAACCGAGCGGTGATATCAAATTGAGAGACATACGTATTTCCACTGGTGGGTTCAATTAACGTATCGCCGGGCTTGATACGACCCGTACGTTCGGCCTCCTCGATCATGCGCAGGGCGATTCTGTCCTTGACACTTCCACCGGCATTGAAATATTCCAATTTGGCATACACTGTCGCCTCGATCCCCAGGCTCTGGGGCAGTCTGTTCAGGCGCACCAAGGGAGTGTTGCCGATGTGCTGGGTGATCCTGTCCAGAGCCACCGGAGGGATGGCGGGGGAGGTAATCGAGGACATGGCGACGGAGGCAATGAGAATTGTGGAGGCTTGTTGTAGTTAACGAGAGAGAATCCTAAAATATCATGCGAGAGGGTATTATGGTCCGATAAGAATGTAGATCAGAAAATCCAGCCGTTGGAGAGATAAGAATGGAACCAAACGCCCTGTAAGTCGCAATCCTGGGAAAAAATCTCACGACTTTTTCCCCTCCCGACGGTAGCCGACCTTCATGTGACGATTAGTCAGCCATCGTCCTGAACTCAGTCTCCTTAAGGGAAGTAAGAGAGGAACAGGAAAAAAGTAAATAAAGCAACTGTCTGGGCACCTCCATGGCAGAGCCTTCGGTCTACTCCGTGTATGCCTATACCACACCTGCGTCCTGGCCTCCTGGGTTTAGTTAACCTTCGCTTCCTTCAAGGATTCACTATTCAGTAATCTGTGGGGTCCTGAGGCTCCGCCACGCGCCAGAGTAGATCGATCGGTGGCTGTGTACGGTGTATGTGTACTCCGTAGAACCTGCGGTGTAGAATGTAGTTACATGCTTACAGGAAACAAGTAGTTAGTCCTTTCCATCAGATCCAACAATCTAAGCGAACTTAGACGCTTAGGATCTATCTCGGTTGGATTTGACTGCGAAGACTTCGAGTCCAAGACGACGCGACGCAGCCAAGCGGCTTGCAAACATCCAAGAAGCACTAATCCCCCCGTCATCTGCGCCTGCCAAGGTTTCAGAACGTGCGCATCAATACGGAGTACACACCGCAGGCTGATAAGGTGCTTTATGGATAAGGAGAACAGACTGCCTGTCTCGCTCTGATATGTGGGTAGAAACCAGATACTTTATCTCCATTCATCCCGGAGGATGTATAGGACTACTCAGTATAGGTACAGACTGGAGTAGGTACTGTACTGGATAGGTAGGTGGGCATGTCTATCGCGCCAACACGGGGTATCGTTCTGTACTCCGTACGGTTAATCTCACGCATTGCTAATATTAATTATTATTATTATTATTTTGATTTTTGTCCCTCAAGTTTCAGCGCTGACGGCCAGCGCATCCACCGTGCACTTTGGTTTTTGCGCCGCTGCAACACATCTTGCACTTCTTTCGCCCGTTCTTGGACGCGTCGCCAAGTACTGACATTTGTCTTAATTTCATGGTAGCATCTTAACATCTTTCTTCTCCTGTTCCCTCATTTTTCCCCCTTGTCTTGAGATCTGATACCTCAACTTTCCCCTTCGATGCTGCGGCCCTTTCTCATGATCTAACAAGACATGAGGAGCTAATTCGCTGTGCCTTCACTCTGCCATCCTCGACCAACAGATCTGATCCCTCAACCCTTCTTAACTTGAAATGGAGAGTGCGAAAGAGGAACCCCTTACGCAACAAGATAGCGCCAGAGTCGACGGAGGCGTGCTGAATACCACCACCCCCAAACAAGCATCAAAGCGATCGGAGTCCGTTTTGCCCACCCACATCAACGATGGACTCCAGCGAGGCCTGGTGCGCATTAGCACGGCAGGGGAGAGTGGGAGAAGTGGAATACACCCAGTTCACTTCTTGAAAGTCTGCTTCATGAGTACCTGCACTCTATCAATGTTGGTCAATGTCCTATGGCCGTTCGTGCCAGCGGCTATCGCGATCTACTTTGCTCGCCCGGATCTTCATGTCTGGATCTTTGCTCTCAACTATATTGCAATGGTTCCTTCGGCCAACCTATTGGGATTTGCGGGCGGGGAACTGGCAAAGAAGCTGCCCAAAGTATTTGGCGTGCTGTTGGAGACCTCGCTGACATCGGTTGTCGAGATTGTTCTTTTCATGGTCCTGATCCACAATGATGAAGGTGGAAACCTTATACCTGTCATCCAAGCCGCTATCTTAGGATCCATCTTGGCGAACCTCTTGCTTTGCTTGGGCCTGTGCTTTTTCTTTGGTGGTATTGGCCGGGAACATCAGTCCTTCCACGAAGCCGTGAGCGAGGTGGGCACGGGGCTCTTGCTCGTTGCCGGCTTTGGGCTGTTAATCCCGAGTGCTTTCAACTCGGCATTGAGTGGCTCAACGAATACAGAAATCACCCCCGAAGAGTTGATGCACTCCACCCTGGTCATCAGCAGATCTACCTCGATCGTCCTTCTGGTCGCATTTGTGATGTGAGTTACGACCGTTTTGCATTCTTGGCTCGGAGTTGTTGTTAGCTCACACCATCACCTAGGTACCTGTTCTATAACTTGCACAGCCATCACAGCATATTTGATGAAGTGCTCGAGTTTGATGAGCATCTAGACGAAGATCGAGAGAAGGAGCTTAAGCGAGCGAAGCTCACACTGACGGAGTGTATTTTGGCTATCGTGATATCTCTAGTTTGCGTTTGCTTATCTGCTGTCTTCCTGGTCCAGGAGATTGAGAGTATCGTCCATGAGAGAGGTGTGTCGGACAACTTCATGGGCCTGATTCTAGTACCACTAGTCGAGAAGGCCGCGGAGCACTTGACCGCCATCGATGAAGCCTGGTTCGTTAGCTCCACTCGATATGCGAATAAATTGTTGACTTTTTCCATAGGGATAACCAAATCAATTTTGCCCTCTTTCACTGCCTTGGCCCATCGATCCAGACCGCCTTTCTCAACGCGCCGCTTGCGGTTCTGGTAGGCTGGGGTCTCGGCAAGGACATGGATCTGAATTTTGAGATTTTCATGATTGTCCTTTTGGTGCTATCGATTCTAGTCGTGGGTAATTTCCTGCGTGATGGCAAGTCAAATTACCTCGAAGGGGGACTCTGCGTCTTGATCTATGTGATCATTGCCGTTTCCACTTGGTATTATCCCGCGGTCAAACGTGGAGAGTCAGCGCATTAGAGGGTTGGGTTGGTATAGAAGGATAGACACAGCCTTGCTAAGCAATCATATCATTGGACATTGAGGGCTGGCGGTCGTAATGAATAGAGGGTCATCACCTACTCTGTACGGAGTATAGATGTGGTGCGTACATGTGCCACCATGTGTCCACTGGAGTATGTACGTAGGGTAGTTGGGTGCCCGGGCGGGGCGGAAAGATACCGTGATCCACCGGGTTGGTCCGAAAGTTATCGGGCACCTAGCAGCACCAGCTGGACTTCTCACGGGCGGAACCAAACAAACAATGACGATTTCGATCAATCCGGCCAAACTTGTTCTTTCAATCTTGAAGGAGCGTGATATACCTGTTAAGGGCAATGAAGTTACGCAGGCTTTTGATAATGAGCCAAACTCCAGAAAGAATGCGGAGTGGATGCTGGGATTCCTAAGCCAGGAGTCCCTCTTGTCGCAAGAAGAGCTTACCTTGTATGACACCCTTGCCTTCTTGATCCTCTCCTTAGCATGGGTACCACGACCATCGATTCTGATCAAATATGCTTCGTGACAAGGTACAACCAGCTCGAAAGCTCGGGTGCCTTGCAAGGCATCCTCGGCGACTCCGAAACCACCAAGACCCGACCGCTCCTGGACGAAGACCTTCGGAAAGCGATCGAGTCGCTCAACACGTCGACTGCTGCTATACAGAAACAGACCGAAATACTGCAATCCCAATGCGAAAGTTTGAACAAGCACCTCGGTCTAGAAGGGGAACGGGCACTCGCGCAAAAGAGGGAATCGGAACGGCTACGCCAAAAACACGAATGGGAAAGACAGAGTATAACAAATGCGGTAATTGTTGGCCCTCGCCTCCATAGCCATGGACATTCGCTGAGACTCTACTTAGTCTAATGAATTGGCCGAAGAAGTGAGCGCGAGCCTGAAAAACGAGTCGGAAAGAATGATCATAGACGGGAAAAGGATACTCTCCTCTTTGTCATCACAGTTAAAGGAGGATGACAGGACATTCGCCCACCTGGAGAGGCTTGCATCCGGAGTAAAGTCGATTAACGAAGATGCCTTGTTGTCGAAACAAGCCTCGGAGCTGATTGCGATGCTAACCGAATATACCACCGAGGATATACAGCACCGACTTGACCGATCGTACCTGGAGGGCATCCAGGACGGCCATGAATCTGTCAACGGCTCAGAAGAACTCGATACCGGTCTCATATCTGCACTAGAAGGAGAATTGGAATCTCTCTATCCAGAAATCGACGTACTTGCTGAAGTGTCCACGAAGCAGCAACATGGTGAGCCTATATTACGCGAGCTCCACAATCACCATGAACAACTGCGCGTCGCTGCACACAAGAAGCTTGACTATGTAAGTGTTTACTGAGGCTTCAGGGCACTCGCTAATATAGTTTAGGTCACGGAAATTGTAACGGAGTTGGTAGCGTCTGCCGAAAGCTCGACCAAGCGTTTACAAGATCGCGAGTCCGTCTGCGGCGCTCTCGAAACCCTCAGCGCCGCGTACCAATCGGAGGTAAAAGATCGAATTCCACACAATACGGTCTCAAGGAGCAATACAATGAAGAGGCGCTCCGTCCAATTCAAGCCGACGCTTACGCCGGCTGAAGAGAGTCTTAGCTCTTCCCCCGAGCATCACGCTCTAGCAGGTCTTCTGCGCCGCACCGGCCTATCTCTGGAATCGGTTTTTCAGCCTGAAGAATGCAGGGGTGCAGCTTCTCTGGATGAAAGGAGATTGGTCATGCTTGATTGCCTACGCGGCTATGGTGTCGCAGCGGATGCGCCTTTAATGGCTGAAATGGGTCCGACCGACCGGGCTACCCGGCTTCTATCATACCATCTCAACGCAAGTGGTCAATTTGAGGCTTCGCTGCGCGACGCGGAAAACGAAGACAGGCTTTCTCTGCTTGATTCACAACTGCGACACCTTCAACAGGGAATCGGACGGCTTAACCTAGAAGGGCTCCATCGACGAAATCATGACCATGAGAGCTTCATGGCGAGGTGGTCATAAGTGTCCATAGCCTTGTAGAGAGCCATCTTGAACTCCTTGCTCTCTTGTTCAAGAATGCGACCGGCCGTTGTGGGCTCCAAGGCCAGTTACTTCCTCAGCCTCCCTGGTTGCCGTCATGACCCTTGCTAGCATCTCGTATCCAATTCGATTACTGTCAGCAAGGATCAGCCACCGGGACTTACTGTGGCTGGTATTTTGTAGGTGGTTCTGCGCCACATCATCTGCAAGTCACGTTCCTTATTGTCAGCCCATCAGAGGCACCGGAACTGTCCACATGGTGTGCGAGGCATGATGCATCTAAGCCATGCGTAAAGCTCTCATGCAGTTGCAAGAGCTATGGTCCGCGAACCAACAGTGACGTCGGTCCCCCATTAGCCAGGAACGTGGTCTTTGCCTTGCAGCCTCTTCAGCTTGCTAGGCATCCGTTAACTCATATCATCATAAGTCTGTATAGGAGAAGGCGGCTCTGTCGCGATGAGAGATGGTCCCTGCTTAGAGGAAGGGAGGGGCAAAATGAATAGTTAAAAACCCATAACAGGCACTCAAATGGAACGATTTCTCTTATGTTCATCTTTGTTCCTATCTTCTCTGTTCCCCTCTCTTGTTTCAAACCCTCTTTATACTTCCAGGTTCCTTTATCACTGTCTTGCCCGGCTGACTCGACAGTGCCCCATGTGACCGGGGCAAGCCGCACCTACTCACGGTCTACTTGTTCACCGGTTTTCTTTCATTCTTTCAGGGGATCTAGGGTAATTATCGTCATCCTTCTGTTTTACTGGCGTGTCTCCCTGGTCAATGGATACTCTAGCTGGGGTGCATGTCCCTAAACACCTATGGCGGATGCCCTCAAGGGACCCTGCCTTCATTACGCAATACTGAGTATACCTCGTTACTCTCTTGCCCTTTCTGTTCTCTCTTTGATTGATCTTACATTTTGCATCTCTTTCTTTTTTTTTATTATTTATTGTTCTTTTTTCGGAATAAAGAAATAAAATTCTAATGGTTCTATTTATTTCTCTTTTCTCGAGGTAACATTTTCACAGGTACATGCAATCAGACGAGCTGAACCCATGACATCAGGCACATGTTATACGTTCAAGACGGTACTTCTTACATAAATAAACCATATCACAAGCAAAAGGTAAAGCAAACTAGCCAATCTCATTGTCTACTACCTTCAGTTGTCGCTGCTTTTCATTGTTCGTTATATGTTAATGTACCATTAAACTAGATGAGATGAATAGCTTGTTCAAACAGAATCTTAAATACCTCCGGCCTCGAAGACGTTCTAAAGCTTTCTTACCAAGCCCTCCGGATTCTAACAGCTACCGCTCTTTGCAAGTGAAAGCCGCTTATCGCTAGGCACGCACCCGGTTGAGCGGACGGGGGCGTTGCATAGCCGCAAGATGTGCCTCGTTGAGAAGTTCACTGACGTATATCCCATGGAAGTTCGATCAAGAAAGGTCATACATCAATGTCCGTCCAGCGATGGCAACAAAACCTGCAAGCACACTCGAGTGCGGGATTGTGGTGAAGTGTACCATGCTCGCCATAATCAGTCGATGACCCCACCGGAGGACCCCCCGTCAAGATACTCAAGAAGTCGTCCGCAACCTCAGTCTGCACGAAGGGTTCCACCAGCCCGGAGTCGCCCACTCAGGCTACGCTTTCCGTTCCTCAGGGCCTCCTCAGACCCTGTTCGAGTGCAAGAAGTGCACAGGCCGCGAGATCACAGAACAACGCTTGATCCCTCTGACGCGATAGATGCCCGGAGAGACGACTCGATGCGGTCACGACAAAAGGTCCAAAGGCCGGCCTCTCCACGCTTACATACAATTTCACCGCAAAGAATGGCGGATCCATCATCGATAAGCAGAGAACAAAACCACGCAGATACACCGTCCCGCGAAGCGCGGCCGCCACAGCGATCACAGGCGCCACGCCCACCAAGAGAACGAACTCCAGTCGTTGAGCGTGTACCTCAAAGACGCAGGGAGCCCCAAGCCCCAGCTCAGGTAGTGGATGTTCACAACGGACCTCGTGTCAGCCGCGACACAGAGCAAGAGCATGGGAGGAGAAAAGGCGAGCGACAGGTCCGCTTTGCAAACGCGCTCGACTATGAGGAGGACGTCCGCAAAGGCCATCAGTACCCCCGCACCCCAATGCAGCCGCGTCGAGATCATTCCTTGCCAGGCAGGTATCGGAACGTTGCCAGAAGTACAAGCCCTCAGGGTGGTGTTTCAACAGGGCGCCCGTACATCGAGACCCGCACTCCACGATACGAAAGATCAAGAGACGCTGCTCCGAGGCCATCTGTCTCCCTTGAAACAAATCGGCCGCGACCAAGGATTATCCAAGACGGCAACCGCCATGTGGAAGAAGCAGGTCAGCGTATCCTCGCGGAGGCCCGAAGACGACAAGCGCGAGAACTATTTACGCGCGATCTCAAATCATACACTGCATGGCGACCGTGGAATCGTCGGTCTGAACGCTTGCGTGAATCTGAGATCGGCGACGACATGGTTAGTAATGATAAAGAAACTCGGCGGTATGGTTGGCGTTGGCGTTGAAAATCTTATTGCGATAGGGTCTTGGAGTTGTACTGCAGACGAATGTTTGACCATGTGAAATTGTTTTTTATGAAGCCGCAAGACGAGAATGGGAAGATAGAGGTACTTAACCAGGTACTCAGGTGATTAGGTTACTTCATAATGGTGACTGGGTAGAGTACCGTACCATACAGGAAGTGGCTTGGGCAGGAAGTCGGCCCAATAAATGTCCGATGCCTGGTACCTTTGTTACGGAGTACATAGATGTACCTACCTACTCCTATCTCCGTCGATAACACTGAAGAAAATTGGGCCACAACAGTCATCTCGCCTTTCGAGGATCCACTGGGCCCATTTCATTCCTCTCAAGCATTCCTCTCGCCTCTTCCATTCACTCCACGCCACGCTTGAATCGACTCTTTATATTGACCCTTCTGCACGCGGGGCTTGGTTGGTCCCACCATGCGACTATTACCAAGGAGCTCGACACTCATATGTAGGTCCAAACCTCTTCGCGGACCATTTTACTCGTTCAATCAATCATCTACAGTTTGTCACGATGAGTAGCCAGCATGTCGAACACGAGGTGGTCGAGGGCGCGTGCAGTGAATTCGTGATCCCTCAAAACGACCAGGCCGTTGATATCAACCAACTATCGGCGGCTGCCGCATTGGAAATATTGTGCACCAGCGTTGAGATGCTCTCTAAGGCCGCCACGGACTGTTCAGATGATTGGCCGGTGGACACTGGGCCTCACCCACTATGGAAAACTTGGGTCGACGGTGCCCCCTTGATGCAGGCCTCGAACAAAGCAACCGAGCTACATTGCTCCCCGGCGGGAGACGAGCAAGAGGGCCACCACGATTACTTTCAACAGAGCATACTGTCCAAGCGCTTCCTCTCCAAACGAGAGCCGCCGATCTCTCTCAGGGACTACTTGTTACGCCTTCATCTCTACTGCCCCATGTCGACCGCGGTCTACCTGGCCACAAGCACGTACATCACCCGCATGGCCAGTGTTGAAAGAGTCATCTTGGTTAGTCCGAAAAACATGCACCGCTTGGTACTTGCGGGGCTCGGTGTAGCGATGAAAACTTTGGAAGATCTCAGTTATCCCCATAGCCGGGTGGCCAAAGTCGGTGGGGTAACGGAGCGCGAGCTCTCCAAGCTGGAGATCAGCTTCTGTTTTCTCGCGGACTTTGACTTGCGAGTGGACGCCCATATGCTCTTCAGCCAAGTCGCAATTCATGATCAGAGAAAGGATCTTTGCCATGATGCCGAGGGCTAGGCAATCCAAGTCTTTTCCCTCTCCCTCCTTCTTACGTCCCCTTCTCTCTCTTTCTCATCCTCTCCCTCCATCCCTCTCTTTTTTTTTTCTTTGGCACTTTAAGCTTTGTTAGTAGTTTTAGCGGAGTTTTATAACCTGAGTGTGTGAGCATCCAAATATCCAGTCTTTACTTGTTACCCCCAATTTGATGAACTTCGACGATACATGATTCAGGGAATTGTCAACCTTTGGGAATTGGCCACCTCCGTCATTCTGTTAATTGTTGGTTTCGGGAGACTTTCGATGTTGTCTGAAAGATGATCAATGCATCAAGTTCTTCACTTCAAAGTGCCTGGACCTTCCCTGCAACGTACACCGGAGTAAGGAAGGACGACAACACGGCTGCCTAAACTAATCAGCCCCATTAGAATGCGGCTGAGTAATCCTCCACTCCTCGTCTTGGTTTTTAGTGAATCGTATTTATTTGCACGTCAAATTGTCAGCCTTCCAACATAGGCAAGGATATTTGTTGGTCTCCAATCCCATTATTCAGGGCGACAGATCGTGAGGCGCAACGGGTGGATCAACCCGTATACTACCTGTCTTCTTTTAGCGCCCGTCACGAAAGTTACGCCGAGCAAAAAAAAAAAAAAAAGGTCAACTACGCTGCCCGAACACCCTTCCTTTTTTTCTTACTTCTCCCCTTCCTTCCTTGACCAGAGATTTGGATTCTTCCTTGTTTCCTTTCGGGCTTGACCAACTACCAACACTAAAGGTGGTGGTGGCTTCCAGGATTAGATCAATTCCGTGGACTGTGGTGTTGACTCCGCAATGCTTCTTTAGGTCCTGTGGAGAGAAATCATAGTCACCGCCGACCGTTTTCCCCGTACTCGCATCCGCCGTCACCCTTTTCCCCTGCTTTTCCCTGGCACCCGGACTAGCCACACCTCGTACGGAACAGTCTAACGAGGTTGCGACGTACGAAATATGCCTTCCGGGACTTCCTCCGCGGAATCTCAAAGCGCCAGCAGTTCCGCCGGTCTCAGTTCCAGCTCACCGTCCGCTCCTAACGGCAAAAGCACCACCTCTTCTCCAAAAATTGCCCGAGAGGATGCCAGCGTCGAACTCAAAAACATGAAACCAGATCGTGGGATTGTCAAGGGCTCAATTCCCCTAGGGGAAGATATCATGCAGATTGCCCGAATAGGCGAGATCCCGGCTATGCGACAATTGTTTGAGGAGAAGAAATTCACTGCCAACTACCAGGATGAAGAAGGCATCACCCCTTTACACGTACGTCTGTTCCGATAGTGCTGGCACGATTGCGGAACCTCTGACTGACATGATGCTTTCTTGCAATTTATCTCTAGTGGGCGGCGATCAACAACCAGTATGCGATGTGCAAGTTCTTGCTGGACTCCGGCGCCGACGTGAATGCCAAAGGAGGAGAATCGGTGGCCACACCCGCCATGTGGGCGGCGCAGCGGTGTCACTACTACATTGTTCACCTTCTTCTTCAACGTGGCGCCGACCCTCTGCTCACCGACGTGCAAGGGTACAACATTCTGCATTTGGCGACCATCGATGGCAATGCGTTCCTGCTTGTCTTGTTGCTACAGCAAGAAATACCGGTGGATGTGGTGGACCAACAGGGTCATACGGGACTGATGTGGGCAGCTTATAAAGGATTCCCGGCATGTGTCGATTTGTTCTTGCGCTGGGGCGCTAATGCGAACGCCGTCGACGACGGTGGGCTGACTCCCCTTCATTGGGCACTGGTAAAGGGCTCCATGCCCTGTGTTATGAAGATCCTAGAGTATGGTGCCGACAGGTTCGCGAAGACGCAGGATGGTAAGAGTCCGGCAACGGTGGCCAGCGAGATGAATACAACGAGGATATGGTATCGCGCTCTGGATGAATGTGGCTTCGACCTAGATGGGAACATGAAGGTCATCCCCATGGGATTGAATTCGTGGGTACGGAACAAGAGCATCATGTCGAAGTTCTTCTTCCTTTGGCCATTCTTAATGGTCTTCGTGGCTCTATGGATTCTCAGCAACATGGCCGTGTATGCTGCTATCCCGATCATGTTGGTTACCGTCTTTGGTCTACAATGGGCGGCACAGAAAGCTGCGAGTCGAAGTGTTTCGGAGTATAGGATCCTTCAAAAAACGGTATGCTTTTGTCCGTCGCTAATCGCGCAGCATACAATCTGCGCTCCTGCCTTATACTGTTGCTAATCTTGTCATCCAGCCATATCTATCTGGCGTATTTGCAGGCACTTTGTTCTGGGTTGGCGTCCGATACGTCCTCTATGTACTACCAGGTATGTCGCATTGACCCCGAAAGATATCTATCCTTTGTAAGAGTAGCGGAAACTCACAAGCCTGCCTTGTAGCCACGTACTCCACTGCTCCGTTTTTGAACGCCTTTTTTGTCCTCTTTTATTCTTTGACGACCTACTTTTATCTCTATGCCATGATCGAAGATCCTGGTTTTGTCCCCAAACTCGGAAGCAGGAACCAACAAAGAGCAGTCATTGGCGAACTTTTTGAGCAGTGGAAGTTTGATGAAGAGAACTTTTGTGTGTCTTGTATGGTCCGGAAACCTCTCCGGAGCAAGCATTGTAAGCGCTGTGGGCGCTGCGTTACAAAGCATGACCAGTGAGGATCCAGATTTAAGGAACGACCAGCGTGTATGGGACTAATTCTTTATAGCCATTGCCCTTGGATCGATAACTGTGTTGGAGCGAACAATCTCCGACATTTTGTTCTCTACATCGCGTGTCTCGAAGTTGGCATTATCTTGTTCTTGCAGCTAACGTTCATCTGTAAGTGCTTATTGCCCTTCTTAGGCGTAACCATGCTGGACATCGCTAACGCAAGGGTGGGAATAGATATCAACGCCCTACCAGCACCGGCAGGGCCCAAGTGCAATATAATTAATGACGCGCTATGCGATTTGGTCGTCCGCGACACGTTCACCCTTGTTCTTGATATATGGATAAGTATTCAGCTGGTCTGGGTTACTATGCTTTGCGCCGTTCAACTGGTTCAGGTTTCTCGAAACCAGACAACGTACGAGAATATGCGAGGTCATTCGATTGACAGAAGCCATTCAAGCTCGCGAGCTTTCGCGTCCGCTCTAACCGCTGGGACCACTTCGCTAGATGCCGCTGGCCTTTCGTCTGCAGGTCAAGGCCCGAATCCTGCCTTGGCGCCGGGGGCTCTTCACCGACCGCGACGACACGGGTGCTTGCAGCAGTGGTCCTCTCTCCTGGGTGTCGATACTTTCTTCGCTACCGCACGAGATGGCCTGCGGGATGGGCGACACTCACAGCGCCCCAAAAACCCGTTTTCGCGAGGCTTTGTTACTAACTGTCGCGACTTCTGGTGTGATCCGGCGCCTTACTTTGGCAAGCGCGAATCCGGTTCTGCAATGCTCGGTGGTGAAGTGATCAACTATAACCAGATGTACGAGGCTCCGTTGCCGATGCATACTGGTGGTCGGTACCGCAGCCTGGCCGGGGAGGAACCCGAGCAGATGGTTTGAAGATGATGTGATGATACGCTTAATTAATCTCACGATGTGGCCTCTTCCACGCTGGAGGGCGTGTTGGGGGGAGTGGTGAGGCGAGAAGGAGGCACATTTGGTTTCTCGGAGCGATATTGACGAAACGAATATCAGAGGAACCTCTGTATAGACATGCACATGGCCGATTGGATTAGATGGCCCCTGATGGTTGTATTTACGAACTTTCTTTCTACTTTCGTCTGTTTTGTATAGTTGTAGATTTGAATATGAATCGATATCTACGGAATAGTGTCGTATCCTATCCTATCACAGAGCTCTAAGGATTCTTCCGCCTCTTACTTAAAAGTGGGAAATCAAGTGCGATTTGAACCAAAAGGATCAGTAGAGCTGACCGGAAAGTACTTTCGGGGATCAGACCAGAAGGAAAGGAAGTGTAGTTTTTCACGACCATCTCGTTCTATGTACTCCGTGAAGTATTCATCAAGTAAGATAAATACCATAACCGCCTATTACAAATATTACATACACCCATACTTAGTGACACGTCCATGATACCGTCTGTTACAGTACCCACATACACGGTACGACCCAAGACGGGTTCGAAACATCCGATCTCGCAAATTTCGTGCGCCTTAATTAGCCCAAAAGTCAAATGCCGCGCTAGGATCTTATCTCGGAAGGATGTACGGGTGGGTTTTTTTTAAATTTTTTTCCCTTTGTCTTTTGTTTCTTTGGACTTGTGGTGAAGATAATTTCTTTTTATCAGATCCGTTTATGTTTCTAAGGAACCAGGGTACTCATCCCGGATTGTCTCATCTTACTCTTAGTTAGCTGTTCGAATTATTTGATGCAGTTAGTTGTTATTATCGTGTTTGTTTTTTCTGCTACCTAGTCGCTGGATCTAATCTGTTTTGTACTCCGTAAGCTCCGTCTAGGGATTTTCGTTTTCAGTTTCATTTTTCTTAACAGTAATCGTCTCCCTACAATTTAGGTAAAGGCACGAAAATGCCCTCGAAACTAGCGCAAAAATACAAGAAGATCCCTGTTGGAGCTTACGGAGTAGGTACCTGAGAAGTTCTTGTCTGTCACTGTTGGACAGACGATCTCGACTCCTTTCATTTCGGTCTGTTGGTTGTTTTCTCTTGCGATGGGCTAAGCAGTTTGAATAATTGGAAAGCACCTAGATAGAAAAGAAAACGAACAATTGGGTACGGGACACGGGATACGGAGTACATCAACAGGGATTCCTGTCCCCTGTGAGTATACCTGGTAGACGCTAGGTCGCATAGAACCGCCACCGCAGGAAGCTTGCACGAATTGAAGAAAAAGGGACAAGGAAAGGAGCGAAATTAGTGCAGATTTAATATTAACCGAAGAAATGTAGATCGACCATACTAGATCCCCCAGTCCTACGTTTGCCTTTTGGTCTATTATTCCCGAAGGATGAATGAAATGGAATGATAGACCCCCCTCGGGTGAAGAGACGTGAACGACTCGCAAGACCGGTCAAGCAATGGGTTCTGGACCCGATCGGGCCAGATATTGCGAGCTGCGCGAGCTGTCGCATACAGAAAATAGGATCGTCGTCGGGATGAACCAAAACGGGGGAAAGACTCCGACACCAGAAAGCGTGGCATGAAGTGGCATGATGGGGACAAGATGGGGAACTCGGGAGGATGAATCAGTAATTCCGAGGGTAGCAGGTAGGAAAGAGTTTAGCACATTCGTGAAGGCCGAAGGGGGGGGAAGGGAGGGAAAGCCGGGTGGAAAAGAGACGAAGGAGGGAAGGGAAATTTCTCGCCAGAGACCGGACTACCCCGTCAATGACTCTCTCTCCGTGCATTGCATTGGCCCGAACCAGAGGGTCGATGATGCAAGCAGCGGGTTGGATTCTTGGGTTTTTGTGGGTGCTGGAAGCTAACGGGGTTGGGAGGGAGAGCGAATTTGGAGCAGAGCAGAAGGCAGAGAGGAGGCCGAAGTGGAGATCGGTTGACCATTATCAATCAATCATTAATCAATCAGTTACCTAATCAAGCAGCTAAAGCCTTCGGTTCCTGACATGGAAACGACTTGCTGGCCTAAGTTCCGAGAAAATACCTCGGACTCCGAGAGTATTGACGAAGACTGAGAAGGGGGGGAAAGAAATCAGGGGACGAGAGGAAGAGACCAGACCAGGCCAGACCAGACCCTGCATTGCATTAGTTTGACAGGCGAATGCAAGCTGTAAGAGGATTATTGAATGCCATCCATATTCCTTCCATTACCTTACGAAATCGGAGCAACAGCTTTCACGAGGCAAGGGAAATCCCTGCAGATCCAGAAATCCCAAAAGATTATATACCAATAAGAAAAAAGCTCGCCGTCCCTACACCGATACCGAGTTACTCCTTCGTACGGTGTACATCGACATCCCGTAATGAGGCAGTGGTGGGCCTATCCTTTTCCTTCCCTCGTTTTGCTGTCCTTGGCAGTGGATGCTCTGGTGGACACAATGAGCCTTTCAGCATGGTTGAATGGCCGAAGGATTTATGGATGGGAATGGAGAAGAGTGAAAACTGGAAAAAGAAAAGACAAAAGAAGAAAAAAAAGAAAATAGCGCGCCAGCCACGCCTCGGTCTTGGTCCCAATGCCAATTGACGGGTTGTGGGATGGCGCCATCAGATAACAGACGAAAATTTTTATCTGATCAGATTATCAGGAACCGACCACATCTTTAATTCCTGCACCGCACGGGATTCGCATGAAGAATGTCCCTTGGAATTCGCGACAATTGGTTTAATTCTGAATCGGCACTCCATTCACAACGAACGAGCCCGTCTGTCTCCTACCAATTTTGATTTCCCATCTGGTTTCTCGGACATGTCTGTGTGTGTGCGTGTCTGACGCGGTAACATTATTCGCTTGACATCAGCGGGTCTCCCTCTTGGTAGGTTTGCGACGCAACCTAACTAAATGCCCAGTCCACCACTCAGGCACTTGACTAGGCTTGCATGCTAGAAAATTTTCCCAGAAAATAATGGAGCCTTTCCCCTCCCTCGGACTCGAGCTCTCGTGGAACCCTTCTTTAACTAGCGGTGAAATTGTTAAAAGCATTTGTATCTACCTCTATCAAATATATCTCCAAAAGAAAGTAAATAAAGAAAAAAAAAATTAACAACGCGTAGATAGTGGTATGTAGAATAATGTGACATGTCTCTTTAATGTTTAACAGGCAACTTGAATATATCAGTAGATTTTTTGGCAACCCCCCGGTGGGGTTCATCGGCATCTCACTTCCCATTCTCCGTGTTCACTGTCCATTTCGGTTTGCTGGTCCATCCGCTGCCAGGGAATTATTCCTTTAGCGCCATATTCGCCTAAAAGAAGCGGATCTGGACCAATGCCCTTTTTCACACTCTTTTCCTCCCCCCTTTTTCCGATTAGGGTTTTTTCAATTAGAGCATAGCGCGGAACTTGGGCGTGTCCTGCACCACCCCGTCCGCAAGCTGACTTCCAAAGAGCGAGCTCACCATCTCTCCGCCGCGAGCGGCCAGAACCGACAGAAGACTGTCACTCAGGCCATGCGTTTTCTCGTTGGAGCCTTGCAGCCAGATCCCGGCCTGCGCGGCAACCTTGCTGGGGTCTAGGTCGACCCGATAATCCCGGCTCGGGTTCCACCCTTCCTGGCCCACAGGGCGCAGATGTTGCACATTTTGCAGGAGCTGCTCGTGCGCGTTGCGGAAATATCCCGTTGCCACCATAAGGGCGTCGACCTCCAGCGTTTCCTTGCCTTCGCTCACCGCACTCTCCGTCTCGTCCTTGGCGGACTTCAGGTGAAGGCGCATCCGGCTCTTGGGTCCGTAGTGTTCGACTCGCGTAATTTTGCGGTTGGGCAAAATGCGGTGCTGCCATTGCGTCTCGTCGGGGTTCTTAACTCGCTGGAGGTACATCTCGTTGTAAATCTCCTCGATCAGCTCGAGCCGGACAACGCTGTAGTTGGTGGCCTTATCAGCGGCAAGGGATCGCTGGCGTTCGGCGGGCGATTGGTGGTAGAATTTATCGACTCGCTCGGGATTAAAGATTTCGTTGACACTGTAACCTATCGTTAGGCTATGAAATACTAAGATTTGGCTGAGGTGGGAGTTCGACTTACAAAGGAGAATCGTCACTGGGACGCATGGCAGTGTCCCTCATGATCAGCGTGGTCCTCGACTTGGGGTACCGCTTCTGAAGGTCGTGGAAGATCTCGGCGGCACTCTGGCCACTTCCCAGGACCGCGATGTTGTACGCCTGGCGGTCGTCGTTCAGTAGAGAGGGCAGGGTAGTGCAGTACTTGGAAGAATGCATGATTCGGGGGTCCTGGGGGAGACCTGGAGGGATCTTGGCGGTACCTCCGATGGCGACAACCACCTTACGAGCGCTTCTCGATGTGATGGCGCCAGTCTCGACGTTCCGCGACTTCACCGTGAAGAAGTCGACAACCGAGCTGTTGGGGTCGGTTTTGCCAGGAACCACCTCGACCACCTCCTCTCCGTAGCTCACGACGTCGGAGAATCGTGACGCGCACCAGCGCATGTAGTCTTCGAATTCCATCCGAGCGGGAAGGAAGGTGCTCAGGTTGGTGAAATGGATCAGACGGTCTTTCTGGTGAAGGTAGTTGAGGAAGGTGAAGCTACTGCGAGGATCGCGGAGGGTGGCCAAATCCTTGATAAACGAGATCTGCATCCTAGAGCCCGGAACGAGCATACCGGAGTGCCATGCGAACTGTTTCTGTCGCTCGAGGAAGCAGACCTTGGGTTGCCAGTCAGCCGGGGCCGACTTATTCAAGCACGGGTCCAGAGCATCGTGAAGCGCAATGCCGATTGCCAGGGAGGCGGGACCGAATCCGACGCAAAGAAGGTCGTGGAGCTCGTCATGCGGCGTGGCCTTCAAGCGGGGTAGCTCTCCAGAAGCTTGCTGCTGCGTGGAGGGCATGTTGCGATAGACGGGGAAGCCGGCCTCGGGCTTCCGTTCCACAGGCTCCATTGAATAGGATCTGGTATGTGATTATAAGAGAAGGGCGTTAAAAAAAGAGGGAAATTAAGGGTAGAATAAATTGGGGAAGCAGCCTGTGAGGGGTTGGGGGGTTAAAAAAATTATTCTCAACGCAGCTGCGGGCGAGGGGAGGGTACTTTATATGTACTAGTCGATGGGGTATAAACAGAGCAGGGACAATAGCTTTTTTGTTTTGCAACCAGAAAACTGGAACTGGGCCGACACGATTAAGAAAAAATAATTTAAAAAAAATTTCGTCAGGTTAACTTCAAGAAAGCGGATCCAGCAAGACGGTTTCTCTAGGCAAACCAAAAGCAGGCGGTGGTTCTTCTGACAGCGGGCCGGGAATGGCGTAGGATAGTCGTCCTCGGTTCCACCAACTGATTGATTAATATTTAGTGCTGAAGAAAAAGAAAAAAGAAAAAAAGACGAAGTGGAATAAGGAGGGGGAGGTGGTAGTAGTACTGTAGTACACCATAGTAGGGTGACATGGTATGTATGTACATACCTACAGATCCTCATCCCCTGTCGCTGGTGGTAATACAGATACCTACGAAGTACTCTGTTTAGCTTGTCCACTTCCTGTTTATTCCTAGGAATAGATCGGTCAAAGGAAACACTCCGAAGAAAAGAATAATAAACGCCCCTACCGATCATGCACCGCTGGAAGCATCCTCTACGAACGGTCGAGTTCTCTTCGTAGCCGAAACACGCCACAGAGGTTCCACTGCTGCTGCGCTTCCATCCATGTCTGCAGACAGGAACAAATGACGGTATACCAGTCATGGCACACCCTGCTCAGGCCACCCTCCCGGGCTAAAAGCAAGCCCCACGGGCCCAAGCAAATGTCTTGGGCGTTAACTGCAAGTGGGAGGATGAGACGTTTAGATTAGATCCGCTTGGCCCGATGTCGGGAAAATGGGCGCTTAGCCTGGCCCGTGACTTGTATGTATGGTATGTACTTTACATACAGTATGAAATACCTGAAGTATCGGGTATTACGGTTCAGGTACTGTACTAGTGACATGGAGTTCCAAAAGGAGGGTCACGAGGTATAGGTACAGTACCTCTCCATGTCACTGGGAAACGGGCTAGTGACCATCTGCCCTGCAGTGGCCGCAGGGTAGCCACGCCTAAGCCAGGAAGAAGACTGAGCGTCGGAGTGGAAAAGGTATCCGCCTGGTTCTAGTTACTCAGTCTCTCTGAGCCAGTATAGACCGGCGTTTCGCTATTGTGTCCCTCAAGGGCCCCGCGCACGTACCTCTCGACATGGCAGTCTCAGGTACATGATGATCCGATCGTCGCGAATGGGTAATCCTCAACGTATTCCCTCCCGTGTTGTTTCTGGAAAATCACAGGGTAAACCCTCACCTGCCAGAGAACCAGGAAGACGAGGGATTGCACCAGAGATGAGCATTTTTGGCCAATCCAGCCCGTGACGGGCCCCGATTTTGATCATGACCAGGTTGATGGTCATGCATATGCCTACATATGCAGGCTCCCTTCTCCTGTGCCCCGCAGACGTACCCCTCAGGAATTCCCCTTCGTGGAGGCGTGCCTGTCCTGGCCTTGTCCGAGGCCTGACTACGAAAGTCAACCGGATGGTTCGCTTTCCCTAGCTTCTATCTCATTATCCAGTCAAACCCCCCCTAATACTAAGCACATACTTCTAACAGTACGGGTATCGCCTTCCTACTGACCTCTGGCTGGTGGGGTTTCAGTTGTGCTGACCATGCCATGCGAAAAACAAGGCAGATCTACTGCTAGAAAACAACCCGGTTCCTTTCATTTCCCCTCTTTCCCACTTGTTCTTGTTGGCTCCTGTGGCTCTATCTTTGCTCTTGGTTGAGCAGCCGGACTCAAGTCTCCCCGAGGCCTTGAGTAAATCGAGCACGCCTCATTCGAAACACCTTCTGGTCAGTTTCGGAGGATAGGCAACCTCAACAGATGAAAGGAGAAAAATGTGGACTTATACCAAAAACCTCATTTAGGTAATGTCAGTCCTCGCAGTACCTGATATGTCAACAGATAACTATCATCTCGCGGTTGTCGGGTCGAATATGTTCGACTTTGAAATATCGACTTCTAACTGATTGCACGGCGAGAACTGGACCACAATATCTCAGGACGCATCTAGGGGGAGGGACTACTTATGCAAGAGCCAGAGCATGTTTATATCGAGTTAGTCCTCTGCCTTGTGGTCACCACCAAATATAGAAACAAACCTTGCATAACGTCTTTTGGATGCCTGTCGCAGTGACATTTCCACCGTACCTAGCATCGAGGTAAACCGAGCACCAATTCCAAGGAAGTCTTAAGCAGATATCAGAACTACTTGTCAGTATCTGCTGCATTGCATCATCGTGATATGACCGCTCATGCAGAGAACCCTGGTCTCGAACATTCCTTACTTCGTGAGATCAAGATCCCATGGGTTGTCATGATGACGTTAGATTAAAGGGGCCAAATAGGTTGCCTTTCGCATTCGCTCCTTGCCGAAGGTCGCAGGCGATCTAAGATAAACTTCAACCTCATTACATCGCAGAGCAGCGTTGGCATGGTTGCCAAACACTATGCGTATGTCTGTCACAATTAAGGGCTCTCCGTTTGACATCTGCTTCAACCAGAGCCTCGGGGCAAAGGACCTTGCATTACGTCGAGTGACAGATAGCAGCGGGATTGTATTTGGATGGAGTTTCGTGGAGATGCCATCTGCAACGTAACCTCTTCTGCAGGTTGAGGTGCAATCTTGAATTTAGTTCGGTTTGTTTATCTACGATGTTCTAAGGGTGTAGCCTAAACCACCCGTGATGACGCATGCTGGATGGAGCTGTGTCTAGATAGAACCATGACATTATCACGACTTGAGCTCATCGCGAATTTGTAATGACAAATGTATCTTATAGTAGAAGCCCAGGTTATGGGAAATGTGTACGCTAGCTCCGCAAGAAGACCAACGTCGAGAAGTTATTTAGTTCGTTAATCATGTCCAGACAGTCAGAACTATGCGAATAGGCAGTTGATTTTGACATGTCAATATTTAATCTAGACCCTACAAGAGCAAAGCAACAAGGCATCGTGAGATATGCAAAGCAAGATGGTTCGCAAGGGGTTGGCCGTAGCGTCATGGATCCTGAAGAAGTCCTGAACAGGCGAAATGTCGAGTTGGGGAGAGGCTTGATATGCGGTGTAAGGGATGGGAGATGGGTCTGTGGGATTAGGTTTATGGATATGGATTAACTCACCGGGGCGCATAATTAATTATTCATCGAAGTTTGAGGATGGATGTCTCTCGGTAGGGATGAAACTAAGAAACCATTAAATCAATTATTTGAATCAAGGGTGAAAATATTTAGTGGAGGGGCAGCCGACTGACTATGAGGCCTAGTGGTCTTGACTACAATCTGGTATTATTGTATGGTAGCAAGCGGAGGGGCTATTGTTGTTTACTGCTGCTACATTTCCATTATACTCGAATTGATTTCATTCAGGTTGCAGCGGCAGGATGAGATGTTTGTTTGTGAGAGAAATTGTTGTGGTCGCGGAGCGGAAGAGAGATATATTTTGTCGCTGCTTGCCCTTCACCCCACATCTTGATAATGCGACCCCCCGACCATGGTTCATCTGTGACCTGTAACACTAACCGGACATGTAAAATCTGGAGGACGTTGGAATGGAGGATTAAGCTTCAATGCGGAGGACGATCGAAGGGAAAATCAATCTCAAGTACCCAGATATACAGAGGAAGAGCGTAATCGAAATACCCGGGCCATCATATCACATAAGATTATCTCGGTGGGTAGATCGATTTGGCGACCTGATAATGATATGGCTCGCACTATCAGTATCAATGACGACGGGATCGGACACGTCCAGAATGAGGGTCGGACACGTGTACTCTGGTAGACCAGATAATCTAGCCGCTACGAGGTCATACTCCGTAGTTATACCCAACGACGTTATGAAAAGGCCTACTCTGCAAAAACTTGGATGTCGAAAATTCTAGAAGTATAAATAAGGTGGACAGGTGCCTGATCGGGTGCCCGTGTGTTTATTATTATTATTATTATTATTTTGCCACCAAGGCACTCCCGTAATTGGCACCACTTGAATTATGGAGCACATGACAACATACTTTGGACCAGGGACGTTGATTTCTAATTTCTACCCAAGAGATTTGGACCATGTATCAGGAGACGATGTGGCGAGATGCGCGTTGCAACCGTAGACGGAGGACGCGGGCAGTGCGATGTTCTGAAGATAGTAGTTGTATATACAATCATAATAAATGAAGAGCACCTGCAAGGGACGCGACTGGGCTGATCCGAAGCCCCCGCGTTGTTTTGCTTATCAACATTATCGATAGGGGGAAAACCCGGTGGGTAGCGGAACCTTGTCTCGGGTACCGAGATTAACCTGTTTTTGCCGTTGGGTCGGGGTGCCGGATCTGGCAGCCTTGTTGAAAGTTGAAAGTTGAAAGTGGTTCTTGACGGGAGTAATCATCAAATTTGTCAATATTCAACGCCTTCAATGAATGAATGAATGAATGATTGAGTCATATTCAGTAGATTCATAAGGTGTATGGTCATCGTATGATGGACTGGGGCGCGCGGGAACCCTTGGGGCTACGCGTGACTCTCCCGGCGCTAAACCCAAACAGGCCGCAGTCAACAACAAAAGACGCGCAGCGCGTGCCAGCAGAAAAACATCGAGTCCCGCCTAAGGATTGGCTGGAAGGCGACGGAGGAGGCGAACGATGCCAGATGGATCTAACTGGGCCTTAACCTTTTTTTTTTTGATTTTTTTTTTCTCCTTCTTGAATTGCTCGTCTGCTCTTTCCAGCTTCATCCTGTCAATCTGTCTGCTGTGAGCAGATCCCGTCTTCGCCGAATTCAGTCCGTTTAAATCGATCCATTTTCAGAAATAGAATCGCGCACTGTCTTCCTCCACATAAACCCCCCCTCCATCTCCCGCAAGGGAATTTCCTCGGGCCATTTATTGACTGAGGACGGCTGCATACCGCAACTTCATCAGCCCCCCTCTCCGTCTATCTCATCCCTTCCTTCGTCTCGCCTTCGCTCTCTCTCCTTCGCGTGGCACTCGATTTTTGGAGGGACTCGACCACTTCCGCCACCCCTTGCGCAACCGATTTTGTGTCTACACGGTCATACAGGGCTTTTAAAGAAACGGAGACGGAAGGGAGAACGAAAGCTGCTGCTGCTGCTTCTCTTGCGATCAAATCAAATCGACCCGCCTGCGTCTGTACGGATCCTATCTGCCTCTCGCGCGTCGACCAGTGATTTTTTATTATATTTTATTTGATTATTTTCTCGCGCGACCTTCGAATTCTCGTGTTAACCTCGTCGCGCGTATACTCGTTTCGTTCGCTCCTGCATCTTCGCGACGCGCCTGCTTGTTTTGACATTGTCGTGGTCACCCTGAAACATTCCCGGTCGAATCCCAAGCGCCGACGGACGCTGCGAGCGCCGACGTATCTTGTGTTTCAGGCGCGTGGCTCAGTGCCCTTGGTGCACGACGAGGACCGACCTCCCGGGAATCTCTACTCTTCCCCTCCCCACCTCCTCTTACGCAGTCGCGCTGCGCGTACAGAGGCATCGACGAAGTGGGTTGAGAGCTCGGTCAGCCTTCGAATAATCTGATGGGATGTGCATCTTTCGCTTGCTTTGTATAGCCTGCTTGTTTTGTCTTGATACTGCTGCCGCCGCGCCTTACGTTCGCAGCATTCCGCTGTGGAATCGATTACCTTGCTACATTTTGCTTACGGGCTAAGACACGACAACAATCGCACCGCCACAGTTCCTACCCGCCATCTGTTCTGTTGTTGTCAACCTCCGTCGCGGGTGAAGATCACTGTATCCGTCACGAACTTGCACCTCGATTCGCTCGTCGACCCCGTTCACGGCGCATTCTACTTTCCAAATCTCGACCTACCTACATCGACCGGATTGCTCTTGATTTTTAGCGAACAATCCATCATGGTCGCGACCTTTTCACCTCACCGTGATGCGGGTGGTACCCTCCATCTCCCATCCCACACGGGAATCCATCATGTTGATGCCAGTTCGGCCATTCGCCAGTTACGACGATCACTGTCGCGATCTCCTTCCAAGAGTTCCAACTTTTCTTTTCTCACCTCCCGGAATCACTCTCCTTCCAAAACAACGCCCTACATCTCATCTCCTCTGTCGCCCTCGCGACGCTCCTCGCAAAACAACTTCGTCCTATTTCCCAGCTCCTCTCATCAATCTCCATTCGCCGTGCCATACCCGCCAAGCGCCAAAATCACGCGGCCTGTGATGCGCCGTGTGCGGACATCCCCGAGGAGTCCTGCCAAACGCGCCTTGAACATCTCCGCGGACCAGGGAAACACGAAACCTGCACAGTCCGTTCCAACGACGCCCGACGTGGAAAACTTCCCTTCAGCCAGGGGAATGAGCGTCCAATCAGATGATGATGATACGAGCGGGAATGGTTGTTCGACTACCCCCGCTGGATTCCCGGAAACTTCCACTCTTTCACCGCGTCCACCGTTGTCTCGTGTCGAGAAACGGCGGAGCGGGACCTTTGGCTCATATGCAACCGTCAGCCCCCTCAAGCGCAGTGACGGAATAATGAATCTTGATCGGGCCTCTCGTGGCAGTCCGTCGGCCAAGCGGCGAAGTGTTCACACCGCGAACCTCTCTAACGAGTTCAGTATCTTCGACAGCGAGGACGCGCCTGCCACTGTTGATGAATCCGCAGGCGAGTCGCTGACGGATGAAGAGACACCCTCCTTTCCTTCTGCCACCCCATTCAGTCCCTTTGCCACGATCCCGAAACGCTCATCTTCTCTGCGACGCTCAACGCTCCAGCAACGCCAAAGCGATCGCTCTATCTTCTCTCGACCAAAAGCCATGGGCGAGTCCGAAGCCTCGGACAGCGGCTCTCCCTTGAGTCCTCGACCATGCCCGTCTCTGGATAGCAACCTCTTTCAACCGACTCGCGATAGCTTGTTCTCTCCCCGACCGGTTCCGGCTAGCCCGTTATTTTCATCAACAAACAATGCTCACGGGCAAACGCGTCCGACTGCCCACCCGCTCTCACGGACGATAACGCAATCATCATCAAGCTCGAGTTTGGTCGATGACTCGCCTACCCATGAACCTGTCCACAAGGCTGATCGCCCGAGAGGGGTGTTCAATTTCTCCAAATCGCTCCCGGCGGGTGCCACCCGACCAGGAGCCGTTCGTCCACTCACACGTGAAGACTCGACGTCTTCCACCGATTCATTCGCTACCCCGGAGAACTATAAACTTGTGAAGCCTCTGCCGGCTGCCTTTATGTCCACGGGGCTCATTTCGAAAAAGAACCGCAATGCCGAAGACCCCCAAAACATGATGGGCTTCAGCAAGAACATGCCCGACACGCCGTGCAAACGGCCCATCAACCTTTTCCCTACCGGACAGAAAGCGCAGCCGGAGCTGTCCTTGGGAAGGTCAACGCTAGTTCGCCCATCGGATGCATCCCAGTCCCCATCCAACCCTCTTAGCACACGGCCCAAGCTAGGCCCGTTCGCGCGGGGTATGGGTATCTTTGGAAACTCATTCAGTCGACCGGAGGCTTCGCGTCGCGGTAGCTTTGTCAGTGTAGACGGTGATGAAGGGATGCAGTCGCAGTCTCCATCAGCCCGGCATGATAGCCAACCCCTCAGTGAATACGATCTCCCACCGACGCCGACCAAACAAACCTTCTTCCCATCGCGCACTTACCCCCCGGCCACATCGCAAATAGCTTCCCTCGAGAGACTTTCGGAGGCCATGGGGACGAATTCCAGTCCTCTCCATGACAGATTCCAGCGTGGATCCCCACGAACCCCCCAGGATCACCTCTTTCCCCCCGACCCAAGCGGCCTGTCTATCTCGGCGCCCAATGAACAACATTCGGTCAATACGGACTTTAATTCCTCGGAATTGCCGGCCACCCCGACTGGTCCGCGTGAGTCCTTGTTGCAGTCCGGCAAGAGGACGAGTTTGACCCTGAGCGGATACCATGCCCCGGACGTCGACCCGAGCTTGACTTCACGCTTTGAGAAGGTGGAGCTCACCGGTACAGGGGAATTTTCCCAGGTTTACCGTGTGGCCGAGCCTCACGACCAAGGGGTATCGTCACTGTTCTCAAGCCAGCCAAAGTCTCCTAAGCCCGTGCTGGAGCAGGTGTGGGCGGTCAAGAAATCCAAACAGCCATACTCGGGGTTGAAGGACCGCGAGCGCCGCATTCGAGAAGTCGATGTGCTCAAATCCTTGACGAATTCCGACCACATCATTTCGTTTATGGACAGCTGGGAAGACAACGGTCATTTGTATATCCAAACCGAGTTCTGCGAAGAGGGTAGCTTGGATGTATTTCTTGCTCAGGTTGGACTGAAGGCAAGGTTGGATGATTTCAGGATCTGGAAGATTCTGCTCGAGCTGTCTATTGTATGACCCGCCCCTTTCGTTTTGAATCTGTCGAATCTTGATTGGCAGCTATGCTAACCTGACGAATAGGGACTGAAACATATCCACGATATGGGATTTATCCATCTCGACCTCAAACCGGCCAACATCCTGATCACCTTCGAAGGGGTTTTGAAAATCGCCGACTTTGGCATGGCTACGCGATGGCCTGCCGACCATGGAATCGACGGCGAAGGAGACCGCGAATACATTGGCCCGGAGATCTTGATGGGCCGCTACGACAAACCCGCGGACATCTTCTCCTTGGGTCTAATCATGTTTGAGATCGCCGGGAACGTTGAACTTCCTGACAATGGTCTTTCGTGGCAGAAGCTTCGCAATGGTGACACGAGCGACGTTCCCAGTCTCACGTGGAGTTCCGAGACTGGCGTTTTCCGAGACCCGTCCGGCAACCCTGTGTCCGAAGAGCCATCGTTTGAAGAACTGTGCGCCTCGGACTTTGGTGACGATACGTTCGGCGACGACAGTTTCATCGGTAGATCGAGCGAGCGAAAAGCCGTCCCCCTTGCTCGGTCCGGCGAACTGGTCGACCCTCCGAGCTTCATGGTTGATGCCAGCCATGAGCAAGCCTTGGACAGGATTGTGCGATGGATGATTTCTCCGCAACCGCTCGATCGGCCGACCGCAGATCAGCTTTTGGAGACATACGGCGTCCAATTCGTGGGACGTCGACGTCGAGCTGGAGCCACAGTGTACGAGGGCAACTGGGGTCCGGCCGACGAAATGCTCGCTGAGGACGCCGAGATGATCGACGTCTGAAACCCCCGGGGTCATCTGATACCATACTGATTGATGCATTTGGTTGGAGTTGGTGCTTTCCTTACAATAACAACATTTAATGATGGCGTTGAGGTGACAATCTGGGATTTGAATAATTTACACGCCCCTGCTCAACCACGCAGCGGGCAACATGGATGCTTCTAATGTGCAATGGGGAACGCCCACGTCATGTACCGCGGCAATAACGCATTTTTGTTTCTGTTTTTTTTTCTTCTTCACTTCGGTTTATCACGCCTTCCGACCACTCTCTTGCACTGCCCAATGGCCGATAATGCCCTTTTGGAGCTCGATGCACTTGAGTCTCACGTTCCTTTCTCGAACCGAAATGAACTTTCCTTTGTTCTAACAACGATTGAGCGTTTGATGCTGCTTTTTTTTTTTTGCATGCGACTGTCCCCATGCCTCTGTATGATTTTGAAGAAGGTTTTTTCTGCACTTGTCTGATGTAACAGCCTGTTTTTCTTTGTGTGTTTCTCTCAGTCCCTCTTTCTCTGGCGCTCGGCCTGTGAAGAACCATTGTTTTTTCTTTCTCTTTCTGTTATTTCTCATGCACTTTGGGCGGCTTTAATGATGACTATTAACCCTTTCCTACATTTGTATCTCCATCTGCTTGGCGGCTGAGAATTTCCCTTCTACCACTGTTATTAATCTTTTTCCTCTTTGTTTTGTCCCTCTGTTTCATAGGATTATGGGACGGCATAGCTGATATGTGATCAAGCGGGCTTGAGAGCAGGTAATGCTTGTGATTTATACTCTTGAATGCAACCATTTCTGGGCGCAGAAACTGCGATGAACCAGATCTGAATTTGGATGCCAATTGAATCTTCTGAAATCCGTAGGAGCCGTATCATGCAATAACTAGGTGTTCTAGTATGTTGATGATTCATCATCGTTGGATCGGCCGATTTCTTGGCGCCGCGGAGCTTCTTCGCATCGTTTGGCCGACAGTTGCAAAGTCCGATCTCCTCCAACTCGCCATCGTCTCCCTCTCCTCTGGCCACCATCTTATTGCGCCCGATCCCGATATTACTGGACAACTATTTATCTTTCATGACTATGAGCCCTGCGCTTTGAGTGAGGATCTCACGGGAAGACCATTGATTGGGAGAGACTAATCTCTTAACCTCTTCTGCAGACCGGTAGAACAGAGGACCACCGACCTCGCGACTTTTTACAATTACCGAGACCGATCATGGATAACCGTACCTTTGTGTCGGATTCCCTTCTCCGCCTAACCAACGCGTCGGACCCTACCGTTGTTGATTTCGTCCTCGCCACCGCCGGCTCCGCGAAATCGGCGACCTCGCTACAAGACAAACTCGTCCCCTTCCTAGAAGGCAGCTCGAATGACGTCGGTGCCTTCTGTAGCGAACTCTACGGACGGGTCAACAAGAGCAGCGCCGGCGGCGGCAGTAGCAGCAGCAAGAATGGCGCCAGCGGCGGGCCCTCGAGCAGTGCGCGGGGAGGGGAGAAGAAGAAATACCGACTCCTAGAAATGGAAGACGAGGTGCCGGATTCCGCGGGCTCTCTGGGGCCGACGAACATCGAAGCAGAGCGCGAGCGACGGAGGCGCAGGGATAACAACAAGGAGCGGAGCCGGGGCAAGGACCGGGATAAGGAGGAGAGCCGGAAGCGGGAACGGAGTCGCGAGGAAGGGGGTCGGGACCGGCCGCGGTCGAAGAAGCTGCGACGACGCGATGCGGACGATTTCGATGACCGTTGGGGCGACGAGGAGATTCCCGAGGAGGAGCTTTACGAGGAAGAGGAGGAACGGGGGGCCGGCGAATTTGCGGAATCGCCGGCGAAGCGCACGCGGCTGGACGATGGGTCTGCGCGGTCGCGGTCGCCCTCGGCGGATCTAGACCCCGAGGTGAAGCGGGAGCTGGAGCGGAAGCGCGATCTGGAGGAACGGGACGAGTTTGCTAAGCGGTTGGCGAAGAAGGATGATGGCAAGTCGAAGAAGATCGTCGAGGATCGGACCCGCGCGGGCGAGGCTGCTCGCAGACGGGCTCTGGCTGACGACTCGTCTGCTCGGGCGGCTGTCATGCCCGACCTTCGTCTGCGCTCTCGTCAGGAGTATCTCAAGAAGCGTGAGACAGAGCGACTTGCCCTTCTGCGGAGGCAGGTTGCGGAAGAAACCGCGGAGCTTCGCGAGAATCCGGACCTGACGCGCAAAGAGAAGGAAGAGTTTGCCCGAAACCGAGAGGTTCTTCGAATCGCAGAGGAACGACTCCGGATTGACGACCACCGCGATGGCTACATGATGCCGGAGGACTATATTACGGAGAAGGGGAAAATCGATCGGAAGAAGAAAGAAGACGCCCTCTACAAACGCTATGTTGACCGCGACGACTATGGACAGGAGCGATTTGTCACCGAACATGAAGAATGGGAGTTGGAGCAAACGGCTAAAGCCAAGGCCCAGATAAATCGGGCTGAATTTGTGGATGAGGGGGACTACGAGTACGTGTTTGACGATTCGCAAAAGATCAACTTCATTATGGACGCCAAGATGGAGGGCACACGAAAGCCTATGACACATGAACAACGGGTATTCCAAGAGCAGCTTGACGCTGCCGAGAAGAAGGCCGCGTCAATGGAGGATACGCGGAAAAGCCTGCCAATTTACCAATTCCGGGATCAGATCATCCAGGCTGTTGAAGACCACCAGGTCCTTATTATCGTTGGTGAAACTGGGTCTGGTAAGACCACCCAGATTCCCCAATACCTCCACGAGGCCGGCTACACCAAGAACGGTATGAAGGTTGGATGCACTCAGCCCCGACGAGTTGCTGCCATGAGTGTTGCTTCTCGAGTGGCAGAGGAAATGGGAGTGAAGATCGGTAACGAAGTCGGATATGCCATTCGATTCGAGGATAACACGAGTGATAAGACAGTGCTCAAGTACATGACGGACGGCATGCTGTTGCGTGAACTCTTGACGGAGCCCGATCTCAGCCAGTACTCCGCGCTGATGATCGATGAGGCGCACGAACGGACGGTCCCTACGGATATTGCCTGTGGTCTATTGAAGGATATCGCCAAAGCCCGGCCGGACCTGAAGTTGCTGATTTCCTCCGCGACTATGGACGCGCAAAAGTTCCAGCAGTACTTCGACAACGCGCCCATTTTCAACATTCCCGGCCGTCGGTATCCGGTTGACATCCATTACACCTCGCAGCCCGAGGCCAACTACTTGGCTGCCGCGATCACCACGGTTTTCCAGATCCACATCACGCAGGGCCAGGGAGATATCCTCGTGTTCTTGACTGGACAGGAGGAAATCGAGGCAGCCGAGCAAAGTTTACAGGAGACGGCACGAAAATTAGGAAGCAAAATACCGGAAATGATCATTTGTCCGATCTATGCCAATCTGCCGTCTGAACTCCAGACGAAAATCTTCGAACCCACGCCGCCGAAGGCTCGCAAGGTGGTTCTAGCTACTAATATTGCCGAGACAAGTTTGACGATCGATGGAATTGTCTACGTGATTGACCCGGGATTCGTTAAGGAGAACGTGTTCAACCCACGGACTGGAATGGAGAGTCTGGTGGTGACGCCGTGCTCGCGAGCCTCTGCCAACCAGCGGGCCGGTCGAGCAGGTCGAGTAGGACCAGGCAAATGCTTCCGCCTGTACACCAAGTGGGCCTATCACAACGAGTTGGAGGAGAGTACGACGCCGGAGATCCAGCGGACAAATCTGAACAGTGTGATCCTCATGCTGAAGTCGCTGGGGATCGACCAACTCCTCGAATTCGACTTCATGGACCCTCCGCCGGCCGAGACAATCATTCGCGCATTGGAACAGCTGTACGCGCTGGGCGCGCTGAACGACCGGGGTGAATTGACCAAGATCGGCCGACAGATGGCCGAGTTCCCGACGGATCCTATGCTCGCCAAAGCCATCCTGGCAGCGGACAAGTATGGCTGTGTGGAGGAGGTGCTTTCCATCGTGTCGATGCTGGGCGAAGGCAGCGCGCTCTTCTTCCGGCCCAAAGACAAGAAGATCCACGCGGACAGCGCCCGCAATCGATTCACCATCAAGGACGGCGGCGATCATCTGACGCTGCTCAACGTTTGGAACCAGTGGGTGGACTCGGACTTCAGCTTCGTCTGGGCCAAGGAGAACTTCCTGCAGCAGCGCAGTCTGACGCGGGCGCGCGACGTGCGCGACCAGCTGGCGAAGCTTTGCGACCGAGTCGAGGTGAGCGTCAGCTCGTGCGGGTCGACCAACCTGGTTCCGATCCAGAAGGCCATTACGGCCGGTTTCTTCCCGAATGCGGCGCGACTCCAGCGCGGCGGGGACAGCTACCGGACGGTGAAGAACGGGCAGTCGGTGTACCTGCACCCATCCAGCACGCTATTCGAGGTGAACCCGCGGTGGGTGATCTACTTCGAACTGGTCTTGACGAGCAAGGAGTACATGCGAAGCAACATGCCGCTCCAGGCGGAATGGCTGGTGGAAGTGGCGCCGCATTACTACAAGAAGAAGGATCTAGAGTCATTAGGATTAGAGAAGAAGATGAAGGGTACGGGAGCAGCGGGGGAGAAGAGTCGGGATTAACAAGGAGGATTTGGTTCATAATTAGAGAAATGTATATGGTTAGCATTTTGGAATGCCTCTATTCTCCACTGAAGCTAGATGAAGCAGTATACATCGTCATAGTCCGGAACTCCAATCAGAAGGACGGTATTGCAATCGACCGCGGCTCCGACGGGCGCATTTTAACCTCGGCTCATCCCTCTCCACTTCGACCCCGGATCAACTTATTCCTCCTCTCCTCTTCCTTCCCCATATCAACCAGCACCAACACCTTTAAACCGTCGTGATACCTTCCAAAAACAAAACCCAAAACAAAAGACACCAACACGAAGCAAAATGTCCCAATCCTTCACCCCCGCCGACGTGGCCGCCCACAACAACGCCGACAAGGGCCTCTACATCATCATCGACAACAACGTCTACGACGTAACCGCCTTCGTCGACGAGCATCCCGGCGGCGCGAAGATCCTGAAACGCGTCGCTGGCAAGGACGCTTCGAAGCAGTTTTGGAAGGTTTGTTTCTCTGTGCCTCTCTTTCATTCTATCTAGTCTTCACGTGCCTGTCTGGCCTACCCACCTACCCGCCTACCCCGCGATGCGTCCATTTTCTCTCTCTCGAGAGAATCAATCCGATTGAAAAGTATCGAATTGCGTTGCTAACGTGTCTATTTCCTGCAGTACCACAATGAAGGCGTCCTCAAGAAATACACACCGAAGTTGAAGATCGGGGAGGTCAAGGATGCGGCGAAGTTGTGATCGCGCTTCCTTTCTTGATTACCTCTTACTTTCTTTCTTCTCTTTCCTTGACTCGCGTGACGACAGATACCTGGGACTGGCCGGCTCTGCTTGGTCTGGTTTGGACTGATTGGGGAAGGTCGGAGGACATGACTGCCTACCAGACTATACCATTCCTCTCCTATGGGTTGATTTATGGCTATGGACGGGCTATTGAGGATGCGGCCCGGGAGGCGCAAAAACGGGGTTGAGCTCTGGCTGGATTCGCGTTCTCTAGATGATGGGAGGAAGGGCTATGCTATTCGATTGTTTGATTATAGATGTTGATTGATGTTGATGTTGGTGTTTTATTTACTGGAAATCATATGATACCTATAACTATGCTAGCGATCTTGACATGTTCTATACTTTAGAAAGTAATTATCCTTATACTGTTTCACTTCTACAAAATCAATGAAGGATCTCCAAAATATGACGTTGTGTCTTATTATTGTCTGAAATTTCTTTAGAACCGAAAGTCGAAAACCAAACCCGGAATGGTATAAGAGATAGATCAAGGTGATATCTTCCGCAAGAAACAAATGGTATCATATCGATGAGCTGGACTATCAGGCACAAAGGCAAGATAGATGATAAAGCAGACTCCCTTCCCACATGCAAAGAACAACACGAATACATACACAGAGGGCCAAATATACAGACAGAACGAGGTAGGATGTCGCTAAGCGATGGCGACGGATGACTTTTTTAATCAAAAGGGGAGAGAAAGAGAGACGAAGAGAGGGAGAGGGAGAGCAGGCTAGAGCAGAGGGCTAAAATCCCCGAAAAGGATCGTCATGGTGAAAATGCTCGAAATCGTCATAAGGAGAGTAGTCGGGTTCACGAAATCTCGGGTTTTGCGGCGCACCCCACGGGCTCGAAACCTTCCGGCCATGTCGGGCGCGCGTGGGACGGATTCGACTGGCGTCTGCCTGGTCAATGAAGGCTTCCATGCGCACCGTTCCAATCGCATCGAAGAAGTTACTCGTACCCGTTCGGACACTGGTTTCCGAGGTTCGGCGGCTGTAGCTGCTACGGCCGCTGTTGATCGTAGTAGCTGCGCCGTGCGATTGCGGCCCGTGCGTGTCGGAGGATCCCCGCGTGCTGGGGTTCGAGGGCATCGTCCCCTGGCTGGAGAAGCTGCGAATCGTTGGGATCGCCGGCATCCGAGGGGTCGTGTTGCTTCGCTTGCGCGCGTGGTTGGAGAATCGAGGCACCGTGGGTGGATCGGCTGCGTCCATTGAGTTGGTCGATTCTCGGCCTGCAGGGATTTCGGGGACGGGCTCCGGCTGATTCAACGATCGCTTGCCCTTGGGACCGGGTCGAGGTCGGCCTTTGGCGATGCGGATCGAGTCGCGGATCGGGTTTCGGCGCAACGATGCTGGCTGAGCAGGCGGCGTGAACTCTTCTTGCGGAGCAGGGGGCAGAGAAGAGAGGTCGTGGAGGCCCATGGCGGAGTGGCTCAAGAACGACAGTGCAGAAAGCCAAACATAATGACGTTCGATGCTAGAGGCTGTAAACTTAAGCGCCCGCTGGGGCGTCAAGATGAGGATGGAACGATTGAATTGGTTGTGTGGGTTGGCGCCTTTCGGCAGGGGGTTGTCGTCCTTGACGTCGAGCACGGATTGAATCAATACTGTCAGTTATATTAGCAATCTTGTTTCCCAGCAACCTAGAAAGATATCTTTGTACTTACACTTCCTGCCACTCTTGCCCAGAAGGGCAGGCCCACTCGTCGGCTGCTTGCTGCTCCACATGACGGCTCGCTCGTAGGGAGCCAGCCAGACCCATCGTTTGTGCCGAACTCCACTGTTGGTAATGTTGGCCGACACCTCCTCGGCATTCCGGCCCTCCCAGTTGTCTTTGGATTCACCCACGCCGCCAAACGATCGCCGCCGACGGATGTACTTGAACATCCATTCTCCAACCATGGTCTGTGCGATCGCATCGACGACGCTTGTCGGCTGAACCGACGTGGCCGTGGAATCTTGTCGCTCATGGAGCAGTCCGCGCGGCGGGGTCGCACGATGATGATTCGACTGCCGTTGGCTGGATCGTCGATCCCGGGGCATGGTAAGTTCATCGAACGGAAGAGGCGGGTAAGGCTGATGAGGGCTTTCCTGCCCAAATGAAGAGCCCGACATGGGAGACGAAAGACTTCCCGGCCGGTCATGTTCGGTGTGCGACATTGCAGCGGCCGACCGGACTCGTCGCAGGGTGGGACGTCGCACAATCGGTGGACGCGTCCGATCAGAGAAATTCCGGGGATGGTTGGAAGGGGTCGGACTCTGACGCCCCTCACTCCCGTTGACTGGGAATTTCCTGGAGCTGAGACGGATTGGCACCGGGAACGGAGGAGCAACGCTCGAGGCTCCGCTGGCACTCCCGCTGTCGATGCTCGGCTCGCTGGGACTCCGAGGCCGTATCTTTTGGTGGGCTGCTGCTCCGCTAGAGATCATCGCAGCGCGCCGGATATCTTGCTGGCGTGCCGTAGGTGTCGCCATCCCGGATCTTGGGCCCTGCGAGGACCCCATGAAATCCGCGTCCTTTGCTGTGTCCCGACGAGCATCCAGGTCGATCAGATGCTCATCGACCTCACGCACACTTTCGTCCACGCTCGGGCGGTCTTGCGTCGAAACTAGCTTGCCCCGTTTCAATTTGTACGCAGCAAACGGCCGGTTGAGAAGGGCATCGTCAGTAAAGATATCCTTGGACTCTTCGGATGGCTCCTCCTCGTCGCTCTGCGGCTCAAACCCGGCGAAGAGGCTGCTCGATCGGAAAGGCCGCCTGATATCCGTCTTCGATTCCTCGGACAGAGGCCCATTGTCGTTGTTTCCAGGATAGGCCTGGGTATGGCCCGAGAACTGAGTTTCCGAGACGGGCTTCGCCGGCTTCTCGTCAACAGAGGACTTCGGCTTTCTTTCGCCCTTAATGGGCCGTGGAGGTGGCGCTCGGTACGGCTGCACCGGAACATCCTGAGCGTTCATGTTAAGCGGCAGATCTGGGATAGCTGAAGGAAGTAAGCTAGCTGGCAACTTGACAGATCGTTGATCGATCCGAATTTCTTCCGTCTGGATGCCAACCGTTTGGGTTTCCACAGCGGGACGGAGATCAGCCTGGCAAGACGCACTCTTGGTCTGAGGCGGGAGAACAACGCTGCCACGGGGCGAAGGGGGATCTGAGCAAGGCGGATGAATTGCGATCATTGGGACCGCGAGTTCGGGTGACGCAGAGTCGGTTTGCTGCAGACTGACTCGTTTTGATTCGATCTTGGCAGGTGCAAGCTCTTCCGTTTGCACGGAGGTGGAGACCATCACAGCTGGCTCGGGAAGCGACGGCGAAGGTGGCATTTCGCTAATCAGAGGCGTCCATGGGGGAGTGGGAAGATCTGCGACCGTTTGACAAGACGTCGAGACCATGTCAGCCGAAACCGTCGACGTGCTGGTGTCCTTGGACGAGTAGTGCCCAGCGGGAGCCTGGCTATCGCCATGAGACTCCTCAGAGTATCGGCTTGATGGCAGATTTTCGCTCTCCGTTGGTAGCTTCGGAGAGGGCGGAGGAGAGTACTGAATGCCCGAGTCCCGGTATACGTACGACACCGGAGCTTTCCAGGGGCTGCTCAATTCCGACGTGCCGTCGCCTCTAGTGGGGTGACCGTCGTTGCTGCCGTGCAGAGAAAGACCTAGGATCTTTCTCGCTTTGGCTCCCATGCCAATCGTATGAGAGATGTGGGATTGAACCGACACCGGACGCTCTTCCGGAAGCGCCTCGGGGGATGCGGGCACCAGGTCCTCGTCGGGAAGCCCGAACTCCTCGTCTTCGTCAAACGCGAGTTCTTGGGCAAGGCTCAGGCCGTCGGGTTTGTTGATACCCGGCACGTTGGCAATGCTGGCTACCGAGTACCGAATGTTATGATAGTCACCCTCGTCGGAGCTCACGCTGGTGACGCTAGTCCGGCGTCGTCCTTGACTACTGCCCGAGCGAATGCTTGCCGAGTCACTGTCTTTGCCGGTCATTCCCTCCTTGGTCGTCGCTGTTTCATCGGTATCTGGGCCGGAATGGGACGAGCCGGCCGTTTGAGCGGCCGCCACTTCATTCAAGACGACCTTGAGACGACCTTCCACCACATGAACCTTGCGCTCCATATTTCGGCGTTCGTTCTCCCACGATTGTTTATCGCGCTCCCACAGGTTCAGCGTTCTCTCCATGTCCTCCTCCCGACTTCGAGCTCGTTTCTGAGTCTGCTCTAGCTTTTTACGAACATCCGCGATGTTTTCTTGCGCCTCATCGCGCTCCCGGGCAAGCTCGGTGAGAGCCGAGGAACTGCCGCCTTCCAACAACTGTAACTGATGTCGGAGCGAGCGGGTTTCCTTGGTACTCTGCGACAGCCGAGCGGCGAGGTCTTCATTCTCGTTGCGAGAATCGTCCAGGCTTCGCTCGAGCACATCGATGGCTTTTGTTTTGCTTTCCACATCCCGTCGGAGAGACAGAATCTCCGACACTAGAGATGCATGCAACGTCGGAGTGAAGCGACGCGGATCAAATGGTGACAGCGCATCCTCGTCGGCGCCGTCGTCATAATCACTGCGCCCGTCGGGCGAGAAGTTCTGGGTGGGGAGAGAAGGAGGCGACGTCAACGGACCGGGAGAGGAATCCCTCCTTACATGAATCGAGGGGATCCTTTGAGGGGTGGCGGACGGCATTGGGAAGGCCTGTGCCGGCGAGCTCCGAGGCATGGTATCCGTAGCCATCATGATTTCGATAATAGATTTGACATCGAAGACCAGAAGTCCGGCTTTAGTTCAAACAAGTAGTGAGATCGATTTCCCTCCTTAGGTGATCGTTTCCATTGGCCAGTTAGGAACCGTGCATTGGAGTGTACGCCGAGTGGTACTTCCAGATGCCGAGTCCAAGGAAACCCTTGAAGCCAGCCGGTATTAAGTGGAGTGGAAGAAAGAAAACGCAGACCAGCAGCGGTGGCAATCTGTTTAAACAGCCTGTTTCTAGGCGTCAGCGTGATGCGGACAACAAAATGGAAAGAGGCAAGAACGACAATGAAAAGCAAGGCCACCAACGGACAAATCTCTTTCGCTGGTCACGTACGTTATCAAGCAAGTGGTTTCGCGCTTGCGCGTTTTGAAGCGGTCTCCTGCAAGGCGTTCCGATGCCGAATCAGGAGATTATTGATGCCGTGCCCGGCTGTATGACAACGACCCTTTTCTAGCCACCCGACAAAGGGGGAGTACAATTGGTGAAAGAAAGAAGAAGAGCAAAGAAAAAGAAAAAGAAGAGGAAGAGGATGGGAGCTAGCACGAGGAAAATAAAAGTAAATCGAGTTGGTCGAAGCGGGGGGGCGGGCGAGGGAAACGAAGATCAAGCTCCAAGACCGCAAGGTTAAAGCTGCGGAGACTGCGAAGGAGTTGATTGACGTTGTCTCACAGCCAATGCTTTCACATTCGAATCCTCGGACGAGTGTCAGAGTCTAGACAAAATATCTGAGAAGGAGGGGGGGGGGTCACGACCAGTCATGAGCTAACTATCTATCACAGAGCTGGTCGGACGAGATCAAAGGACGTCCGAGCATCGGGATAGACACGGCATGAAGGCAAGCCATGGCTACTATACTAGGCAATTAGCTCGTCCAGGGGTGTTCGTTAGTCTTTAGGGGGGTGGGAAAGAAAGAGTCGAATCAATTCTCCATTCCTGCTCCCGATTAGTGTGAGGAGAAAGCAAAAGAACGGCTCCACCGGAGCTGCCAGTGGCTCCATGATCCAAAAGGACGAAAATGAATAAAAATGAAAATAAAAATAAAAACGGGAATCAAAATTGGGAGAGAAAAGGGCAAGTGGGCGACGATCAGTTGAATTCCACCGCGCGATCGGTAGAAGGAGAGACGCGGGAGATGAGGATGCAACGACAGGAACGCGTCCGGCGACAAGAATAGTCGAGGATTTAGCGGGCCAATAGTCTCGATCCAACGAGGAATCATAAAAATATAATAAAATGAAAAAGGGGAGGAAAACAAAAGAAAGAACAAAACATCTGAAACAAAGTGGTCAATCCGGCTGGCCAGTCAAGGGGAAAAAAAGGAGAGAGATTACTTTTAGACGGTTTAGTTCTGGGGATCGACCTTTACCGGCGTGCCTCCATCAATTCTCTGTCCAGTTCGTGCTAATCCTTAATGATCTCGACGAGAGGGTCGTCATCGTCCATGGCTGCCTTCATTTCCTTTCATTTTAACGATGGACTATGGAATTACTCCGGAGAATCATTCTAATTTCATCTTCTCCATCCTGCGAATCTCCCGCTCCAGCATCATACGATGCGAAAAGTCGAGATCGATTCAAGTCTAATGTCTGTCCTCGATACTCTTTTCGCTGTCTAGTTTATTATTTTTTTTTGGCCTTTTGATCGTCAAGCATAGTTTCCAAAGAGCTCATGGTCCGTGTTTCAGGATTCCAGCTGCCCTATATTGATCTTTCGTAGTTCCGGTCCATGAAAGTAGATCGCGCCGTGAAGTATGCATGTCTTGCTTGTCTGTCCTTCTGATATCAACAACGATTGTGCAGCCTGTAGAATAGTGGCAAAAGACCATTTCGGGGGCAAAGGAGAGTCTGCCGAATTCCCATATGGGCAAATACTCCGACACGACATGCATTCCAATTCAATAATGGCCATTTTACTCCGCAGACTGGGAAATAATGACTTAATAAGAGACGATATTGTCTATTATTCATATCCCATATCCACTTCCCTGACGCGCCTCCCAGGGACAGAACAAAGAAACCGGACGAAAAGGGAGCAGCCGAGCCAGGGAACCTTGGATCGCAGCTCTCCACCGGCCTCAACTTTGGGCGCGGCATCTCCATTTCGGAAATTAGCGACGGATTTGCTTTCACTTTGGTTCTTCCCTGCTCGTTTTTGGTCCAAGTCTGCATTCCCGCAGCGGGAAACCTTGGTTGAACCTTGAGAATCGCGACCTTGGGATTCCACATGGAGCTGAATATGACAGGCTTTGCATGACGTCGATTCACTGATATAATCATCTCGAATCCGGAGTATCCCCGGGCGGAGATCGGGGAATACGATTTACATACAAATTTACTCCCAATGTACATCCATAAGAACGGAGCACGGAGTATGACTTTCGAGCGATCAAGTCCATTGGATCGCACGTCGTCACATTCACACGCCCTAATGCCGGTTCCGAACGTGAGAGAAGCTCCGCATTAGCGTCGGTCGCCAGTATCCTCAAGGTCCAGAATTCAACGACACTAGTGGCCAAGTGGGCAACCGGGCCTCGTTAGACGACCCACTTGGTCGACAGGATTTCGCGCCTTCGATTCAGGGGCACTCGACAGGCGACGGACTCCTCGACGGACGCGGACGGTGACAGGTCACGGTGCACCCGGAGGAGAAGCATCTGAATCAATGCGAATCTATCGATTGGCTGTCGAGAATCGAGACTCGAGACTCGGTCGGGCAAGGACCATCTAATTACTTGTCACTCGGAGAGTCTTTGTCCTTCGTGTCGCGGGGCCGCCGAGTCCAATTTCCGCCGGCGTTGGATCGTGGATTCTCATCTGCGAGTAAGTGCACTACGCGCTACGCAATACGACGCAGTACTACACGAAAGGATTCGGAGGAATCCTCACTCACGGACCTTGGCCGATCACATCCTAGCAGTCAATGTAACGAAAGAGGAGTCCGATGGACATGCACCGTTGAGGAGATCATCCAGGCTGCAGCTGTCAGCCTTTCTACTTCCGAGTACTACAGTCGTACTAACAGTGCTAACTGTGTACCTACGTACGTCGCACAACGGCCGCACGGCGCACGGCTATGCAGGCGACTTTCAACTTGAAGCACCGGCCGAAAGTGATAATGTGACGGGTCCAAGGATCGCCAGATCACAGTCGATTCCATGGTCTGCGATCGCAGTACGGAGGATTCAATAATAACTCATTTTCCCCCTGCGAATCCGGCAATGGAGACGATCAATCTCGCCGGTGATGTGGTCGCCGATCACTTATAAGGGTTTGCTTTGGACCTACTGAGCCTCGATGCCCAATTTGTAAACATTGAGCATTCCTGTCAGTCTCCTGTCTCCTGTCTTCTATCTCCTGAGCCCTGATCCCTGATGCTATGGTGACGGTGGATTACTGCGCGTCCACAGTGAGACATGTCAAGGATACGAACGGCTGACATCCCTTAACTTAACGGGTCAGGCAGGTGCCCAGACATGGTAATCTTTCCGTAGGTATGTATGTATCATGAAAGCTTTGGTGATAGTCTATCTTTAGGACAGTTCCCATCTACATACGGTATTACCCTGTCATTCATCACCTGCTGGTTATCCTTTGGTTGCCGATATTGATACAGCCGTCCAGTGCATCGAGACAGCGTCGAGATTCGAATATGAGATTGGTGTCGCCGATTTCTTCCCGTCAGACATAGCCATATAGATCAACTCAACCGATTCGTGATGATACCTTCCATTAGTTCTCCTCGATGGGGACAACACCCGACTTGAAAAACTCGGTGGGCTTCGTCGTCTCGCCTCTCTATACAAAAGTCACCGACCTATATCTACCGGAAACACATAGCTATCCACAATACTTTCCCAGCAGCTTGCGCAGCCTGCGGGTCACGCAAGCCACCGTGAAATCCTGCGGTATAGAGAGATGCGGATGACCAAGTTCCATCTTGAAAGGCTCTGGAGCTATACAGCCCACTTACTCGATCGTCAGATGATCATTTGCCGTCTTTGAGCCCGAGACCCAGTCAGACTTTTCAGGGAGACAGATGAGAATGCGTCTGGTTCTCAAGGCATGCTGTGACCGGAGCAGCATGGCTCGTGGAGAGTTTAGTAGGAGGCGTTTGTGGGATATGCAAGATACCGTCTCCTCGTTGCATAGAACTTGGGGTTCATGCTGCCTTGAACTGTCCCTGGCGGACGCTGGCGACGACGATTGCACCATTACATTCGAACGCTGGCAGCGCGTACCCAGATCCAGTCATGAATTTGGACCGGAGGAATATTCACATGCGGATGGACACACCCACCTGCTGGGACGCTCAGAACGCCCTTCACTTCTCAGACCCTAGTCGTGTTACGGCCGAAGGAGCCCCTTTACGGAGTACTCGCCAGTGGCAACGCAACATCATTTCCAATCCCTGTCGTAGACACCCACTAATGAGGAGGAGCAAATACACCAATGACTCTAATGATTAAGGGCGAGTGTCTCCATATCTTACCCCTAACTGAGGCGCCTTCCGTGCCTCGGCGCTTTTTCTTTCTTTGTTTTCATTGTAACATACGGAGTACTGTGATAATGCTACCAAATATTCCCATGTGTCAACATTACGGTCCCTGATCTCCGTGTATAGATCCGCGAGTCAAGCCAGATCCACTCGAGTCTAGAAACGTTCGAGAGATTAACCTCCTGAGTCTTAATATGGCCGGATGTCTCACCATCATTATCTACGGGTACGGCACTTGTTCCCCGAAGTGATTTACTGGAGAAAGGAGACGTCGGGATTCGGTAGCATTTCAATTTGGCCAGGGTGGTCCATGCTTTGGATTAGATTGCCTTCATTTGGGGGAGTTATGGAGTCGTGCAAATTGGGGTCCGTTAGTTTAATATATTTGCAGCCGCATTGGGTCGAAGTTAGGCTGCTAGAATTCGATGACGTTTTTGTCCTTCGTGACTGTGACTTAACGGAACAATGCGAGGGTAATCGCGCCTTCGAATTCTTTGTATCCTACCTAGGTAGAATCTACAAACCCGCTGTGTGACAGCAACATGCCTCGGCTTCTCTCTCAGGCTGAACGTTCAGCCTGACTCATCCCGTTTCCATCATCACCCGAGCTCACCCGGGAGAATGGGAGAATCGCCCGTTTAAAACAAAGAACGGGACTAGGGATATGAGAGATTTCATTTCTGTAACTTGTTTGCATATCTCATCTGACCCGGCTCCTGTTCCCCGCATTCGTATTGCCTTGATATCGATTAGACACGTCCGTCGGTGGCAATCGGCAGCTTGCATATAACCCTTGCTCAAGGATAACGCCACGCGAGTATATAATTATACCAAAAAAAGAAAAAAACCCATCAAACATGCCGATCCATCCGCCTCCCCGGGTCTTGTTCTTCGACGTGTTTGGCACCGTCGTCGAGTGGCGTCTCCGAGTCACCTCGGCACTGCAAGAGGCCGCCGAACAAAGCCTCAACGATCCCCAGCGACAGCTCTCACCGGACGTGCGCGCTCGCGTTTCCTCTATGACCGCACAGGACTGGCAGGCACTCGCGGAAGACTGGCGTCGATCCTACGGGCGATTCACGCGCAGCTTCGACCCCTCGCAGGCCTTCATCTCGGTCGACCAGCACCACTACGAAGCGCTGCACAAGCTCCTGCACGACCGACAGATCGAGACCCTCTTCACGGACGACGAGAGACGGGAACTCACGCTAGCTTGGCACCGTCTGGAACCGTGGTCGGACAGCGCGCGCGGCCTGGCGTTGCTGAACCGGCAATTCCGCACCTGCACGCTCTCCAACGGTAACGTTGCGCTGCTTGAAGACCTGAAAGGGCACGGCGGTCTGCCTTTCACCGACGTCGCCAGCGCCGAGAACTTCGGGGCGTACAAGCCCTCGCCCCTGGTGTATCGCGGGGCGGCGCAGCGCTTCGGTCTCGACCCCGCGGAATGTGCCATGGTGGCGGCCCATCTGGGTGATCTGAAAGGGGCCAAGGCCTGCGGTTTCCAGACGATCTACGTTGAGCGATCGCAGGAGGAGGTCTTGGATCCGGATCAGGCGCGGAGGGAGGGATATGTGGATTTGTGGATTGACATCCAGTCTGAGGGACTGGTTGAGGCTGCGAGGCAACTGGGTATTCCTACCGACTGATGGGTTGACGATGAGGATATAGGATATGTGGTTATGATATTACTGAATTAAGTGAACCTGCACGATCTTTCTATACTACATACATACGATTTACTACCATGTCCAGCTGTAGAGCAGAAATATATTCAAACGAATCAATTGCACCGTTAAAGCACCATCTCCCTCTTGAACCCAACCTTCCTTCACCATCACCTCCCTCGTCCAATCCTCCAACTTCTCCGCCAGAGCAATATCCTTAGCCAACCTGCTCTTCCACCCAGCCTCCGCAATCCTCTGAAAATACGTCCTACTCTGATCCCTCCTCATCTCCGGACACGCCACACAGAACAGACTCGTCCACGATCCCGTATCAATATCCACTCTACCCCCAAGCGCCCCATAGGCCTCAAAACCTTCCTCAACAGCGTCAGCATCTCTGCCCGCTCGCCGGCATTCGCGTTGTCCGAACCCAGCCCATACCGCCGATGCAGCGTCTTCGCATGCAAGATATTCGCCAACTTCGACTGCCCGTAGCGCGTCATCACACTGCCATCTCTCAACGCAGGGTCCTGGAAGTCCACTCCGCCAGTCGGCGCCCCATAATGACCCGACGAGGAGAGATTAACGACCCGCACGCTCCCAGACGGCAGGGTTCTCGCTGTGCGGCGCAGAAGCGGCAGGAGATGGTCCTGACGACCCAATGGGCGAGGTAGTTAGTCTGCCATTGGACTTCGTGGCCGTCGGGGGTCATTTCGAACGGGGTGGCCATGATGCCGGCGTTGTTGACGAGGCCGTGTAGTGCGGATTCTGTGGATAGGAAGCTCTGGGCGTTGTGTTAGCCGAGGCGGGCGACGGTGGCGTAGCCTCTAGTTGATCTCTGTTAGATTGGGGGATGTGCCTTTGAATGTAGGTAGGTGTGGGTGTGCCGGAGCTGCCGCCGGTGACGATGTAGGTCTTGCCGGTGAGGTTGGGGAGAATATCGGGGTGGAACGTCATGTTGAATGGAAGTGGTGGTCAGGATATGCTTGGCCAGGTAGTGCTAAGAGAAACTGTATGCAGGATGGGCTCGATCGTGGACAAAGTCTCTTAGATATCTCGTCCGTTGACTCTTGTATAGAATGAAGAACACCGACTCAGGTCAAGCGTCCCTGTGAGCAGCCTGCATGAAGCCACAAACAAGACAGTTAGACTGGAATCCTGCAGCTCATGGAAGGTGAGCAGCCCATTTCCATGATATGATGAAGGATATATCGGAGGTAACAGCTCTAGAAGGCTAAGTTTCTTCACCTCCAAAACTAAGAAGACTGAGTTAGTTCCATGCCCCCGCCACGTCTAGTTGAAGCCCAATGTCGGCATTCCCAGTTGCACGTCCGATCCCTATTATGCAGATGCCCCAGCTAGCTGAGGTGGGCTGCTCCCTGATTATCAGAAAAGGTTTCCACTGATCTGGCGCAGGCAGATGACATGGACGATGACTGGACAGGTCTTACCGATGCCGCAGCTCGACGAAGAAAGCAGACGCGACTGAATACACGAGCCTGGCGACGTAAGTGTGCCAGCCTAAAACTGCGTCCAAGCTAACCCGCCGAGCCAGGGAGACGCAAGGCCCTTGAAGGACAAGGACGTCAGACGCCCATCTCTAAGCGTCCGTCCGGCGTCAGCGCCGGTAAGTCCGAACCCAGGATTCCATGCTGGGACGAAGACCTCCAGATGGTCTCTACCTTCCCTGCATACGTGGCGGACACTTTCCACCAGACTCGAAATGCATTACGACCCTCTGAAGCCACGGCCCTACGACCAGGCACATCCACCTCCGGGCGGTGCAGCCAACCTCGCGTCATCTTCCTTCTATCCTCCGGCCACCTGATCACACTACTCCAGTTCAACGTCTTCCGCTGTCTCATCAACGGCCAACTCCTCTCCGTCACCCTGGGCGCCGTTCCAGGAGCCTGTCTGTCAACGTCGCCGCGCGCCATCCCCAACCCCCCGCGTCCCGACAGCGTGCCCCCAGCCCTCGCACCCACGTTGGTGCAGCAGACAAGCCCTCAGGAAGACTGGATGAATCTGATCCCGCATCCTCAATGGCGCGATAACATCATACTGGTGGCCGGGCAGTTCGACGAGGATGAGTTGTGGACTGACACAATCGGCAGGCTCTTCGAGGGCCTTCCGGACTCAGAGTGCGAGCATCGAGGCGTGGCTGTGTGGTCGCCGCCGAGACATGTCAACGGATGAGAGATTTCGGAGGGAATTTGGCGGAAGTGGGGATGGGGTCTGAGGGGACGCAGGGAAGTGTTGGATGCGACAAACAAGTGGAGGAGGGAGAGGGGGGAGGGGCCACTGGTTGTTGAGATATAATGGTCTTGCATTAACGATATGATGTTGGCTGATGTGATCTATACGCAGACTATATCTGTCTACATATCTTGATATATTTCTGTGCTTACTTCGGTACTGTACATAGGAGTGCCAGGTTAGTATATAAGATATATCCGTGGCCTACTTACCCCGCTCAACGTGCTTGCATGTCTTGCATGGCCAAAAGTAAACACGAGGCATTAGCATTTTATTTAGTATATACAACACGAGGCTGCTGCATGCTTCCTAATTGCCCTTCCATTTCGATGACGCAACGGCAAAAGTATTTCGCACCGTTGCAGGTGGATTTGTAAGCCGCGATTGAACCAGCATACGACTATTTAGCCCGTCATCTTGCAACATATTCGGTGGTGTATGGAACAGAATATATCTCTGAACATATCTTCGAAGTGTAAGTTCGATTCTCATCAGTTCAACCCTAGAGCTCAAAGTATATCATCCAAAATGACCGAAACGGTAAGTAGAGACCTATACGCCCGGCCTCATCTCAACTGAACAACTCCCCAGGAATCCAAAATCTACCGCCACGCCGACGCGGACGGGCACTTTCGACGACAAGACTCCTCCTTCCGCTCGTTCGTCTCGCCCGACCCGACAGCAGAGTTCCCAGCTCAACCAGACCGCTACGTGCTCTACCTCAACTACGGCTGTCCCTGGGCGCACCGGACCAACATCGTGCGCTCCCTCAAGGGCCTCGAAGATATCATCCAGTTGATAATCCTAGACCCCGAGCTGGGGCCCAACGGCTGGTTCTTCTCAGGACGATGGGGCTCCGCTACTCAAGATCCGTTATACGGGTTCCACGAGCTGCGCGAGCTCTACCATAAAGCCGACCCGGGGTATCAGGGCCGCTACACCATCCCGGTGCTTTGGGATCGCACGCGCGAGACGATCGTGAGCAACGAGAGCAGCGAGATCATTCGCATGTTTTACTCCTCGTTTGACGCGCTGCTGCCGCCGGAGCGACGCGAGGTGAACCAGCCGGGCGGGGGCCTGTATCCGGCTCATCTTCGGGGTGAGATCGATGCGATGAACGAGTGGGTGTACGAGAAGATCAACAACGGAGTGTATAAGACGGGGTTTGCCACGACGCAGGAGGCCTACGATGCCAACGTCTACCCGCTCTTCGAGGCGCTGGATCGCGTCGAAGACCATCTGGCGCAGTCGGGCCATGGGCCGTACTTGTTTGGAGAGAATATCACCGAGGCGGATGTGCGGCTGTATACGACCATCTGTCGGTTTGATGTCGCGTACTACTTGATCTTTCGGTGTAATTTGAAGATGATCCGTCATGACTATCCCCGGATCGATCGCTGGTATCGACAGTTGTACTTTGATGAGTCGGAGAGGACTCGTGGAGGGGCGTTCAAGAAGACGACGTTCTTCTATATTGTGAGTTGAACTATGGGAATCACTGGAGTCTCGATTGCATACTAACAAGAATTCGATAGTACAAGTATAACTATCTCAAGGCGCTGGGGAAGAGAGTAGGCGGCTCGCAGACCGTCGTCCCTGCTGGCCCTGTCCCAGATATCCTCCCATTGGAGAAACTGTAGTCAAGTCCAGATATCTAGCACAAGCATGAAGTGGCAAACTGTCAAGGTCACCTTGGAAATCGACCTACCATCAAGCATCCAGTAACATCCAGAATCTGCCAACCTGTCCACGCGTATCATCAATCACCTAATCTCGATGACCCGCCTCAACCCCTGGAAGCACAGCGTATCCCGTCAATAACGCGCTATTTAGACCCCTGTCTTATTCCCACAGCCACCGGGATTTGAACGACCCCTCCCTTCCGCAACCCTGTCCGGGCTCCATTCGGAGTAACCCTAGCTCATAGTTGATCGAGATAAGGCCTCCCCCTCTTTCTATTCTGGACATTTCAACGGTCTGGCGTCTGCCCCGAACACCTTTAGGCATTGATCCCGTCGATCGCGTTGCTGCCCGGTAAACGTTAGTATCCACCGCAAGGGTCAACGACGGGGGCCTAGACTTCACTTCTTTATTGAAAACGGCACATAGTCATCGAAGACCCATGGATACTCTTTCTGAGGCCGTCATAGCTAAGCCTATTTCACTCCGGAGATGCGTAACAACGTACGGGGTACGTATACCCACTTGCAAGGACTGGCCTGACTGGGCTCTGTAAACCGACACTGGATCATGATGCCTGGTTCAGATCGAAGCTTATCCAGCCGGAGGATGAACCCGCTGTTCCGCCCTGGGTTACACAGTCATTATACCTAATCACCGAGTTACATCCCTAGGTACGGCCGGTTCAGACGTACCACCTGCCCTGTCCAGGCTGGCGCTCTTTTGCGAGGAGAACACAGCACGCGGACTCAAACCTAATCAAGCCACCGGTGATCGCACACCGGATCTCGTCCGAGTATCCCCGTACCTGACAGACTTTTCGGCTTGCACTCGTTGCACGTCATGGCTATTGACGGCGGACAGGGCACGAATAACTGGATCCGGTAAGTGGAAGCGCCTACTCACGACCTTTCCCTTCTACGGAGGGTGTGATGAACATCTGGATCCATCGTCGAGCCGGCCAAGGTCCTGCGACAGGTGTCATGATGATCGTGGTGGCTGATGAGCGATGATTTCAGGGGATGTGGGCAGTGGATGACACTGCTAACTGCCTAGGGACTAGGGTTTAGGTACCACTGACTACGGTGTACTGCTAGGTCATAGACTCATAGTATCTGATGGGGGCGTTATAGAAGCCTAGAAGACGATGATACCCAGTTTTCATAATTCTAGAAAGAATGCGATACTCCGTTGAATCTACGACCTGAAACTAGGTTGCAACGTCGATACCGATCTATATTATTCTCTCGCGACAATGTACGGAGTATCCGTATGATACAAGTAAATAGAAAGAACAAGCCTCGATGATCCCCATAATCAAATCCGAATAAAATAAATCCAGAAGCCTAGACAGGATGGCAAAATCACCGAAAACAAAACAAAGAACAGAAAAGAAAAAGAAAATAAAACCCCGGAGGGCCTCGCAGTTTCCTGTTACCTAGCGGCCCGAACCAGTGGAACGCCCCTGACCCCGTCATTGCTCGACGCTCCACGGAGGCGAATTGGCTGCCCAAACGGAATTGGGGAGAAACTAAAAGTTTGTTTTCGAGTTCCAGATTGGTCGGAATTCCAGGATGAGACTGCCACAATCCGATCCCGGTCTCAGATTAACCTTGATTACCTGCGGATGGAGAATGCATGAATGTAGGTGTGTGTATGCAGGGCATGAAAAGGCAGGATGCATGCATGCACGTAAGGACTGACGCACAGCCGAGGTGGGAGAAAAAAAAAGAACCAATTTACACCTATTGACAGATATAAATAGCAGAGTGAAAATGTGGTTAGGATTAAATACTCCGTACGGCAAGAAATTATCGACCGGGGCGGCTAGGGGTGTTGCATGCGCCATGCGGCATTATTCTCCTGCTTTTGCTGCTTCTGAGGAAGAACCTAACTACGTAGCAGGTTTAGGGTAGAATTTCCCCGTTGACCACGGACTTCTTGTGCAGCGTCGCTCGAGTCAGTTTGATTATGATGGGACGGGGACGGACTACCTCGGATCCATGTTGCGTCCCGTTCACGACGGAAGATCCTCGAATGACCGTGACTCCTAGAAATGGATCGATTCTGGCTGGATCCACGGAGTTACGGTGTATATGAGGGGCCGTATGGAATCATCAAACGGTCATGGGCCGTCACAGTCGACCCCCGGAGAACCTACCACAAAGACAGGTAGGTTCGTCAAGTCTTGAGACGTGAGATGCAAGCCGCAGATGTAAGAGTGAGACACCTGCGACAGCGTAGTTAACCGTCCTCCCACGTGGAAATCGACGGGGCTCGGGATATTAAGGTGGATGATTTCTGGATTGCGTTAATCTACTGGTCCTTGACTAACCACTTAGTTAGTGCCATAGTGGCCCTGCACGCCCTCTTTGTCTATCTTCTAGTCTTCTAGAAGACATCAATCCTTTCCCCTTAGCAATTCCGGAATCCTCTATGCTGGTCCTGTATCTAGTTATAGGCTAAATTGCCGACCAGTCGACTTTTATCCATCCCTCGAGAAATCGCCAAGGACCACCGTACGCATCCCCCTCTGGTAGAGACAGTCAAAATCCCTCGACGAAATCCTGTTGGCTCGTGGAAGTATCCGCCATGGACCGGCCCGGGCATCTGGTTAGGTTACTTGGGTATCGACGGAATACAATCCGGTAGGGGAGGGCAAGCTTGCCTTCTACCTACTGCTTATTATTGACAGGGATCTGTTCAATAGGCGAGGTTAGGAGGACACTAGGAGGTTTTATCCATTCTTCTTTTTTTTTTTTTCTTTTTCATTTTAGTACTGTATTTTTTGCCTTCCATCGCCCCCTCCTCTCTTTTCACTCTGACCCTCTCTACCTCAGTGCCTCGACTCCGTAACAAGTTAGAGAGAACCGTTTAGGGCCCTGAAGTGGCGCTGCCATCATTATTCATTATTATTAACTACTCCATAGAGACCAGAAGGGGAGTAGGAAGGAGTCTACCAGTCCGGATGCCACGACGAATAGGGGGGAGGGGCAGTTACCAATCCGCCAAACCCCCCACTATTAACTTAGCATGGATCGTTTGGTCTCCCTTGTGCCAGTCCGTTTCTTTGCTAAGCCCTGACGGGGGCGGCATATATTTTTCTTGTTCTTGTTTTTCTTTTCTCCAAAAAAATTATTTGGTTAACAAGAGAGAGAGAGAGCCTGTCTGGGACAACCAATAACGACCAGGACCTGAAAAGGGAAGCAATCCATGAAAACAAGAAGGCCAAGAGATTCTAACTCCCTGACTATTCCGTAAGCAAAACGATAGACGGACACCTCGGCATGAAGAACGAGCAAAATACGTAGCTTACGCCATACACATGGAGGAAAATCAGCCATGAGGTAATCCCGAGGATCAGGAAGATGGGATTTTAGCCCGGTTGCTCAGGGGCCGCGGAATGTTCGATTCTGCTTCCCCGTTGGAGTCTGCGGTGGAAAAATGGGGAACTAAAGGGGATGGTGTGGCATAGGGTGACATGGAGTGGATACTTACTGGCCTTGGGTAAAGGGATTGATGGATTAATGGAATTTCGCTGGGGTTGTTTTTACAGGCACAGAAAAGCAAGAGAGGAAGAAGACAGACACCGAATCTTTGGGATGTCATCCATTCGGCCCCGACAGGTCTAGAATCGCGCATAGTTCAGGTATGGCACCACTTGCCTTCTCGTAGGACTCTTCCGAACCTTGGAACAGGCCCGAATCGGGTCAGTCGCAAACCCAATCGCAACGCTCGATGACGGTGGAGAGCAGCCCTGACCCTTCATCCACTTTCGTGTCTACCCGAAACCATTCCGCCAGAGAGAGTTCTCGCTTGGTCGATTGCCAGTTTCATCATGAACAGGGCCAGGAGAAGGTTTGGGAGAGTGCCAGGCGAGAGAACAATGAACAGAAAACACAACATTTCAATGAGCAGAATGAATACAACATCGAACAAATACCTCAGAACCCAAGGTAACAAGAAAGAAAAGGTTTGCAAGCGTCTACCTGTGTAACAGCAACGTCATTCCGGACGTTGTATTTGATAGTAGAAACCAACAGACCGCCAAGAATGATGAATTTGATACGTAAGGTAGCTTCTTGACCTCAGGTACACAGTACTCCAGAACCGTGGAATGCAAGAATTCATCGATCCGTATCAGCGGGGGGAGGTGGATGGCGATCTTGGACTGGAGGATCGATGTACGGATTCCCAGGGGGGTACAGTTGATAGATCCTGAGAGATAGGTGGTGATACAAGGATATACCTGCGTGGGAAAGAGTGAGTAAAGTACTCCGTATAGCATAGATGATAGAGCCGTCGCGGACTTCCTTTGTATACCTTCCCCCTTTTTCAAATTGACTCTAATAGTGTCCGGACTGGATGAACGCGGAGTATCTACGGAGCTGCTGGAGTGCTGGTAGGTTTACGGAGTAGATGGCTTTCCACTATTTTTCTATATTATTTTGTTTTCGAATTTTTTAATTTGTAAAAAACACATGGACGGTTCAGCAAGTTAGGAACTTAGTAGTCGACCGGTTGTTGGTCTCCGACAGGGATCGTCTCCGCTGCTTCAGTTCATTTTCTATATTATTGGGGGGGTTTTTTTTAATTTTTTTATTTTTCCTTCTAAAAAACCATAATCTCATTTCGTTTCAATTTTTTTTTCTCTCCCTATTGTAGTTATTACTGTAGTTATTAATATTATTGTTATGATCATTATTACTATTTGAGACTGTTGTTCCTCTTCGCCATCTTTTCCTCTCGAGTGTTTAAGCCCCTCTTCCCTTCTCACTCACGCAGTCTCCCTTTCCATTCCTTTCCATTTCCATTCCCCCCCTGATACTGAATTTAAACTGGAGTTCCAAACTGTTCGGGTTTCGCCCCTCGTCCATCGGAATCTTGTCAGCCAAGCCTTAATCTGCTCCTCTTCCTCTTCTTTTTCCCCTCCCCCTCCTCCTTGTTCCTCCAGATAAGACAAAGTTCCCTTCATTCGCACCCCCCACGCACCTAGTCTCTTTCCACATACTTACTTTCGACTATTTCTCACCACCAACCTAACCTTCCAACCTACATACATCCGCTGCGGGCGATCACTCTGGCTTACGCTCTTCCCCTCCCCCCTCACGTGGCGGAAACAGTTTGAGGCAAAACTTCTGTGTGTCTTACAAGACGCTTCCCATTTGCTTTTTTTTTTTTCTCTTGTTTTATTTCCTCTATTTTTATTTTCTTTTTATAATCCTCCTACGGTGCTTGAATTTTCCTTTGCATTCTGTTGCGTTCCTTGCCTCCCCGAGACGTTCAGCATTGTCACGGGAACTCTGATTTGATTGGAGTTGGGGCTTGGTTTGTACTATTTTGCAGCTGTTGGTGGCCGCTTATCCACTACGCTTTCCCCCTCTCTTTCTTGTCCCCTAGGAAATCGCAGTCCACACAAAATTATTTGTCAGGCAACCAATCGTGCGAAATTCTCCAGGTATGTGGTTTGATTAATCATTTTTTCCCTGGGATTGGTGTCAATCAAAAAATTTCACACCTTTGGCTAAATGTTTTTGAATGACTAGGAAAATATATAAAAGAGGAAAGCAACGAAAAGCCGAAAAACAAGGAGCATAGCTGTGCGGGCTTGTGCTAGGACGGCGGTCTGAAATCAACGACGATTATTCCCGGTGGCTAATCGCGCGCACTACCAAAATAGCCGTTCATTTGGGTCCCAGCGTCTCACAAGTCACAACACTCCGTTTCCCGTGTCCGTGCTCACCCTGGAGCATACATCGCTTTTCACGCTTATTTTTCTTCATTTTTCCATCTTTACTCCCTCCTTTCTCCTTCTTCCCCGGCTCCGCTCGCCTCGCCCCTAAATCTCTCCCCTTCTCCATCGCATCCGATTTACACCCATCACGCAACCACCGTGCCCCTTTTCCTCGGGCCTCAGATTTAGTCACCATGTCGGGAAAGATGACGTTGTACAAGTTGGTGGTGTTGGGAGATGGTGGTGTCGGCAAGACAGCGCTCACAATTCAGGTTAGTCTTGTCAATTTCTCCACATCTTCGATGATGTTGCGGTTGACTGACCGTCCGAACCTTCGTCCTTTTCCCAGTTGTGTTTGAATCATTTCGTCGAAACGTATGATCCGACGATCGAAGACTCGTACCGAAAGCAGGTGGTGATCGACCAGCAGTCGTGCATGTTGGAAGTCCTGGATACTGCGGGTCAGGAAGAATATACGGCCTTGAGAGACCAGTGGATCCGTGACGGCGAGGGATTCGTGCTTGTCTACAGCATCACGTCGCGCGCCTCGTTCTCCCGGATACAGAGGTTCTACAACCAGATCAGGATGGTCAAGGAATCCGCCAACTCCGGATCCCCCTCCGGCGCCAGTTATCTAGGCTCCCCCGTCAACGCTTCGTCCGGCGCTTCGCTCCCCGTTCCCGTGATGTTGGTTGGCAACAAGAGCGACAAGGCCGTCGAGCGAGCCGTGTCGGCCCAGGAAGGACAGGCATTGGCCAAAGAGTTGGGTTGCGACTTTGTGGAAGCCTCCGCCAAGAATTGCATCAATGTTGAAAAGGTGTTCTACGACGTCGTTCGAATGCTTCGGCAGCAGCGTCAACAACAGGGCGGACGGTCTCAGGATCGGCGACCGACCGGCTTGGGCAGCATGCGCGACCGTGACGCCGGCCCGGAGTACCCCAAGTCTTTCCGACCAGACCGCTCACGGCGCAGCGGTATGAAGTGTACCATTCTGTGATCGCGACCATTTACTTGAATCCGCTTTGGTCAATCTTTCTTTTTTTTTTTCCTTCGATCGTGGCCAAAGGAGAGGCTGACCGTCCACAAACCTCTTTTCTTTCTCTAACTATCTCTATTTCGATGTCGATATCGTGATAATTATGGCAGGGCAGATGGCTTTCCTTCCCCCCTCGTTCTTCTTTGAACGAATCTCTGCGACATTACATCCACGAGAGCTCATGCGAGCCTGCTCCATGATCAAACATTTCTCCTGTTTATATTGACTGCCACGCAAAATCTTGGCTGTTGTTCGGTTCTGCACCTAGCGCCTGGCTTTCGTGTTCATTGGCAGACGATTTCCTGCTTCCTTCCTTTCCCCCACTTCCCTCCTCCGACTCGCTGGGAATGCAGCGGCGGGTAATTCCATATGCTCGATGCATTGTCTTTTGTTTTTCTTTTCTTTCCCTTTATTTCTGGTCACAGGTGGGAGGCGATCTCTCAAGTCCATCGCAGGGTGTTTCGGCTATTGGAGAATTTTCATGCTTAATGGGGCTGGGGACCCAGGATCGGCTGGGACCATAGAATTTTCTCTGTATTTTTTTTTCTGTTGTTTTTCTTTCTTTTTCCTTTTTTTTCATCCGATATCTTTCCCCCCTTCTCGGACGGTTTCTCTTGACTCGTTCTCAATCGTCCGGGCAGTTAGCGCCAGAGCACCCGGGGCTTTTATCTTCCATTACTTTTTACGACCAGACATTACGAAGGGTTGCACCCGGGCGGCGGAGACGACGGCCGTTGATCGAGGCGGGACGGATTCGGAACATGGCTATGATGATGATGCAGGCAGATTCAAGAATGGAGGGCTAATATGGGACGGCGATTCTGGTTTCCATGAAGCCTGCAGGATGGCAGTCGACAGTTTAGCAGGCATTGCGATATGATACCCTACGGCTGAGCTTTGAGTTCTGGTTTTTGATGCATTTGTGAGTAAAATCAAAAAGAATAAAAGAGATCGAACCCCGAAATTTCTGTCTCTGAGGATACAAAATAGAATATGATGCAAAAATAGAATGGAATATTTTTTTGTGGTTCCCGTTTGCCTACTTTTAGGATTCGATGACGTGGGAGAGTCGAGCTACAGCAAAGCGCCTCCGAGGGTAACCATCCATGGATCCTCAGCAGAGGGACTTCCTTCTGGCCCATGCGTCGTGCGGGGAAAGCTCCGGTCGTATCCCCAACCTCGGGCTTTCACTCCTCTCTACTGTCTGCTCGGCGATTCAGAACCAGTCCGAGTCTTCCTCTCCCTCCCTCCCTCCCTCCCTCCCTCTCTCTCTTTCTCTCTCATCCTCCCCGGTGCCGTGTGATATCAGATTGGAACTGACAATCCCAGCCCGGAAACAGCGTACATGACGACGCTCAGCTGACCAGGCCTTCCCGCGGAATTCTCGAGGCAAGCCAGCCACCTTGCTTCGTTAGTTGTTACCCATCCGGAATCATCAAGTGATCGCTTTTTCCCTTTTTCTCCTGCGTTTTTAGTTTGACGGTTCTCCTGTAACTTTCCCTTTCTGTTTCTATTTTTGGGATTACACACCCCTGTACATGATGCCAACCCACCCGCAACACGAAGTACATCGTTCCTCGCTCGAGAACCCCGAGGACTTCTGGTCCCAGCAGGCTGCCTCTCTTAACTGGCATCGGAAGCCGTCACGTGCTCTCCGCCGGACGGTCAAGTCGCTCCCCAGCGGCGCCAGTCACGACCACTGGGCCTGGTTCCCTGACGGCGAGATCTCCACGACCTATAACTGCGTGGATCGGCATGTGCAGAGCGGCAATGGGGACAATGTGGCCATTATCTGGGATTCGGCCGTGACGGGGGCCAAGGAGAAGTATACATATCGCCAGTTGCTTGATGAAGTCGAGGTGCTGGCTGGGGTGTTGCGAGAGGAAGGGGTGCGGAAGGGGGATGTAGTGATCATCTACAGTAGGTATCTCCTCCGGGATATAAATCATTTGTTATTAAAACGTGAGCAGTGCCCATGATTCCTGCCGCGCTGATCGCCGCGCTGGCCATCACCCGGTTGGGAGCCATTCATGCCGCCGTGTTTGGTGGCTTCGCGCCCAAATCGCTGGCGCAGCGCATTGAAGCGGCCAAACCACGCGCCATCATGACGGCCTCGTGCGGCATTGAAGGATCCAAGGGCCCCATTGCCTATCGACCGCTCGTCGAGGGCGCCATCGAGACGAGCAGTTTCAAGCCCGAAAAGGTCATTGTGTGGCAGCGGGATCAGCTGCGGTGGAATCAGCCCGATAAACGGGGCGGGCAGCGGAATTGGCAGCGTTTGGTGAAAAGCGCACGCATGCGCGGTATCAAGGCTGGACCGGTTCCGGTGAACAGCGCGGATGCACTGTATATCATCTATACCAGCGGTATGTTATCGACTCATGATACAATTGCTGAGCTGGCCTGGACACGGCACGGCTGATCGTCAGGAACATTCTAGGAACCACCGGGCTGCCGAAAGGAGTGGTCCGGGAAGCTGGTGGACATGCGGTGGGCCTGCATCTGTCGATCAGATCGCTGTTCGGCATCCAAGGCCCGGGCGACGTCATGTTTTGCGCCTCCGATATTGGCTGGGTCGTCGGACATTCGTACATTTTGTACGGCCCGCTCCTGGTTGGGGCCACAACCGTGCTGTTTGAAGGGAAGCCTGTCGGGACGCCAGACGCCGGGACGTTCTGGCGGGTTGCCGAGGAGCATAAGGCCAACGTCCTATTTACGGCGCCGACGGCGATGCGCGCCATTTGGAAAGACGATCCCGACAATAACCTCTTCAAAGAGGTTGCCCGCCGCGGCGGGCTCAAACACTTCCGAGCTCTTTTCCTCGCAGGCGAGAGAAGCGAGCCCAGCATTATCCACGCGTACCAAGACCTCCTGACCCAGCATGCTGCTCCGGGTGCGACGGTGGTGGACAATTGGTGGTCATCCGAGTCCGGGTCGCCCATCTGCGGCGTGGCGCTGAAGAGCGCAATAGGCACGGCGCAGCAGGAAGGAGACGAGCCAACACCGTTGCCCATTCGACCCGGGTCGGCAGGACTGCCAATGCCAGGGTTCGACGTCCGGATCGTCAACGACGAAGGTCACGAGGTTCCCCGGGGCACGATGGGCAACATTGTCCTCGCCATCCCGTTGGCCCCTACTGCCTTCACGCGACTATTCAACGATGAGGAGAGGTTCTACCGCGGGTACTTGAAGCGGTTCGAGGGGCGATGGATCGATACGGGCGATGCGGGCGTCATCGATGAAGATGGCTACGTGCATGTGATGGCTCGATCAGATGATATCATCAACGTAGCGGCGCATCGGTTCAGCACAGGTAAGTTTTATTTGCCCTGTCAGTTCCCTCCTTTCTCTAATGCCAGATGCTCACTCCACGCAGGAGCAATCGAACAAGCCATCCTCTCCCACCCAGAAATCGGCGAAGCCAGCGTCGTAGGCATCCCAGACGCCTTAAAGGGCCACCTCCCATTCGCCTTCATCCAACCGCGCGCATCCGGGGGCCCGTTACCCGCAACGCCACGGAGCGAGCTCTTCAGCGAAGTCAACAGTCTCGTGCGAGATCAGATCGGCGCCATCGCGTCGCTCGGCGGCATGATCCAAGGCCGGGGCATGATTCCCAAGACGCGCAGCGGGAAGACGCTGCGTCGCGTGCTGCGGGAGTTGGTGGAGCACGGGGCAAGCGGGGATTATAACGCGCCGGTCAGCGTGCCTCCTACGGTTGAAGACGCTGAGGTGGTGGAGATTGCGCGGCGGAGGGTCCGGGAGTATTTTGAACAGAGGAAGCGAGAGTCAGCGAAGTTGTAGTCTGGCTGACTGGTATATAATCGTTTTGAGCGGAGATTAGATAGATAGATACGAGAGATATAGATGACGGAGATAACTCGAGACCTGGTCTCCTTTGACCCGCTATACATGTAGGTATATTTCATTTACACTACAAAATTAGACTACACCGAATCACATCAGAAGATAGAACAGACAAATCAAAACCGTGATTTAATCAGACCATCAGGTAAAAAAAGCTAAACCTAAAGCTGAGTATACAAGTATACACACCAGATTAATAGTAAACGAATCATAATAGAACCAAAACAAACCAGATATAAAGTATATATGTATAACGTAAACCAGAGAATATGAACAGGATAGATCAAACACAGGTAGCGTAGGGCGTGACCAGAAGTAAATAAGTGAATAAAAAGAAATATGTATGGTATCGGTCATATCACCAAAAAAAAAAAAGGGATGATATGATATCAGATCATATAGTACCGGGGGGTTGGACCTGGTTCAGCTCATCTGTTTGTCGTATACATCGACGGATTGACGGACGGGATGTCGTATCGGTCTACCTAGATAGACAGGTAGGTAGGATGTCTAACAGTTACGTTTGACACCTCCCCTAGACCCGATAAGTGTCGCGAGAGAGGCGATAGAGCGAGCTCGAAAGACAGAAAGACAAGAGAACCAAGTCCCAGCAATAAATTGAACGGATATCATATCAAGAAGAAAGAAAGAAAAAGAAGATAAAGAACACCCCTCGTAAACCACCAAATCAAATCAACCATAGACAGAAACTATCCTATCTACAGCAAGTAGGCGACCAGACCGAAGACGGTGGCCAGACCGGCACCGGCACCGGCGGCAGCGCGCGAGGCACCACCGGTGAAGATGGGAGCGGCGGGGGTGGTGGCCGAGCCGGAGGGGAGGACGCCCGAAGGCACGCCCGAGGGAGCCACGCCGGAGGGGGCGGGACCGCTGGGGATCACGGGGACGGAGGGAGCGGCGCTGCTGGAGGGGATGACGACGGAGCCGCCGCTGGGGCCGTTGGAGGGGACGCCGGGGACGGGGTTGACGGAGCTGGGGACGGAGAGGACGGGGGTCTTGGTGGCGCTGTTTGGACGGTTAGAAATAACATGTCATATAGATAGGGAATTCATCATATAACATACCACTTGCTGCAGCGGGTGACGGTCGAGGTGATCAGAGGGCGAGTGGTGCTGTAGCGAACGTTGGTGGCGGACACCGGGGCGGGCTGGATTGCATGGTTAGTTACCCGAATCCAATAGTACTCCGTAGATCAAACATACCTGAGTGACGGTGGTCTGCTCAGGGACGGGCAGAGTCGAGATCTTGGGGCAGAAGGTCGCGGTCTCGGTGACAACGACGGTCTGCACGGGTTCTTCGGCGGCGACGACACCGACGGCCATGGTGGCCAGGGCAGCAGTAGCGAGAGAGAAACGCATTGTGGCTGAGGTTATAGAGTAGAGTGAAAGTGGATTTTCTGTGGTTTTCTGGCGGGATAGAAGAACTATCGAGGAGTCGATCGCAACAGTTAAAAGAGTGACTGTAGGATATAAAAGAAAGAATGTACTCGGTAAAGACCGGGGATGAAGATCAAGATGAAACTGACTGGAGAGAAGAAGGAAAGAGAGAAGAGAGAGGAAAAGGAGGCAGATATTTATTCTCCATAGCCACTAATCCTCAGAAATCCACTATTAATCAAATCCGGTACCTGAACTATTGCAGTTAGGGTTAGTGCCGTGTCGGGACGGTGCGTGGTGGTATCGCCCGCAATTTGCTCCCCTGGAGATGGATGATGGTAGGTAATACGATAATGCTACGGATGGTTCCTATCGCCACGTCCAGGCACCCCTTTTCCCTCTCCACCTTTATCTTCCAGTAGCTCCGTGGCTTTGGGTAATGATCGTCCACGTTCCGTCGGGTCTGGAGCTTTAGCGGTGTCCTCTTGGGTGGCACTCCCTGGATCACGATCGGGGTCAGGATCATGCTCGCCTGCAGAATGACTACGGAGTATGTGCCATGCACATGCTTCCTCGCAGATTGGTCCCGTTCCTGATCCCATTCATGGGTGCTGTTTAGGGCGGAAATTAGAATTGGGCTCGGGTCTGAAAATCAGATCGTGTTTCATCTGCCTGCATTTTTCCCGTTCGCTCGGTCTTCTTTTATTTTTCGCCCTGATAATCCTTTCCCGGTTTGGGGCCAACTTCTTATTCAGGCCTGCCAACTTTGGGGCAAATAATTGACGGAATTATTAGCTGAATGGAGGATGTGATTCGTCCAATAAATCTGCCTCGTCTGGTGCCTGATTGACCTGTTCCTGCATTTACAGTTCTATAGCATCTACACGTAGACGACGGTCAACACAACGCACCCTCGGTACTGTCCGCATCTTCTGACTTAGTTGCGCTGTCCACGGAGCCCGAGTGCTCCAGCCGATCCTCATTCCCTTCTGCAAGGCACGCATCGGAGCGGTGTGACTGGAGGTAAGGGACTAGATTCATGGCTGTCGGTCTGGCACAGGCACAGGCCTTACCCTTCATATGACTGTCTGACCGAACTTGGGGTCTGAAACGACGCCATTCGGGTTATACCGTGGGACAAAACACACATGGTGGGAAGATGTTGGAGCATGTCAAAGCAATCAAATTTCTATCAACGCGCTAAAAACTAAGCGAAGGAAGAACCTCGACGAGAAGCTCATCACGCCATGCAATACCCAAACACAACATATCCAATCCGATTCGTTCATTGCCCCAAATATGGATGGTGGAAGGCGGGGACATATCAGCAGCGCCCGAGAGAAGCCAGCCGAGGCCGTCCTCTCCACGAGAGCTGACCAGCTAGTCGCCGTTTCTTCATCTTGGATTTAGTTGTGTGAAGAAAGAAAGGAAACGAGCGAAGGCCCGCGGAATTTGACGATCCGCAAGAAATAAGCGAGCCGGAGAGGAACATCCTTCACCCGCTCGTCGGAGATGCTAGTCCCGAAGCAGCCTAGCGCGTTCTGCTTCCCGCGGGCAACGGCGGCGGCCGTATCAGCGGCTGCTTGTCCGAAGATAGGACGTCCTTCTTTAATCGGCTTCCATGGAGAGCTGCTAACGTGCCTTCTGTTCCCACATTTATTTCTTTCTTTCCCCCGCCGTGCTCATTTATTCGTGCTTCGCCTTCTCTTCTACCTCATCCCCGACAAGAAACGAAAGCGACCGACGACATCATGCTCAGTCGTTGCGGCCGCCCAGCCTCGCGCTTGCTCCCGCTCGCCGGAAGCTCCAGAGCTATCACCTCGCAGCTCTCCTCGCATCTATCCAGATCGATTCCGCAGTCGCGCGGAGTTTCGTCCTCCAGTCGTGATGGTCAGCAGCATGTATGCGCCAATTGATTGACTCCCTGGTCGTTCCTTGACTGTATCGATTGATGCTAACGTCGTTTGCTACTTTCTAGTTGCTCTCCGCATCACTGAAGGAGGAGGACCCCACCATCCACAATATCCTGCAAAAGGTTGACTTGCCCGCTGCTGCTCGACGCCATGAACCACTGTGCTCATTATGTCATAGGAGAAAAAACGCCAGAAACACTTTATCAACTTGATCCCTTCGGAGAACTTCACCTCGCAAGCCGTCCTCGATGCGCTGGGCAGTGTGATGCAGAGTGAGTACCCACTGCCGCACGTGCAATGCAATTGGCATTATCTGTGGCTGACTGGACATAGACAAATATTCCGAGGGATATCCCGGAGCGAGATACTACGGAGGAAATGAATTCATTGACGAGGCAGAGCGACTATGCCAGCTGCGTGCTCTGGAGACTTTCCGGTTGAACCCCGAGGAGTGGGGTGTGAACGTGCAGCGTAAGCTATATGCTGGTTCCTCTTGCTGTCGGGGAAGCAATTGACTGACTCTTTGCTAGCTCTGTCCGGCTCTCCTGCCAACTTGTACGCCATCTCTGCTCTTCTGAATACCCACGAACGTCTCATGGGTCTGGACTTGCCTCATGGTGGCCATCTATCGCACGGTTACCAGACCCCCACCAAGAAGATCTCGTTCATCTCGAAATACTTCGAGACGTTCCCCTACCGTCTGGACGAGACTACCGGTCTGATCGACTACGACGCTCTTGCCAAGAATGCTCTTCTGTACCGCCCGAAACTCATCATCGCCGGCACGTCGGCCTACAGCCGGCTGATCGACTACTCTCGCATGCGGGAGATCGCGGACGCGGCCGGTGCTTACCTCCTGAGTGACATGGCTCACATCTCTGGTCTGGTCGCTGCCGACGTCGTGCCGTCGCCCTTCCAGCACTCGGATGTTGTCACGACCACCACTCACAAGTCCCTGAGAGGTCCCCGCGGTGCGATGATCTTCTACCGTAAGGGTGTCCGCCGAACGGACAAGAAGGGCAACCCCGAGATGTACGATCTGGAGAACCCCATCAATGCATCCGTCTTCCCCGGTCACCAAGGTGGCCCTCACAACCACACCATCACCGCTCTGGCTGTCGCCTTGAAGCAAGCGCAGTCGGGCGAGTTCAAGACCTACCAGGAAACGGTGCTGGCCAACGCCCAGGCGCTTTCGGACCGATTGGGTAACTCGCAGAACAACGGTGGCTTGGGCTACAACATCGTGTCCGGCGGAACCGACAACCACTTGGTTCTGGTGGACCTGAAGAACCGCGGGGTGGATGGTGCCCGCGTTGAGCGTGTGCTGGAGCTGTGCGGTGTTGCCAGCAACAAGAACACTGTGCCCGGGGACAAGTCCGCCCTCAAGCCCGGCGGTCTGCGTCTCGGTACTCCGGCCATGACCACGCGGGGCTTCCAGCCGGAGGACTTCCGCCGCGTGGCCGACATCGTGGATCGTGCCGTGATTATCACCCAGAAGCTGGACAAGGCCGCCAAGGAAAGCGCCTCATCCAAGGGCGTCAAGAACCCTAACACCGTCAAGGCATTCCTGGATTATGTCAAGGAAGGCGAAGAGATCCCGGAAATTGTCCTCCTCAGACAGGAGGTCGAAGACTGGGTCGGAACCTTTAGCCTTCCGTGGGCCCAGGAGGAGTAAAACGACTTGGTATTTGTAATTGTTTCATTTACGACCGGCTTCAGGTGTTTTTCTGTTTTTGATGAATTTTGCTTTTGCAAGCATTTTTTGCGTTGAATGAATTGTTTTATTGATTTGATATACACATGGATGTACAAGTGTTCAACACATCTACTAGACTCAATGATTGACTTTACGGGATTGACCTTATCGAGGGTATTCAAATTATATTCTCTTCACGGTAGATAAAGCACCAAACCGATCAACTCGCAAGGAAAGCACATCACCAAGTCTCCGCGTGCGGCCTCAGATCCAGTTCTTGCGTGAACGCCGACTTAGGCTGCGTATGCAAGAACCAGTATGCTTCCGCAATCTATACAACTGTCAGCGACCTATTCTCTCTACCTTGTCATGAAGCAGCAACAGCAGCTCGACATCACCCACCCAGTTGGGGTCAATTTTCGCATCGGGCCGGTCATCCATGAAGCCCTTGGTTTTCTCGATGTCGATGATGCCGTCGATCACGGCGTGCGCGACATGGATGCCCTTTGGGCCGAACTCGCGCGCCAGGGACTGCGCCATGGCACGCACGGCGAACTTGCTCATGGCGAAGGAACCGAGTCCGGATCCGCCTTTCAAGGACGCCGTTGCTCCTGTGTTCATTTGTTAGCATCTTGATGCAGCCATGACATGCGAGTTGCATATAACTTGGAAACCTGACACAAACACCGAGTCAACCATGCAGAGGAGAAATGAGCCTACCAGTAAAGATCAACGTCGACGGATACTCTTGACCCTGACCCTGTCCCTTGCCATCCTGACTCTCACGCATAAGCGGCAACACAGCTCTCGCAAACTGAAACGCCCCGCGCGCCGTACCCTCCAGACTCCCTAGAAATTCCTCACCCTCAGACTCCAGAAACGGCTTCCTCACGAACTTGCTCGCGACATTGAACACGGCCGCAGCGATGTTCAGATCCGCGCCGTAATGCGTTTTGATCGCAGTCATGGTGGACTCCACGCTCTGCGGGTCCGTCACGTCGGTCGGGATGCCCAGCGCAGAGCCCTTGCCTTTGGTCTGGTCGATCTCGCGGACCAACGGGTCCAGCGAGGTTTGGGATCGGGCGAGCAGCACGACGGGGTAGGTTTGGGCGAAGCGGCGCGCGATGGCGGCTCCTGTGCCTGGACCCGCGCCGGCGATGATGGCGATGGTTTTGGGGATGGGGGATGCCATTTTCTTTTTTTTCGCCTCTTCGGTTTCTTTCGATTCTGGTTCCTGAGATGGAATTGGATTTAAGGGGTTTAGTGGAGGGGATCATGACATGGTTATATAACAAAGGTTACATAGATAAGTAGTTCTGGTAATGACGTAACCATAGTCAGCTCGGCCTCGAGATGAGCGCCGAACGCCCGATTCTCAGTCATCCACGGAGTGAACAGTTATGGAGTAGAACAGAGTGGACTGGTGGGTCTGCTGATCAGATTTGAGTTTTATACCGAGGACTGTCTGTCTCTGGCACTTTTATCCTTTTTATAAGAACGGGGACAGGGGTAGTTGGTAGAAACTTTTTCTATCTCACAACGACAACGACGAAGCACACAATCCTAGAAAGTGCTAATGAAATACAAAATGAAGTCAAATGGGTATATGCACAGTTTTCGATTGACAAACAGCCTCTCTCACCAACAGCATTCACAGCAGAACAGGCCAGTAGGGAAACTAAACCAACACATTAGCGACTATATAGGCCGGTCCACGTACAACGTGTACATACCAGGACGACCCCTTGGCCTTCTCGTCGGATTTGCCCTCGCGCTTGAGGGCATTTCCAATGGCCTGGATGTAGATATCATAGTCCCCGGCGCCCTCAGCCTCCAGGATCCTCTTCGCCTGTCGGAGTTCAGAAACTGACAACCAGGTCAATTGGAACTCGCCGAATTTGGGCCTCTCCAGGTTGACGGCGCCTTCCATGGGTCCTGAATCACACATGTCAGATCAGATGAGTCGGACTAAGTCAGATGTCATTAGACAATTGGACCGGTGATAGCTTACGTTCAACTCTCGCCAGATCCCGAAATGACTTCCACACCTTCACCTTCTGTTCCTCCGTGGTGTGGGCATACGCAGGGAACTTGAAGGTCTTGTTACCGACCCTTAGCTTCTGCCACCACCAGTACTCGTCGCAGGCGAGATATTGCTCGAGCACTTGACCCTCGCGGTAGATCGCCAGGCCGTCGTCGGGTAGGTCAAAGCGATACGGACCCATGCCTTGATTTTGACTCATGTTGAAATTTGATTTTGGCCTGTCAATGCTGCTGTGTGACCCCGTTACGTTTTCTTTTTCGTGTTTCCAACCAGCCGGCTCTTGTGGATCAGACCAGACTAGACCAAATGTAAGGAGGTTTGATTAATCCCGAGATTCCAGCCTGCAACGCGCGGAGAGGTGACAGTATCAACGAGTGAATTCCCAGCGCAGTTCGAGAATTGACAATCGCATAGACAACGACCAGCACGTTTGCTAAAGGGGTGAACTGCCGGGATGAGGTGACGATCCTCAGCACAGCCCCGAAACTAAAGAGACTGACACGCGGTGGGGCGGAGAGAGATTGGATTTGTATTGTCTGGCCAGTCAGATTATCAGATTAGAAGTTGCTGGACCGTGCTTGACGGTGGTTTTATCAAAGCTACTTTAGTAGCTACTGGAGTAGGTGTTCTTGATCTTCGGTGCATTTCTAACTTTTGTTGTGGTTGAATTCTTGATTTGACATGCTAGAGTCAGGTTTTATTGACTGATTCCGATAAGCGGACCGGCTTATCGTCTCCGCTTTCCCCGGACTTGCATGGATCAAGGGGCCAAGTCCATCTCCTTCCTCTCTCTTTTCTAAATCACATTGCTTAGCAAGTAGCTATCTCTGAGCTTGGACATCATCCCATCCTTCGTCGGAAAATACTTGAAGCGAAGATTTCGTCGAGAGAGTCTCGCTCGTCAGCCTGATTAAAGCCTTTCTATCAGCAGTCAGCACCGGCTCCAACGCGGCGGTCAATACTCCGTACAACAGCTCATCATGAAAGTCACACAGGTACATACTACACTAAGCCTTATCCGTTATCATTCGGTCTCGATCATCTTTTTGTTGACTGCTTACAGCTCTACACCTACCCCATCAAATCCTTACGGGGCGTCGCCCTCCCTGAGGCGGCGGTCACCAGCACCGGATTTCAGTATGACCGCCGGTTCATGCTGCTCAAGGTGAAACCCAGCGACGACGGCACCGAGACCCTCCAGAACATGCACGTACCTCACTTCCCCGAGATGTCCCTTTTCCTGACCGACATTGTCTTCCCCACGGAAGGGCAAAACGACGGCAAGATCCGAGTGACCTACCGGCCTCCGGGCGTCGACGATACCGCCGACCCGCGCGTCAAGACCCTCGAGATTCCTCTACAGCCCGACGTGCGAGGAAAGGAGGAGTTGGGCGTCATCATGCATCAGAGCCCGACGAAGGGGTACAACATGGGCAGCAAGTATAATGACTGGTTTGGCGAGTGCTTCGGATACCGCGTCGTCCTGGCGTACCTGGGACCCAACTGGCGGCCGGTTCTGGGTAGCTTCGCGCCGGCGAAGAGCCCGATTCACGGCCACCAACGTCAGTCTACGACGTCGCTGGTTTCTACGCGGTCGCTGGCGATCCTGGCCTCGCTGACGCTGCTTCTAAACGCTGTCGGGGTGCCCATGGCGCGCGAGAAAACGGGGGCCTCCCTGCTTCCCAGTGTCGTCGCCACAGCGGTCGCCGTAATTCTCTCGCTCGCCCTCGGTCGCGGCTGGTCGTGGTGGGACAAAAAGGAGGAGAAGATCACGTTTGCCGACTCGGCGCCGTACCTGGTGGTGTCGGAGACGTCGGTGGACAACGTGTCGGCGCGTCTGGCTGGCGACGAAGAGATGGACGTGACCAAATTCCGACCGAACATTGTCGTAGCGGGCGCCGCGACGGCTTTCGAGGAGGACTTCTGGGCCGAGCTAACGGTGGGCGAGGGCGCCCGGCTGCTCCTCACGGCGAACTGCGTGCGCTGCCAGAGCCTGAATGTGGACTATACTACGGGCAAAATGGGTACCGGGGAGTCGGGCAGCGTGCTAAAGAAACTGATGAAGGATCGACGGGTCGACAAGGGGGCCAAGTATAGTCCTGTGTTTGGGCGATATTCGTTCTTGGATCCGGGATCGGACAACGTGTTGATTCGTGTGGGAGACGAAGTGGCTGTGGCGAAGACAGCCGATGAACGAACAGTATACGGTGAGTTACTCCAGAGTCTGCTCGAGTCTGTTCCAAGTAGTTGCTAACTTCCTGCATTAGATTGGCCGGGTCTTGGTTAAGGTGAGACGGCAAAGTAGACTACTTAAAAGTACAGGCTTTCTGGATTTAAACGTAGTGATACTATACAATACCATACTACCTATCCTAGCGATGGACAGGTGACGATGCCAAGACCAGTGTTCCTTATCAGCTCTTCCCCTCAATTGACTCCTCCTCTTCCAACCTCTACTACGATCTTCCCGGTTCACAGCAAATAAATACATCACCATGAGCGAATTCCCTCCCGCTAGCCTTCAGCCTCTTATCCAGGAGGTCTTTGACCTCCTCGTATCACGCAAGGAAACCGTTTCCGTGGCGGAGACCGTAAGCTCTCCGAACTATTGATAGACGGATCTACTCCGTACTTCCTACCCGGCGGGGAATGGCTTACAACGTCTCAGGCGGCCGGCGGACTCATCTCAGCCTGTTTACTCTCGACGCCCGGAGCATCTTCTATTTACAAGGGTGGATTAACGGTAAGTGAGAGCCTCATAAAATGGTCATAGTTCCGAGGGGGAGCGCGGGGTTAGCTTTATCAGCCGCAAAAGCAAAAACGAATGAACCAGAAATGAACCGAAGACGCCGAATGAGCTCTAACCTAACTCTCCGCCAAAATCGAACAGGTCTACACCTTAGATTCTCGTATCGCCTTTGCGGGTTGGACGCCGGACCATTTGAAGAACTACAGCGGCCCTACACCGGACATTGTGGCGGGATTGGCGGACCACGTTCGTCAGACTCTCGATGCGACTTACGCGATCAGTGAAAGTGGTACGGCCGGGCCGACGGGCGGGACGACGAAGAATCGCACACCGTAAGTCTGACTTCTTCTTCTGCTCCTGTTTCGGGTTGGGGTTCAGAGGATAACGAGGTGAATCTAGAGGCTATGTAGCGGTCGCGGTATCCACGGCACGCGGAACGTATACCCGAGAGGCAGATACGGGGAGCAAGGACCGACAGGCCAATATGGTCGGGTTTGCCGTGGAGGCGCTGAAACTGCTGCGGGATGTGATTCAGGGAAAAGCAGCGTTGTAACTTGTAAGACATGACCGGTCAATGGTTCCTGAATGGATCCACAGGTTGGCATTGTTTGGATGGGAGGACTTTCATTGTCTCATTGTTGAATCAATGTACACTGTGTACATCGTGGACATGGTCGGAACGGACGAGCCGAGCAGACTTTCCAGTTCCACAACTCAGTCCAGGGAATTCCACGGAGTAATAAATAAGATAATCAAAGTAAACAAGACAATCCACAGCACAGCCCCAATGACGCAGGTGACACCGCCACAGAACGGGATGACTTCAGCCTTATTAAGTCAGCAAGACAGACTGAAAGGTTTCACTTGCCCGACTGTGACTGGCCGCCGCCCGTTCGTCAGGAGCTGAAAGATCTTTCTTCGTGTCTTCGGTCCCTTTCTTTTTCCTTTCTCTTTTCCCTTTCCTCCTGACCTGCTGGAGTGAATTGATTTCCGTCGAACTTCTCTCTCCCAGATTTTGAAAATTTTAGTACCACGGAAACACCCCCTCTATCCGGAACCCGATCACCGGCCTCTACGGAGTACTCCCACCTGACACCCAAGACATTGCCAACGCCTATAATCTTGCCGCCGACTCCGATCAGGCCCCCAAATTCCCTTCCTTCCACCCCGCCAGGGAACTCGTCCCGCCCATCTAAAGGGATCGACAAAATGGACGCGGTAAACTTGCGCCGCAAGGACACCACCAAAGGTCCGCCGCTTCGGATTCTATCGCTAGGTAAGTACAGACGGATTTCGTTGATCGGGTATATATTCCCATTCCTATCGAGTCGTCGGGCTAACAAATCAGATGGCGGTGGCGTCCGAGGTTACTCGATGCTTATCATCCTGCAGGAGTTGATGTATCGCATCTACGTCGAATGCGAAGGCAAAGCCCCGCGGCGCGATCAGATCCCCAAACCCTGCGACCATTTCGACCTCATTGCTGGCACCGGCACCGGTGGGTTAATTGCTCTCATGCTGGGGCGCCTGCGCCTCGACCTCGAGACCTGCAAGGAAGTCTACGTGCGCATGACCCGTCGAGTCTTCGAGACCGACAAGACCATCGCCGGCATTCCGTACCGGTCGACGTTATTCAAGGCCTCCAAGCTGGAAGAGGCTATCCGCGAGTGTGTCCGAGAACATACCGTCTACGAAGCGGAGGGAAACGATGCGTCCCCCGGCGGCGCTCGCAACTCCATGGCCAGCGCGCCTTTCAGTCCGAACTCCCTTCCGCAGCGCTCCGGCAGTCGCGCCAGCTTCAGCACCAGCACGTCACATTCTTCGAACCCGAGTCAGCGGGGCTCCGCATACATCAACGGTCTTCGGTGGGGCAATCCGGACGCGCTGTTGTATGATAACCGGGAATACCGGACCAAGACGTAAGTTTTCGGCTCTCCCTTGTTCTCAATATATCTATCAGTGGACTTAGCTAATGGCGTAGTGCCGTCACTGCATTGTATAAAGGTACCACGCGGCATGGAAATTCCGTGCTCCTCAGATCCTACGACTCCCGCAAGGAACCGCCGCCTGAATTCAACTGTACGATATGGCAAGCCGGTCGGGCCACGTCGGCGACCGGACTCGCCTTCAAGCCCATCCAGATCGGCCAGCACGTGTTCATCGACGAAGGGGCCGGCACGTACAATCCGTCGCCGCAGGTTCTAGACGAGGCCGCCGTCAACGAGTGGCCCGGACGGGAAGTGGGCGCGTTCATCAGCATCGGCACGGGTCGACGCCCGTCGGGCACCAACAACCGACAGCACGAGTGGTGGGAGGACTTCTTCGGCGACGCGCTGGGCACGTTCGCCGAGGCGCGACGACGACTGATCGCCAAGATCGAGGGCTGCGAAGATATCCACAAGGACATGCTGCGCGACCATCTGGCCAAGCGCAACGTGAGCAAGGACAATTACTACCGGTTGAACGTTGAGGTGGGGGTGGGTGAATTCGGCATGAACGAATGGAACCGGCTGGTCGACATCAGCACCAATACCCGTCGGTACCTCACACGACCGGAGGTGAAGAAGCAGATTCTCGATGCCGGTGTGAAGTTCGCCAAAATCGAGCGCATGAACCAGCGGCTGGCAGCCCACCAGGCGGCTGGTAACTCGGACATGCCCAACTTCCAGGATGACGGCTCCATGTATATTCAGAGTCCTCGACTGTCAGTGCCGCCGCCGCCGCATTTCGTCGTTGAACTACCCGCCGAATTGCCGGGCGACTTCGTCCTGCATCCCCCTTCCAACGCGGGGTCCGTCGACGACCGACTCCCTGTGCATCCCACGCCGCAGGACACGGTCATGCCGTCGCCGGCGCGAGGGTCGGGCAGCGATCTCGGCAGTTTCTGTCCCAGCGACGTCAGTCGACCCGGATCGCAACAGCACGGATCCCCGCGACGGAGTATGGACCACATGTTCGAACACGGGGCGCCGCCCGTGCCTCCCAAGACCCCAATCCCTTATCCGCCCGACCACCCGAGCGAGCTGGGCGAGGTCCCGATGCCCATGCCGTTGTCGGTCGCCAGTCCCGGGCGAAATGGCAAAGTGCGACCGCCGTATCCCGTGGATGAACCGCCTCCGGTGGTGAACAAGCAGCGAAAGCCCAGTTACCACGTGCGGTGAAGTATGATCCTTTCAGGGTTATCAGGGGTTGCTGTTTCTGTATGATGGATGCATCGGATGTTGATGAATTTCCTTTTTGTTCCCCAGTCTTTTTTTCTTGTCTATTTGTTACGACTGAGGCCTTGGGACACCTATGGATACCCGGATGAGTTTTTATAGTAATATCAATATGAATGCATGAATGATGAGTCAGCCAGTTGTGCAGTCTGAAGGTCTTGGCGCGGTCTAGACTGAGTCAAGCTAAGTTTAAACCAGACTTTATCTCGATTCTATACGATCTGTAGCCATGTTACTCTCTACTTCCGTTGATGTTAAACAAAGACTCGACAGCTTCCCTTCTGAACAATCCTCAACTATTTAAATAATCCACTCCGTACTCCAATTTAAATTCCCAACAAACCCCTGAACACGCCCCCAGAGGCGTCATCCTGACTGACTTGAATTAATTAATCTCCGTCCCGTGAGTGGCTCTCCCGCCCCGCCCAACCTCGTGCTTTTTCCCTGATCGGCCCTTTCTTTGTCTTCCCTCCCTTTTCCTTTTCCTTCTTTCTTCTCCCCCTTGCATACTTCTTCACTTCTCTTCACTTCCCCTGATTTGACGCCTGCCACGAGGCGCCTATCGCTCTCCCTTTCTTCTCCTATCCGCTGTCCCCTTTGTCGAATTGCCGCCGTGACGCTGCGTTGCGTCCGCCGATCTAATGGACTAGCGCCGTCTTACCTATTTATATCTCGACTCTTTTTTTCTTTTCTTTCTTATCTTATTAAGTGTTCGGTGTCCTCTTGAACCTTGAGGAACACATTCTTGTACGGAGTATTCGAAATAAATCTATCTAAACCGAAAACCGAGTATATAGCGACCGTTACACGCGACAGCTCGTCTCACCGAATCCCGACCGCCCAGACACTGCTGGCAGTGTTGTATACCTCCTGGTTCCCTCCTTCCCCTCCCCCACCTCTCCGGGTTCCATGGATTTTTCCGTCCTCGAGGCGCGCGCCGAATCGAGCGGTCGACCCTCGTCCTACAAGGCCATCGGTGTTTCGCTCGCCGTCGCATCGGGTGTCTTCATCGGTGTCTCGTTCGTGTTGAAGAAGATCGGTCTGCTGAAGGCCAACCTCAAGTACAATGAAGAGGCCGGCGAGGGGTACGGCTACCTGCGCAATTTCTGGTGGTGGACGGGCATGACCCTGATGATCGTGGGCGAGATCTGCAACTTCGTGGCTTATGCCTTCGTGGATGCGATCCTGGTGACGCCGTTGGGCGCGCTCTCCGTCGTCATCACCACCATCCTGTCCGCCATCTTTCTGAAGGAGCGCCTCAGTTTCGTCGGCAAGGTCGGCTGCTTCACCTGCATCTTAGGTTCTGTGGTCATCGCCATGAATGCGCCCGAGCAGTCGTCTGTGAACAACATTCAGGATATGAAGGCCTATGTCATCACGCCGGGCTTTCTGACTTATGCCGGAGTCATCGTTGTGGGGAGTATCATCACCGCCGTGTGGGCGGGGCCGCGATACGGCAAGAAGAGCATGTTCGTCTATATCAGCATCTGCAGCACGATCGGTGGGTTGAGTGTGGTGGCCACGCAGGGACTGGGTTCGGCCATTCTGGCGCAGATCAACGGCGAGTCGCAGTTTAAGGAGTGGTTTCTATATGTGTTGTTGGTGTTTGTGGTGACGACGCTACTGACGGAGATCATCTATCTAAATGTACCTTTCCTTGACCCATTCGCTTTGATGTTTTTGATAGCTAACGGCGTTACAGAAAGCGTTGAACATCTTTAATGCCGCCCTCGTCACCCCCACCTACTACGTCATGTTCACAAGTGCCACTATCATCACATCCGCCGTTCTCTTCCAGGGTTTCAAAGGAACGGGCATGCAGATCGCCACCGTTGTCATGGGATTCCTTCAGATTTGTGCGGGAGTGGTGCTGTTGCAGCTGTCGAAGTCGGCCAAGGACGTTCCCGACGCCGCCGTCTTCAAGGGCGACCTGGATCAGGTGCGCGAGGTGGCCACACAGGAAGAACCAGAGTACGAGCCCAAGGCCGATTCCATTCGCGGGGCTGCCGCTATCATCCGACGATTGTCGACGCCGCGTCGCACGATGGAAGCTGAGGAGGCGCGCCGGTATTACCGAGAGCGTCAGGAAGATCAACAACATCAACCGGGAGATAACGAGATCATCGAGTGGGATGGCTTGCGCCGGCGCAAGACCGTTCTCGGCGAGGGTCCGACGATGACGCGAACTCGCACGGCCTCGATCAAGAAGAATCCGCTGCCGCCAATCCCTCCCCTACCCCCGTTGGGCATGTCCAAGTTCCCCGATTACGAAGACGAAACTCGCCCCACGACGCAGCAGAGTGGCCATTCGTTCCTGGACGAGATGCGCCCGCGGCGTACCAGCCGGTCCTCCACCTGGCAGCCTATCCCGGAGGAGCACGAGCCGGGTATGGACCCGGTGTCGCTGTCGTCCATGTCCGGGGCGCGTCACCATCCGGACACGAGCTATCGCGGCCACCAGCGCACCGAGACGCCTCGATCGGCGGTGTCGTTTGCCGACGGAGACGCAATCGATCACAGCCCGGCAAGACGACAGTTCTCGTTCAACATGTTCCACCGCAACAAGACGGCGACTCCCGAAGCCCCGTCTCCCAAGCCAACGCGCGGCATCCTACGACACAGTCAGCACAGTCACCACTACCGCAGCGAGTCTCAAGCGACGGAAGAAGAGCGACTCGGACTAGTCAAGGGGGATTCCCGCCAGGAAGAGGACGTAGCCGACGAGCCACTCGCACGAGGGGGTTCCATTGACAGCGACCGGGGATTCGAGCCCGGCCCCGCTATCAGCCATCAGGGGCCGAGTCCTGGTCCTCCGGGGTACTACCAAGCGATCGGAGCTTCTGATCCCCATTTTCCTCCTCATCATCATCATTACCAACCCCCTCCCCCGCCGTCAGCAGCCACGTCCCGGACACGACGGAACCCCCTACCCCCGTTGCCCGACGAGGAACCGCTGCAGGATCCGTACGCGAATGTCGAACTCTACAGCGATCACAATCGACACGGATCGACCGGCAGTCTGGGATCGGGGTCCTTTTCTTCCGGGCCGAGTCACGGACGAGGCCATGGATGGCGTCGTCATTCGAAGACGGGAGAGGATGTGTACTTATAAATATGACTTCTTGAGTGTTTGATGATTATGACCTTGATGGGACTATGTAGTATGAACGATATGATAATGATAATGTTTGATGAGATGTATGAGTTTATGTATGTATGATAGTACATATAAGGGTATCACAAGTAAGATTTCATCAATCATAACTCCAGCTCCAGCTCCTGTCCAATGTCCAATGTCCAATTCCAAGATAATGCTAGAGGTCAGTCAACTCATGCATAGACACATGAGATCATTTCCCCGCCGTAAAAGCCAACACACTCCTCTGCCTCTTCTCCGCCATCTGCATCGCAAACCTCGCTTCCGACAACCTCTTCCCAGCCTTAATACTCTCCAAGACCCTATAAAGCGAGACAAAGCCCATTCATTAGCAAGCCCTCAACCCAATTTCACTTTCACACCAACCAGATCAGATCAACCCCCACCAAACCCACATCCACGCAAGTATAGAAAGGGGGAGAGAGAAGGAAAACGAACCATTCCACAAAAACCACCTTCCAACTGCGACACCCAGCTCTGGTAATCTCTCTCTGCAATTTTCCGCCTGCGAGACCCCCGCCGAAACCGTGTCCTGATCTCGTATTCGGTTTCCCGACGATGATGTGTGTGACGCGGCGGGAGAGCGAGAGCGCGATGGTTGCGCCGTGCAGGGTGAGGATTTGTTTGAGTTTGTGGTCGGAGAGGAGGGGGTGCGAGGGGGCGTTTATGTAGATTGTTAGGGTGGTGAAGATTTGAGGGTATGAGTCTGGAGGGTTGGAATTTGGAACTGGGTTGGTTTTGGTTTCGGGTTCGAGTTCGTTGTTGGGATGGGCTGTCGATGTTGATGTTGTCGAGGGATGAGGATCATGAGGTGTTTCCGCTGCTGTTGCTGTCACTGATGAACCCTTCACGCCATCACCCAAAGACGAAAGAAGAGGTTTCCCCCCTCCAACAACCTTCGACTCCTTAACCCCCATATCCACCACCGACGAAGCCTTCGCAACCCCAAACATCCCCCTAATATCCCTCTGCCCCCCTCGTCCTAGCCCCGCATTCTTATTTCGATCATAGGTAACCTCCACCCACGTCCCTCTTTCCAATTCCCCTGCCCCTGTTCCTGCGGCGCTCCTTGCCCTCGCAAATGTGCAGTCCCCCTGTCCCTCGCCGAACTGTCTCGCTAGCTTCTCTTGTCGTAGGGTCCGGTAGGCTTTGCTGGCTGCTGAGTCGGCGACTTGGTGGCCTGTGGAGGAGGTTGTCCAGGGGTCGAAGCGGAGGTGGTTTGTTGGTGTTGGTGTTTTCATTTTGGGGGTGTTGTGGTGGTTGTGGGGATCGAGCTGAAGTCGATGGTAGTTTGGGCCGGGGTAATTTGTGTTGAGGATAGATATGTGTGTTGACTAGAGGAGGTAGTGTTGAATGTGAGCTGGAATTGAACAAAGGTTGAAAACAAGTGAATGAAGGGTTGAAGGTAAAGAAAGCAAAATCCGGATTGAAAAATGACGCACGTGCACCCATGGTTCGGCTGTTGATGTTTTACCTTTCTGGGTTTGGCGGCGCATACCTACCCACCTATCTATACTTATCTATATTCCGTTGTCTATCGATACTAAGTATCTGCAGGGCACAATCATACTCATAACTGTCATTCATATTCAACATGACCGAATCCAGGATATACCAAGCCATTAAAAATACTGACTAAAGAAGAAAGAAGATCAACCCCACACATCCTCCTGCCACTTATTCCGCCTCTTAATTCCCCTCCGCCACTCATTCACCAACTCCTCATCCTCCCACCCCTTCGCAGTCCTCATAACCCCACCAACAACCTCATCCACCTCCCTCGCCATGCCCGCCCGTCCACAGATATAAAAATTCGCCCCCTCATCCATCAACCGTACCACCTCGTTCCCATTTTCCCGGACCCGGTCCTGCACGTAGCATTTCTCACCACCTATCCGCGAGAAAGCCGTCACAACACGCAACTTCCCCTGCAGCGCCCTTTGCAAGCTTTCCAGTTCCTCGCGGTACAGGAAATCCTCGTCTGGATGTCGACAGCCAAAGAAGAGGATCATTTCGCCGATCTCCCGACCGATTTGTTGCAGTTGGCGCCGTTCAGCGATGAACGCGCGGAAAGGCGCGATGCCTGTTCCTGCGGCGACCATGATGAGGGGGCAGCTGCCGAGACGAGGGAGTTTGAAGCGGCTTTTCCGCAGGTGCGCGAAGACTTTGCCGTCGGTGAGGGCGTCGTTCGGGCCAGTGAGGTAGTATGTTAAGCCCTTGGGGTTCGTAGATGTAGATGTGGAGGAGGAATGAAAGGTCTCAGAGATAGCAAGGAGGTAGTTGGAAGTGACGCCGTGGATGAGTTGATCAGGAGCTTCAGGGACAGGGGTCGACGAGACGAGAACAGTGATGGAGGCCTTGCGCGGCGAGATCACGCTGCTGGAGGAGATGGAGTAGTAGCGTGGCTGGATCGGGGGCAGAGTTTCGACAAGGAAGGACAAGGGCAGCTCGCTCCATGGGACGTCCGGGCTGGCGAGCTGCAGCAGTCGACCCAGGTTGACGTGCGTGCGGTTGAGGAAAGCGGCGTAGCGCGCCTTGTCCTGGCCCAGCTCGACCAGGTAGGTCTTTGCGGCAGGCGTGGGCGCGAACTGCGCCAGGCCGAGCACGTTGTCGCGGTTCACCGGCGCGCAAATCTCCAGGTAGTATCGGAAGAGCGCGGCGGCCGTCGTGGGCGACGGGATCTTGACCTTCGTGGCTGGGTCGACGGACTTGATGCCGATGGGGACGTCGCGACGCGCGGATCGTCCGAGCACCTGGAGGAGTCGCTCGACTTCGTCGGTCGGGTTGCCCGGCCAGATGGCAAGGTGGTCGCCGGTCTTGTAGCTGAGTTCAGGGTGGCTGGTCAGGTCCAGGTCGATGTGCAGGCAATGTCGCTGCTCCCGCTGCTGTTGCGAGTCGGAATACTCGAACAGCTGCCGGGACGAGGCAATGTCCAGCGGGCGTACGGGCGAGCACTGCGCCGTGATGCGCGACGAGTCTCGATTATCAGGCTCGCCGTGGTGCAGGTCAATCGGCTCCAAGGACTCGTCTTCCTGGACGGACAGTGTCGGCTCGTACTGCGCCTCCTTCTCCTCGAACCCCAGCTGGCGAGTAAACTCCGAGAAAAGGGCCTCCTTCCAACCGATAAAGTCCTCCTGCGTAGCCCCTTCAGCATCGTTGGCCCTGCCCACCGGCATCAGGGACTTTGCGCCCAGCCGATCCAGCGATTCCACAACGACATCCACCACCCGATTATAGTACTTATAGTTACTATTCCCGAGTCCAAAGGCAAAATACCTCAGATTCCCCAGCGCCACCTCCTCCTTCTTCGCCTTATTCACCCAATCCCAAAACTCCGCCGTATTATCACTCGGATCGCCCTCACCGTACGTCGACAACACAAACACCACGACTTTCGAATCCGGAATCTGCGCCACACTCTCGGGATCAAAGTCCGACAGATCCGCCGAGAACGCGCCCACGCCAAACCTCAAAGAAATCTCCCGGGCCAGACGGTTCGCGAACCCCTCGGCCGTGCCGGACTGCGAGCCCCAGAACACGACGAGGTCCTTGTCCGTCTCGGCCAGCTTCTGCGCGATGTTCCGCGTCTCCTTGCTGCCGGATCCGGCGCCGGCGCCGTACTTCAGCTGCGGGCGCTCAAAGGCCAGATGCGCGTAGGGGTCTGGTTGATCCCAGAGGAAGCCGCGCGAGAGGTACGTGGCGCCGGCCATGGAGAGGACCGTGAGGGCGGCGTAGTCGGCGACGCCAGTCGGGGTCATGATCTTGGAGAGCTCCTGGAGGAGCTCTGGCGGGATACGCCATTGAGAGAGGGGGAGGGAGAGCATGCTCATGGTTCATTCATTCATAGACTTTGAACCTTGGAGGGTAGTTCGACATGAAGCGAAAGTGAACAGACAATGGCCTCGATCTATAAATCCCCATCCATCCCATCCTGGGGGCACCACACGTGCAAATCGGACTGAATTCCCCCATGGGAAACACAGCTGCACGAACCGGTCCAGAACCTCCACATCGCAGGCCAAGAGTCTTGCGGTCGGCGTTTGACCGACTTGTTGAGATCATCGATATCCGAGACGCGGCATCTGCAGTGAGACACATCGATCAGGTGGGACCGAGTCGGGGAACCTTGGAAGGAAAAGCAGGGCAAGCGAACCCGATGCACAGTAAGGTAGCAAAGCTAGCAAGTAGAAAAGTAGATGAAGCTCGGCGCGAAACGCGGGGAAGAAACGATCGACGGAATGCGGAGGCGGGGAATGTTTCCCTTCTCGATTGAGCCCTAATTACTCGCTCTTTGGGCCACTCCTTCCTGTACGGAGTAGGTCGAGATGATCCCCGGGCGGCAATTGTAATGAAGAAAGTAGTCGAACTCTCTACTATCTACTGGATGAGGGAGACGGTGGCTGGGTGTCCCTCGGAGATGGTGACCAGGTCAGGCCCTCCAGACTGAGTAGGAGTGTATGTACAGGGCCTAGAAGTGTTGCAGGCACACGGTTGATTAGTGGCAAACTTAACCGTTTATGAAGAAACTGCACCTCTTCAATAGAATACGAATAGGCTATCCATTGATAGGTGAACACATGGCCAGTCAAGACGATAAAGCTGTTCTACCAAGCATACGAAATCTAGATCCGTTCATCTGTGGACAGCTTTTTATAATAGTAGTTCCTCGACTCGATACTAAAAACGATAGAGAGAAGACTACAATCACCAAGCAATGAAGTGATCAAAAGAAATTCATAACCCGTTAAATCTAACCTATCCCTAAATCTAAGTCCCCGAAACCTGGCCAGGAACAAATAAAAATGAAGTCAAAGTAAATCCCTCAAGATCATAGATCAGTCCTCCGCCATACCTTCACCGGCATATCACCCAGAATTAAATTCATTGTCTCCAACCGCTTCAACTCCCACCCGGGATGCGGCAACGCAAAATCATACCGATGCACCACCGTAGCCAAGATCTTCGTCTGCTCCAGATACGAGATATTCCGACCGATGCAGGAGCGCGCGCCCGCCGAGAACGCCACGAAGTACGGCTGCAGCGCTTTCCCTTCCTCGCCGAGCCACCGCTCGGGGATGTACTGGTCGGACTTGGGGAACGCGCGCTCGTCGTGATGCGCCACGTACGCCGACATGCTGACCGACGTGTTCCCCGGGACCCACTGGCCCAGGATCTCCATGCCCTCCGGGGGCGTCTCGCGCGGCAGGCCGTGCGAGGTGGGCGGGAAGATGCGGAGGGATTCGTCGAGACAGGCGCGTAGGTACGGCAGATGCTTGATCTTATCGTAAGGGGCGACGATCTCGTCCGGGTCCAGCACGGCGTCGAGCTCCTCGCGGAGAGTGCGCAGACAGGCTGGGTTGCGGAGGAGTTGGTACATGACGTTGGCGATGGCGATGGCGGTGGTGACGCTGCCGGCGTTCATCATGATGTTCATCTCGGCGACGACCTCGCCCCATTCGAGGTTGTTGGCGCGCCCGTTCTTGTCCTCCATCAGGGCCTGGAAGAAGTCTTCGAGCTTCTCGCCCGCCTCGTACCGGCGCAGTCGCTCCATCGACCGTCGCCATACGATGTTCTCCCAGTCCACGGACGACTTCTGCATGCGGTTGAACCAGGGGATCACGTTGACCAGCTTGTTCAGCGTCGGGTACCATTCGTAGTTCCAGAGGATCAGCGATTGCTTGCGTGCCGTGGGGTACAGCGCCTGTCGCAGGTTGACCTCGTACGTGGACCCGTCCTTGCGCTCGGCGATGCAGACATCGCTGCCGGTGTCCAGGAAGCCGAGCTTCTCGGACAGCCCGATGTCGGCGATAGCATCGAGGGAGAAGAAGTTGGTCCAGGCGCGGAAGTCCACCGTGAGGTCGCTGGGATCTGGGGCTTGCGTGCCGGCGGCCACCGCCGGGTTGGTCGGCGGTGCCGTGCAGACCTTATCGAAGTGGGCGACCACCTTCTCGATCTTGTCGCTGACCTTATACTCCCAGGCCTCCAGGTTCTTGAGCGCGTAGGCCGACGAGAGCACCTTGCGCTTGCGCGAGTGGTCGGGGCGATCGACCACGTCGGCTAGATTGTAGTGCGAGCCAGACGTCACCACGTACGAGGGGTCTTTGATGCAGCGCGTATTGTGTCCGTAGATGTCCTTGATGGCGCGCACGTCACCGTAGGATAGCATGTTGGGGCCCGTGCGGATGACCGGCTTTTTCCGATGCATCTCGTGCAGTTCTTTGGATCGGAACCCTCGAGAAGCAAGGATCATGAACGGGAGAGCAGACATGCCCGAAAAAATGGTCATGTTAGGATACCGGCGGAGGCCTGTCGTCATTAGTATTGATTTAGATTGAATCGCAACAAAGAAGCTTACCCTTGGGATCTCGAATGTACCCGACAAACGGACCGACCACGAAGTACATGAGACCCACCAGCCCTAGGACCGTGGCATAGGGGGCGACCGAGACGAAAGACCACATGTTGTGATGTTGTGGGAATGACAGACAGGAGAAGAAAGATAGGTATGAAGTGGAAACACTTTCGTCTGATGATTTTCCTTCATTCACCACAGTCGAGATACTTATATCCTTCTACTCTCCAACTTATCCCTCGCGATGACCTTCTCCCCCACGGAGGGAGCCACCAGACGCATATCCCACATCACCAGCTTGGCCAGAACAAGTTTGCATCCCCGGATGGGAGGGGACGGACAAAGTTACCCTTCGCAGCGCCATATGACTAGCGGCAAGGGCGAGCCACGGATCTGCAGCTGTGGGGAAAACTTCCGTTTTCAGCACACATACAGAGAGACATTCCCTGTCAGCTTCATTACAATGAATTGACTCGATCAGCCCCACCAGTCCGGTCCCCAGCGTGTCATCTGCGATAACGACAACAACGTCATTGGAGGCCCGAAACTGACAGGCTCTCCTCCCGGACGGGACGGCATTTGCCCGCGATGACCCCAAGACGCAACCCTAATTCAACCGGTCCGGTTGTCTTCAGGGATTGGCGGCGTCTGGGGAAACCGGGGAAAACTCCACTTTTCGGCTCCTAAATTTAACTTTCGATTGCGCCCGCTCTGGGGGAGACGCAGAGAGGCGAATCATGACGCCTAGGATTGCAATAGCCGGTGTCTCTGGTCCAAGCCATGGCGTGAGGGGAAGAGCGGTTGGGGTGGTCGCTATATCTAGATGTTGTTCTTCTGGGGGACAGGAAATGGAAGGGACAAGGCTAGCCTGTATGCCATTTTCCCGTCTGTCTCGACTCTTTCAGACCAATTTCTCTCCGCTTCTTATTCCTAGTATCTGCGTAATCAGACCGTTCTGTTCTGCTAGATCCACTTACTCTGATTGCTTCAATCCTACCCACAATGGACGCCGATTCCCTGAAAGCCGACGACAACAAAGCGGAAATTATCCACGAGGAAGACCTCGCCGCTGCTGACCTGCTCGATGACTCCATCGAGAGCACGCAACCAGGCAAGGCCATCTGGTTAATTGCCTGTACGGTCTCCATGGGCGGGTTCCTGTTCGGTGAGTAGTATCTCTGAACCTGTCACACACACACGCACACACGTCTCACAGAAATTGACCCTGATTGCGATTGCAGGCTATGACACCGGCGTCATCTCCGCCGTCCTAGTCAATCTAGGCTCCGACCTCGGAAAGCCCCTAAGCTCGAACGAGCAGGAATTAGTTACGGCCATAACGTCCGGTGGCGCCCTCATCGGTGCTGTCCTGGCCGGTCTGACTTCCGATAAGTACGGCCGGAAGCTGGCCGTGTACGTGGGCTGCGCACTGTTCTTCATCGGCACCATCATTCAGGCCGCCGCGTATTCGCTAGCCCAGATGACCGTTGGCCGACTGGTCGTGGGCTTTGGCGTGGGCGAGGCCGCCATGATCATCCCCTTGTATATCGGAGAAATGGCACCCGCGCGATACCGTGGGCGACTGATCGTCTTTGACAACCTGTGCGTTACCTTCGGGCAGCTCATCTCCTATGCTCTCGGGGCGGCCTTCACCGAGGTGCCAAATGGTTGGCGATATATGATTGGCATCGGTGGGGTACCGGCTGTCCTGCTGGCCGCCATGATGCCCTTGTGTCCCGAGACGCCGCGGCAGCTGATCTCGCATGGCCGCGTGTCGGAGGCAAAGAAGGTGCTGGCGCAGATTTTCCCGCAAGCCACAGAGCAGCAGGTGACATCGAAGGCGCATCTCATCCAGCATTCCATCGAGGAGGTCGCGACCTCCGTGTCGGATAGGAGTCTGACATGGCAGGCTAAGCAGCTCTTCACGGTTGGGGTCAACGTGCGGGCTTTGATCACTGCCTGTTCCATCATGGCTGGTATGTACTTTGTTACCTTGTGCAAGGAACCGGGCTTACCAAAGTTGTAGTATCCCAGCTCGGCGGGTTCAATACTCTCATGTACTACTCAGCCACTCTATTCTCCATGGTCGGATTCGACAAGCCGACCTCCGTCTCGATCGTGGTCGGTGCAACCAACTTTCTGTTCGGATTTCCCAATTTCATTTTCATTGACCGATTCGGCCGACGACGTATGCTCTTCGTCACTGTTTTGGGAATGGTAGGTTCCTGAATAGCCTCATCCGAGCGATTTAGAAGATACTGATCATGTCACAGTCCCTCTCGCTTGTCGTCGCGGCCATCGCCTTCCACTGGATCCCCGTCACTCACGATCTCACGGTGGCAGAAACGCGCGAGATGGGCTGGGCCAACATCGTACTCCTGGTCGCTCTGATTGTCTACATTGCCTTCTACGCGGCCGGCGTAGCACCCATCGCCTGGGTGGGTACTGAGTTCCTGCCGCTGGAGGTGCGCGCGCTGGGCACGATGATGAACACGGTGACGTGCTGGGGCTGCAACATCATCATCTCGTCGACTTTCCTGTCCATGATGAAGGCGATGACGCCCAGCGGGGCGTTCGGGTTCTATGCGGGCATCTGCTTTCTGGGATGGCTCTTCGTTATCTTCTGTTATGCTGAGGTGCACAACATGCCACTCGAGAGTGTCAGGGAGGTGTATGAGCATGGCTTCGGAGTTAAGCATGCGAAGAAGTTGCAGCGGGAGATGAAGGAGGCAAGAAGGAGAGAGGCCGGGGGTGTGAATGAATCAACCGACTAGCTTGGCGGCTCTGTATGATAGGATATTGGATGGAGCAGTCCGGTGAATGTACTGTACGCAATCCGCTACTAGAAGAAGGAATCATGATTTCACGCATTCTGTCGGGACTTTTCAGTAAGAAAACAGGTACCTTCCAAGTTGTGAATCCCATAATATTCACTTCCAACGAGCATCTCAAGCGTTCGGATTATAAAATGGCCTTCATGCATGAGTCCTGCTGTCGCATGGTTAGCAAACGGGACGACGCAACTATTCACTCCAGCCCACAAACTAGTCAAGGAGAGAACCCACAATTCGCTTGGAATATCGCGCATATTTCCTGCCCTTGGCTTTTGGTGCTTCTCACTATTTGTCTTGTGTGCTCGATCCTGATCCTGATCTTGAAATTCATCTCGCCACCTTATTTCATCTGTCTGTATCGATATCTTACCTGACCATTGCGTTGGAATCAGTCTCTGAATCTGCCAAAGCTCAATAACTCGTCTTCTATCCACCACATCCCCTCCACAGTGCAGCGTGTAGGGTTATAGCTTCGTCTCAATCCTAAAGAACCATCACCAGATCCATTATTCCAATTCAACGCAACTCCCAGCCCTCCAAACCATACATACCATATCTTCATTCTTCCATCTAACATAAGTCATGGACACCTACACCCACGAACTCCACATCGCCACCCTCGCGGTCCACCGCGCCAGCATCATCACGAAGACCATGCAAGCCGTCGTCGACAAAGGATCCCGCGACAAAGAAGACGCATCGCCCGTGACGGTCGCTGACTTCGCGGCGCAGGCTATCCTGATCAGCGCCTTGCGTCATCACTTCCCTGACGACCAGTTCATCGGCGAGGAGTCTGCGGCTGCGTTGCGCAAGGATCCAGAGCTGGTCGAACGGGTGTGGGCGCTTGTCACGGCGCTTAAGCAGAGTGGAGGAGACAGAATTGATGATGCCAAGGTTGACGCCGAGGTGGCCGAGGAGATCCAGGCTTCTATCCCAGCTACTCGAGACGAGATGCTCCGGGTGATTGACCTAGGCGGGGACGGCGAGGGGGCAGGAGATGTCGCCGGAGGACGCACCTGGATCCTGGACCCGATTGACGGCACTGCGACGTTCATCCGGGGCCAGCAGTTCGCGGTGTCGGTGGCGCTGGTGGTCGAAGGGGAGCAGCGGGTGGGGGTGGTGGGGTACCCGAATCTCAAGGACGGAGGAGCCGTCGTGCATGAAGACGCGATCGACGATGAGGGATACGGGCTGTTGGTGTCGGCTGTCAAGGGCCAAGGCGCGTCGAAGAGAGCAATGCGGCGCAGCGGCTTGCAGCCGGCCGAGAAGCTGGTGCAGGTAAGCGCCGACGAGCTCGTCTTTGTGGAGAGTCTGGCCAGTCCGTACGTCTGCTTGGAGAGGCAGAGCACCGTGCGAGACCGGCTGCAGGCCACGGCGCCTATCACCGATCTCTGGTCCATGCAGGTCAAGTACGGGGCTCTGATTATCGGCGCATGTAATGCGATGGTGCGCATTCCCAAGCACGAGAATTACCGCCCCTGGGCGTGGGATCATGCGGGAGGCATGCTCGTGTACGAGGAATCGGGAGGCAAGATCACGGACTTGCATGGACGTCCATTTCAGTACCGCGGAAGAAAGTTGATGGCAAACGTGGGCGTGGTGGCTGCTCTGCCCGAGGTTCATGCACATGTGTTGAAAGTGGCTCGCCAGGTGTCGGAGGAGTAAGAGAGAACTTGCGAGGGTCATATGATCAAAATGTTTACAATAGTACGAATATCGATTTACTTGGATATTAAGAATGAACTGTCATAATCACCCAATAATATCTTTGGTAAAGGGGGAAGCAGATAGAATGCCCATACACAAGAGATAGAAAGAAAACATAAAGCGAAGGAAACACACAAAACCCTCGATGCATGAATGGAGAGAATAAGCCACAACGATATAAAGAATAAGGATAAACTCTCGTAATAGGAAATTCGTCACATCATGGTCGTTAAATATAGCCTCTCGCAAAACGCACATACCACAAGATGACCAAAGACAAGCACCATAACGCTGACCATCCCTCAATCCATGGACAAAAGCAGAGCGGCTCATATTTCCACCGCTTGCAGCAACAAACAAAGCCCCAAAAAATAACCATACCCTTCCCCCGCGTCAGCTCAGCTTCTTCCATGAGGCTGGCCAAGGGGGAGTAGAAGCCACGCAATATTATAACGATCGTAGACCCGATTCTCCATGGGACCCATGCAAACATCCACACCGATTGAACAATGTCGATGTTTGGTCCCTGTCTAACTCTCAATCATTAGATCAAAACACGCCGGAAAAAGAAACAAACGAAAGGAAATCATAAAAGAAAAAAGAGCACCACATCAGAGATACGCTGCGGCTCATGAACCACCTTCCCCACGATGGACATGTTGCAGGCCCTCGACTATGTAATGGCGCAGTCTATTGCAATAACGTTAGAAACACAAGGGAAATCGATCACGCGCTCCAAAAAAGAGCCAAGCCGTGACAGGATGCCGCTCCAAATTGATTGTCGAATGGGCCTTCTTTTCTTTTTTGTCCCCAATTTGAGTATTTGGTGTTGTATTTTTCTTCGGGCCCATTCAATCATTGGTAAAACTTTTGGCGTCTATTTTCGTTGAATTTGAATTTTTTTTGCTGTAACCCGATGGATCATTGCCGACGAGACATGACGCCGCCGGCTTTCATAGGTTGCAATGGAAGAGGTACTCCAACGGGACCACCAACTTCTGTCAAGGTCTTACGACGCTTGGAGCCGTAGTCCGCATCGCGGCTGTCGGGTCGAACGATTCGGTCCACATCGTCATCCTCTCGCATGCGCTTGCCTGAGCCGAGAGACCCGTTCATTCCCGTCGAGTATCCAGACGCGGAGTTTGACGCCACCGAGTAGTTGTCGGAGGTTGTCCCGTTGGCCGGAGTGCCGCGGGTGTCGCTGACAATGTTGTAGAGACTACTGGTGGCTGCGGCGCGAGGAGGGGTGTTGTAGCCAGAAGCCCACTGTGGGGGTGGGCCGCCGCTTGTCCGAGGAGTCATTCGTCCAGAACCGTTCTGTTGCGAAGGAGATCCCGTCACGTCGGGAGCCAATTGTGAGTGATCTCCCGTCAAACTGCCAACAGATGGGTTGGTGGTGTACGTGTAGGAGCCCCGGCTAGTGTTGTAACCATTGTCATGCTGCACATATTCGGACTCGTGCTCAGGGACATGCTCAGGTACCCCATTGCCAACATGACCATTGGTCTGAGAATAGCGCTCGGACTTCACCTCGCCCGTCTCGGCTTCCTGAGGCGCGCCAGGAGTCCGTGCGGAGGGAGGGCCCATTTCGTTCTTAATATAGCTGTTAGGCTGCATGCCGTGACCGTACGAGGCCATAGTCGGCTGGCTCAAGGGCTGCTGCGAGGTGTAGTGGGCATGAGACGCAGGGGCGGTCGAGTAGTAGGGCTTCGAGCTATCGTACCCGGACTGAGCCTGGTATGACTGCATCCCTTGCAGGCCACTTCCCGGAGGAGTGGTCGCCGGCGTGGTCGGCATCGACCGAGCATTGCTCAAGGTGGTATCTATTGACAAAGGTTGTGAGTGTGGCACTCCCGAGTTCATACCCTGGTTTCCCCACTCGTAGGAGTGGCCCTGGTTCGTAATACCCATCAGGCTTGAGGCGCTGGCTGGGGGTGTAGGGAAGCCGGGCGCCCGCTCCAACCCTGGTCGGCCCTGGGAGCCAATTGTGGAAGGCTGCGGCATGTGCGAGGGAACGGGGGTTTGCAAGGAGTGGTGATGGTGCAGCGGAGGGGGTTGAGGGCCTTGTGATGCGCGAGCTGCTTGCGGGCCTTCTAACCGTCGCTGCTGCGACTCCTGCACCACCATATTCGTACGGGTCTGGTTGGTGGGATGGTACAGAAGACCACCAATGTTGTGGACGAACAGGGGATACAGAAGATCTGTGATCTTTTCCTTGTTGGCGAATTCCAAAGCACGCTCAAAAGGAATCCTACAGAATGTTAGCCTCAGTTCCGAAGCCCATGGTGACAGGAGTCGTACCACACGCCCTTCAAATGCATAGGTCCGATTTTCACGACATGGCGAATCTTCTCGCTTTTAAGAATGCCGTCTCGACGACCTCGAGTCATTCCTGCAACGTTAAGCAGCTTAGTTCCGTTGATCATGTGGTTGTCTGCGAAAAGTTAATTAGCGAAAGCGCTCCAAAGCCAACACAACACACAGAAATCCTCACCTTCTCGTCGAGCAACGCAGACGCCCTTGGATTCAACCTGGTAGCAAAGACTGCCTTCATCTTCCCACAACGTGGCCGTGACTCTTGGCTTAGCTCCCGGGGGTGCTACTTGTCCGGTGGAATCATAAATGTACCCTTGCAGAGGCGCACCAGTTGTGTTTGCATAACCTTGAGTTGCAACGGGGTGGTTGGTCACTGTTCGCTGTCAGTACCAGTTTGACCACGGAAGTAAAGAGAAAGCCGAAACGTACCAGGCAAAGGAAGCAATTGAGCCGGAACTTGAGCACTCATCGACGTCGGAGGCGGCTGGTGCCCTCCCTGTGACGAAGTAACACCGCCAGGATAGGCATATTGCGAGTACGAGCTAGCGGGTCCGTACGAAGTCGAAGCGGGCTGCAGGACCGGTGGTTGCTGATGATATTGCGGGTAATGAGCCATTCCACCGGCCGTGGCCGCATGAGAAGCATACGGCTGAGCCGACGACAAATGTGAGTGGACGTCCATGTACGGTTGAGTTTGGTTCATGCTGCCGAGCGAGCTTGGGTGTGAATAGTAGCCGTCGCTCACCGGGTGTTGAGCGATTGAGTAGTCCTGTGCGGATGAATCCAACGAAAGCCGACCCTGACCACCAGCCGCGAAATCTCCGGAAGGCGGCGGGCTCCTGGCTTCGTTGACGAGCGGTGTCGACCCTGACAGACTGGTCCGCGCACTCGCGTTGTTTGATCCGGGGACAGATGGGTCTTCGTAAGTAGCCCGGTAGGACTGGCCCGAGATGGGCGGCTGCGAGGCCGTGGGTAAACTGAGTGCCGGTAGCTTATCGCCAGACAACAACGGTCTCTCCGCAGCGTGGTGGTTATACCAAGGAATATCAACAGGACCTCTGGTGTGGACCTGTGAAATCGACGGCAGCTCCAGTTTTTCGGTTTGCGGGGTAAACGGCTATAATAATTCGAGGAGACAGAATGTGTTGGACGTTGGACTCGAACACGTCCAACGATCCGCAGTGAATGAAGAGTTGTCTTTTTTTTTATGTTGCCTTTTTCTGATCACCCTCTCCTTTTCTTTGGTCGGGTCTTAAAAATCAATGACTGGAAATCAGCATGCAAAACTTGCCGTCGGCGATCGTTAAAAAAAAGCAAGTGGAAATTGGACAAAAGAAAACAGCCAAGATATGTGCTGGTACTGAATCAGGAGGCAATGCAAATAATCGTTATGGGAAAACTGAAAATAGCTTTGGTAATGCAATGCAGCAAAATGCGAGATGTGCAGTCGTAGCAGGCTCGTGGCAAGTCGTAAGCGTAAGAAAAAAGAAAAACACCTAGAGATCGCTAGGTGCAACTGAACAGGGAGAATCGCTATGCAGTTCTGTGTACTGAGAGAAGGTCTAGATCCAGGGCAGGTCTCGATCGTCAACAGGCAAAACCATGAAAGTTGCTTTTTTTGTATTTTGACGAAACAGCAAAGCGCTTGCAGATGGTCAACAGAAATCGCTCAACCAAATCAGAAGCACGAAATCATGGGTCTCGTTTCAAGTCGTAAGTAGGGGGCGAAGAAAAGACGACGTGACAGTCCAGCATCAAACGTCGATGAGGGTCTTCTCTCGGGGAAATCGGGATCTCCAACGTTATTGTACCCGGGAAGGGAAGGGGGAGATTGGAGAAGTCGCAAAGACGAGCAACGAACGGTGGATCAAGGTTGGTGGTGGCAATTCGTAACAAGTCGTAGCAGGTCGTCGAGTAACAAATGGCGTGGTGCTGCTGCGCGGAAATACAAGAGAAAAAGCGAGCAGTCTGTATGAAACAAAGCAAAAGCAATAAGTAAGCAGGGCGTTCAAGTCATCAGCATTATCATGCAGAATGGGAAATAGGAAAAAGAAAAGTCGGGATCATTCAGTGGTCGAGGAGCAAAAGTCCAGACGGGAAGCAGTATGTATGTATAAGAAAAGTGTCAAACGGAAGGGATGCCACACTAACGAGGCGGGCAAGGGAGGATGGGATGGGGGTGGGTGGGCACTGGGAAAATCAAAAAATAGAAATTCAAGCTCACGCATGCAGAAAGAGGGGAGGGGAGGTGAGAGAGGGGATGAGATATGGATTTGGAAAAAAGGAATAAAAATAATCATGCAACAAAATAAAACCAAAAAAAAAAAGAAAAAGAAAAAGAACAGAATGATCTCAGACACGTCGGAGAAGGATCATAGCACTTGAGCCGACAGAGAACAGAAAATCAAATACTAGGATAAAATCGGGAAGGAAAAGGTTTCAGGCGGTGGGGAGAGGGAAGACGCGCGCGAGAGAGGGAAAATGAAATGATTGCAGTGTCGCAGGAGAGCAGCAGCAGATCATACACGAAAGGTGGAGGAGGCTGGGGGCGCACAGCAAACGCAGGCCCCAGACTAAGCCTAATTATTCTCTGCAGCGGCTGGGCGGGTTGGTGTTTCTGGACCACGCCGACACGGGTCTCCCTTCTTCTCTACGAGAAGGTCTCTCTTTCTCTCTCTCTCTCTCTCCCTCTCTCTATATGAGAGATGGCGGGGAGGGAAGGGGGGGAGGAGAAAGGAAAGAAATACAAAAGTCGAGACCAGGGAAAAGAAAAAGAAAAGAAAGGGGAGGGGAGGAACGAGAGGACGAATATGAGGACGAGGACGAGGGAAGGGGGGGAAAGGGAAAAGGAAATCAAAACCGAGCAAAGGGAGAGGGATATACCAGTTTTCGATCATTAATATTTCTTTTTTTGGTATCTTCCCCCCCTTGTTGGTTTTGGGGAGAGTAATTGGCAGTAAGAGTAAGAAGATGGGAAGAGAGGGGGGTGGGATTTTCAGACGAAGCTCTGATCCATGGACGACGAATCACTGGTTGACGGATGGGCCGAGGAGGGGAAGGTTGGGAGCGAGGATTTTGGGTCGAGAGGGGAAGAAGAAGCCGGTGGCATTAATCTGATGGGAAAGAACAGAGGGTCACCGTCACCGGCCGCCGTTCCAGCGCTTTCCGTCTGCACTCGAGAGGCTGGTTGGCACGCCCGTTTTTGACAGGTGCTCAAGTCCAGCCAAATTATGGGGTTTAAAGACACTTCCAGAAAACTCTCCCTTTCAGATACTAAGGTCGATCGGCATGAACAACACAATCGATTCATCCCTTAGTATCCTCATCCAAAGGAGTCCAACGGGTGGTAAATATCGGAACGGGCTGGTATGCCATACACACACCCCTTCTCCCCGGCAGCAAGGAAGCATAGAAAACACGAAGAAAAACAACTCGAGCACCACGAATTCGCGAGAACAAAAACCACGAAAAAAAAGAAAAAGAAAAAGACAAAAAAGAAAATCATTGACATACCGGCACGTGTTGCTGGTGAATTTCTTGAAATCACCAGTTTCTTTTGAGACCTGCTGCGCGGGAATGTAAGAGAAGCTGCAAGGCAATTATTGCTGGATAATGGATTGCCAGAATGTCTCTGATGCTTCGAGCTTGAGCCGTGTTGGTCGGGTTTCTGGGTCTCGCTTTATCGATGGGAAAGCCCCGGCTGGTTTCCGTTTTCTTGGGTCCCGTTTGGATTCGGTGCTGAAGAAAAGGAAACTTGAAGAGAGACTGAGGAAGAGAGATTGCGCCGGGGATAAGTAGCAAGTCACTGGTCTGTCCGTCCCTATACCTACTAAGTACTTAACCTGTCCTAGATGAAGAGACGAAAAATCATTAAAATAAAATAACAGCGATCGTAAAAAAAAAATAACAGAAAAGTAAAATGAAACGGAAAAAAAAGGAAAATGAAAAATTAAAAAAAAGGAAAATAATATAAAATGTCAGCAACCCAAGGGCCAAGAGGGGAGGGATTATTAAAAAAATAAAATATTAAAAAGAAAATGGGTCTTTTTTTTTCGAGATGTGGATCCCGCGACTAAAATAAAAGGAAAAAAAAAAGGACAGAGAGGAAATATTAGGATTTTCTGGGAAGACAACAACCGTGCGTCTTGCTTGCGGAAGAGCGGAGAGATACGCCGTCACTAGGATCTGCTGGTGCTGCGCTCAACTTTCTCTCTTGCACACTCTTTTTTTTTTCTCTGGCAGGGTCCAGAAGCCGGGTGTCAAGCTCAGACAGCGAGATTCTCGCAGAACCGCCACGAAGCAAGGACCACCGGCCGGATAAGCTAAACAAGACGCCGGACAGGAACCACCGTTTGGGCTAGGACAATGATGATCCAGTCGAAGCGCTGGGGACGGGGATTGGCCAGTTGGAGAGAGAGGGGGGGAGTGAGAGCAGCGGGCGGAATAGAGGGTGTGGGCGGTGGATTGGGGGGAGATTCTCGAGGAAATTGAACGAGGAAGTAAGAAAACAGAGAAAAAGGAAAAGAAAAAAAAAAAAAAAAAAAAAAACGTCTTTCACGTACCTGTGCGCCGGGATAGAATGATGCACAATGGAATCAACAGAAAGTCGGCTCTGGTACAGAAGTCCTTAGAACGCCGTCCGATTCTGCAGGGTCGAGCCACCATTAAGAAACATTTCATGCCGAGTAAAGCCTGAGGATCACTATTGCTGACCACCTCGGAAGACCGATCTGATTAGGGAAAAGACGAAAATCAAAATAGATCTCAATTTAGTGGATTCATCTTTTCTTCCCCTTCAACCCCTACAGAGTATTGTTGATAATACGGAGTACAGTTACTCAGCTACGACCCTTTGGGTGATTGCTCAACAGAACGAGACGAAGGAAGCAAATAAGTAATTCTAAGATAAAACTAGAAAAGAAAGGGCCAGAAGGCAAAAGGCAAAGGTCGAAAAGTACGAAAGACCAGGATGTTTAGGAAAGAGAAATAATAATTGCCAGACCTTCAAATTGACCGCGATGGTCGGTAGCCACTGTGAACTGTTGGGACCGATCGCGTTGCTGTAAGTCATTCGATCGTCCTGCGCTGCTGGGATGATACTGGATCGGCCTGGAGGGACGATCGGTGAGTAGCCTAAGAAAAATTGCATTATCATAATTTATTATTATTGTCACGATTAGTATTATTCAATGTTATTCAAAGGCCATTAATATTCCCAGGACCGGCTAACCTCGGCAGGAAAAAGAACTAACTAAACCCTCTGCCCAATACTCCGTGTACCTCGTTGCAATTTTTCCCTTCCTGCTGCCCCTTCGACTGGAATAATGGGGACATTATACGGGAATATATTGGCAACTATCCAGCAATTAAACTATATATCATGAAGGGGTCCCCTTGGTGTCAAGGTCGACGATCCTTCAAGAAGATCCATCTCAATAGATACAATACAAGA